GGCGAATCTGCTGGCACTGCAGGGGTTGCAGGCCAGATTCCACACCGATCTGCTGCTGATCGAGAGTGGCGGCGATAACCTGGCGGCGAATTATTCGAGGGAGCTGGCGGATTTTATCATCTATGTGATCGATGTGGCGGGTGGGGATAAGGTGCCGAGGAAGGGTGGGCCGGGCATTACGGGGTCGGATCTGTTGGTGGTGAATAAGTGTGACTTGGCCGAGGCGGTCGGGGCGGATTTGAAGGTCATGGAGAGGGATGCGGGCAGGATGAGGGAGGGTGGGCCGACCATCTTTGCGACGGTCAAGACGGGCCAGGGCGTCGAGCATGTGGTTGAGTTGATTTTGAGCGCGTGGAAGGCTAGCGGGGCGTATGAGGAGAGTTTGAGGAGGTGGAAGGCTGGCGGCCAGAGAGGGAGTGGTGAGATGCCGAGTTGATGGTTAAGGTAATGGACAACATTTATGGCTGCACTGAATTTGCATTGATTGCCTCTTCCAGCCCGTGGAGGCCCTTCACAACCTCTGCTTCCACACCGGTCTCTCCGTTAGAATTTCTGGCGAATTTGCCATATCTCAAATCGCTCAGACCTCCTACAGTTTCTCTCATCTGGCCCAAAAGCTTGTCTGCCTCTCGCTTCGCAACCACTGCGTCAACCTCAAGATACCTGATCGTCTCTTCCATCTCCTTGAACAGGCTTTCCTTCGTATGCCCCTTTTTCCTCTTCGGGACACTCCCAGTTGGGCCGTACATGACTTCATCTGCTTGCACGTCTTTAGCACCATTCAATGGGCCGTGGTCTTGCTGATTCGAGTTTGGCTGTTGGTGCAAAGCACGGTACATCTCTCGCCTTTGATGCTCACCATTCTGGCATTCTTTGGCAATGTTCTCTTCGACCAGGTCAGTGTCTACTGTACGGAGGAATTGGAGATCTCGATACAGGAGTCTGACCTGGGGATGCGATTGCTGGTTGGATGGGAATAGATCTCTGAATTCTTCGAATGTGATGATTGTAGGTAATGATGCCGGATTGAGTAGGTATGCTTTTAAAATCTGATCCTCCATTGCTGCTGTTGATATTGGAGGCATCTGGGACGGGACTTATGGTGCTGAGCTGTGCGGGATGAAGATGGGCAGTAGATATAGCCAAGCTGAGCGGAGGTGTATTTACGCTACCCCGTTCAAAGGTGGTGTTCTTCGATGGGAGTCTCTATCGCTCCTGGACCGCCTCGAGACTGTTGCTGCCACTCCTGAGCCGGTATATGTCTTCTCCCAGTTGGAGAGGCGGCTGGTTCCAGGCAAGAAACGGTGCTCCCCGTTTTCTCTGGGGTGATAGCTGGGTGCAGTGTGCGTCCGCTGTAGTCTGGACGATACCCGCACAGTGCCTGGGTAGTACCCCGTTTCGTAATGTTGTCCCCTCGTACTGTCGCGCGTCGTAATAGCCCTTAGCTCCGTATTGTGAACGTGTGTGCCTATATATTCTGCTCTTCACCTGCCCTTGAACACACAACTCACTCACACACTCTCTTTCTTGCACTGGGCTCTCTCTCTGTGTGCAAATTACCCACAAACGAAGCTTTGCTGTGAATCAGAGACACCTTCTTGCTCTTCCTGAGCTTCCTCCTCGACAGCTACTTCTGCTGCAGCTTGCACAAACAAACAAGTCAGTGCCACGGTTGAGTCAGGAAATTCCCCAGCACAGTTTCGGCAGTCTGAGGCAGGAAGCTTCACTCCGAAGCTGAAGTGAGGTTGCTGACTTCTGTTACAGGAGTTCTTCCAACTCTGCCTCTTCCTTGCTCAAGACTTCACCCTTTCTCTTTCAGAAACAAGATCGTCTACCTCAGCTCAACCACTCAACCTTCTTCCTTCTTGTCGATGGTGGCTGCTTGACAACCCTTTGATCCTGTGTCGTGATTGGTTCCAACAAGACGCGACAAGACGCGCCCCCTGCCAAGCAGCTCAGTCAGCAACTAGAACCATCAACCATCACCCATCACCCATCAAGCGTCCCGTCTCTGAAGCTGAGAGATTCACAAGGCAAATCAACCCTTGTTGACTTCTTGGAGGCTTTTTGGATAGCTGTGACCCCTACAGAACTGTTTGGATAGGCGTTTGCCTTTGTCTTGGACCCTCAGTGAGGCCTGTTCTCACCAAGATGGCTCCAGTAGCATCAACCCTAGTGCTGCCAGCATATCAAGCGAATGAAAAAGTCTTCTGTTTTCACCTGGAGCTGATGTATGAAGCAAAGATCATAGGAGAGCCCAAGCGCAAAGATCCGAACGATCCAACAAGTCCATGGATGTATCATGTGCATTACAAGGGGTGGAAGACAACGTAAGTTGCTTTCTCCATATCTCTGCTGGGCGAAGAGCACAACACTGCAACACCGCAACACCGCAAGCCAGTCACCAGCTTTGCTTGTTCACCATTTAACCTCTACCTGTGTTCCCAAGGGGGAATAGCGTACATTGTCTGGCCTACTGCCTACGTACCCCCAACTCTGCTGTGTTCTCTGCTGTGTTCTCTGCTGCTACTCCCCTTCTTCACCCACTCCTGACTTCACACTCATCCTGCACCACATCTTCTCATCCATGCACGTGCTCTCACACACAGCACAAGCCTTCTGTGGTTGACTACATCCTCCTCTATCTCCTGCAAAGCACCGCCTCAAACATGGCGAGGGTCAAGTTCGTGGCAGACAAGAAACCTGATCCCCCCAAATCCTCTCCGCCCCCGTTTCCAGCGGATGAGGAACCTGACGAAGACAAAGTCCCTCCTCTTCCCGAACAGCCGCGAAGAAGTCTTCGAAACGTTGAGAGGGCGAGTGCTAACGAGTATCAAACAAGGTGGGATGACTGGGTTTCTGAAGACCGTCTCCGCAAACTTACCGAAGACAACAGAGAGCTAGCAGCAAGCTTGAGACGCGATGTCATGCAGACTGAAAACCGTGCGCGCAATCCCAAGCCGGTGACGGCACCGAAGAAAGGTCGTACCCAAGGCTCCGAGATCGGCTCTGGACGTGGCAGTGAAGAGCGAAATTCCTCTGTACCCACCGGAGGTAGAGGTGCCAAGCGTGGCAAGGACAATGAGATCGAGAAGGTAGCTACCCCTGCTTTTTTTGCTCCCCGAAGAAGTGCTCGTCTACTTGAATCCGCTGGTCCTGCCCAAAGCACCCATCCAGATTCCCCGGACCCCTCTCCCTCTGGATCTGACGAGGACGCGGACGACGACGAAACGGAGTCCCAGGATTCGGAACCGGACCTAGCATCTATCTTTAACTTTGGACCACCTGTTGCTTTCACGGCCAACAAAAATGAAGCCTCTACTCTTCAAGATGCTCCTGCGCGCGGATCACCTGTGACTTCAACTGCCAACAAAGACGAACTCTCCACGCGTCAGGATGCTCCTGCTCGTGGGATTTCTGTTGCTTCAACTGTCAACAAAGATGAGCTCTCCACACATCAAGATGCTCCTGCTCGTGGGATTTCTGTTGCTTCAACTGTCAACAAAGATGAGCTCTCCACACATCAAGATGCTCCTGCTCGTGGGATTTCTGTTGCTTCAACTGTCAACAAAGATGAGCTCTCCACACATCAAGATGCTCCTGCTCGTGGGATTTCTGTTGCTTCAACTGTCAACAAAGATGAGCTCTCCACACATCAAGATGCTCCTGCTCGTGGGATTTCTGTTGCTTCAACTGTCAACAAAGATGAGCTCTCCACACATCAAGATGCTCCTGCTCGTGGGATTTCTGTTGCTTCAACTGCCAACGAAGACGAACTCTCCCCACGTCAAGATGCTCCCGCTCGCGAGATGTCTGTTGCTTCAAATGCCAACGAAGACGAACTCTCTACACGTCAAGGTGCTCCTGCTCGTGAGACTTCTGTTGCTTCAACTGCCAACGAAGACGAACTTTCCACACGTCAAGTTGCTCCTGCTCGTGGGATGTCTGTTGCTTCGACTGCCAACGAAGACCAACTTTCCACACGTCAAGATGCTCCTGCTCGTGGATTTCCTGTTGCTTCAACTGCCAGTGAAGAAGTATCATCCAGTCGTCGAGCTGCTCCTGCTCGTGGATTTCCTGTGGCTTCAACCGCCAACGAAGAAGTATCTTCCACTCGTCGAATTGCTCCTATTCGTAAGGCTGCTGGTCGTGGCAAACGAATCAAGACCATGGCACTTAGGAAGATCCATAGCCAGTACGACGAGGAGGCAATGAAGCCTTACCCTCTTGATTTTTCTGCGGGCAAGAATAATCTGGAACTTGCTTTGACCGAGATTCAAACAGCCGTGCCAATGGAAGACGATGTTGTAGCGGCTCCTGGCTACTTCGCAGATGGGCAGTTTCAATCTCCTGCTCTTGAGACATTGACCAACGCCAAACGTCGACCAGCACGGCCAGCACGGCCACCTGGTATGCGTGTTTCAAGACAAGCCGAGCGATCGGTGTATCAAAGCGCGTTACCCCCTCCAGGTCCTGATGCAGAGCCAGCCGATGGTGACATGTTGTTCGAAGCGGCAATGAAAGCTCTCAGCGTACCACCTCCTCCCGACGAGCCAGAGCACATGACCATCGACACCTTCAAGCACGGCCATCATTGGGCACCACTGATTGGCGGCACAACACAAAGCGAGAAACAACAGATTGAGGACGAAGCAGAAGATATTGGTGCCTTCACTCCGAAGAAAGCGCCTCACCATCCCGAGTACATCAAGACTCGCATCAACGACCCTCTGAACGCCAACCGTCTCCATTTCTTCAAGGACCAAGATGCAAACCGGACCTTCACGGCCGCAGGTGGATCCAAGGAGCCCAACACTTACGTCGACCCACCAGGATCTGGACTCCGCTATGACGCCCTCAAATACCCGGAGTATCTTCTTCAATATGGACCTGATGTTCTAGGATCCCTGTCGGTGACTGATCTGAACAAACTCAGCCGCGACACCATTGTTCGCTTCCCCAAGGCTGCCCTCCGGAAGCTTCCCCGCAAATTTCTTAAGAAAATGAAAATTCCTAGACCTGCAAAAGCTGATGATCCCACTCAGGAGGAGAGTTTCTACTCGCGCCCGAGCGTCCACATCCCCATGCCCGATATGATCAAAGGCTACCTCGTCGACGATTGGGAGAATGTCACCAAGAACCTGTTTCTGGTTGGTTTGCCGAGTCTAGCCCCCGTCAACTGGATCATCGACGAGTATCACTACCGAGAACGAGACAAGAGGAGAGAGGGCAGTGAAGAGGCGACGCGTTTTCGGGAGTTCTGTATGGGAATGCAGACGTATTTTGGCAAGATGATTGGAAAGACGCTGCTGTACAAGTTTGAGAGAGGGCAGTATGCTGAGGTATCGCCGTCGACACCGATCCTTTTACCACTGGAGGATGTACGAACTGACTGACCTGTCACTGTAGTTGACCAAGCTTTGGGAGGAAGGAAAGGGTGCTTGGAAAGGCAAAGGACCAGGAGATTGCTATGGCGCCGAGCATTTGTGTCGCTTGATTGGTACGTCCATCCATCCACTCCCCTCTCTGCTGTGCAAGCTATCGACAGATACTAACCTCTGAATGCTCTTTTCACCACAGTCGGCATGCCCGAGTACATGGCGCGAACCGACATGACCCGCCAACATGTCAGCCAAGTCAAAGAAGAGTTGACATTGCTCATGCAGTGGATGTGCCGCAACTATCAACTCATCTTCGTCAACAAGTACGAGAGTCCTAGCGCTGAGTACATTGAGGCTGCGAGGGATTAGGTGGTTTCGAGTGGAGATGAGGGTTCGGTGGTTGATTTGGTGGTTGCTTCGGAGTTGGTGTGATGGTGATGGTGATGACGATTGGGATTGGGATTGGGACTGGGACTGGATCGCCAGCGAAGATTGCTTTACAATGTTGCTCTAGTATTTGCTCACGAGTCTGAATCTGGCTTGGTGCTCAAAAACATCTTTGAGCCCGCAGCAGTGCAGACACAGACGCAGACGCAGACGCAGCCCAACGAGCAAACAAACAGACAAGACACCTCGTGGAATGAGAAACAATGTTTCATTCATTCATTCGTTCATTTGTTTCATCCATTGTCAGAAGGTGCTTGCTTCAGCGTAGCGTCACTGCTCTCCCGAGTTGGAACCACCTCCCCTGACAGGCCCGCAATCCTCCACCTTTCCCCAATATATCAGAAGAGCAATGCGAACAGATCGTACCCACCAGTACCAACATCCGAGCCCCCATCTCACCAGCCACACATCCTGCAGCGTCCGTCCAAGAACGCTCGACGCTCGACGCTTCTTGCGCGCGAAATCGAATCGAATCGTAGATGAACAAATAAACAAAGCTGCAGAGTCAGCGAGTCCCCTCCGCTCCTCTCCCCCTCGCCAGTCACGGCTTCCATATCCAACTACCAACTACCCAAGCCTGCATGACGTGCTACAAGTATCCGTAAGTAAGTCATCTATCGGTTATACAGATATATCGCTGCGAAGGGGTATCACTTACGCCCTTCTCCACCCCCATCCTGCTATAATAGATGGACGGACGGATGGACGGATGGACAGGTGGATGAATAGACTGCCAGGCATGTAATCAACCGACCGCGTAAGTAGTAGCCCCACTTGGTATTGCAATACAGCGATGGGATATTCGGGCTGCGCTGGGAAGAAGTATCATCATCATCAGCAGCAGCAGCATCAACACAATATCAATCCAGTCCGCAGCCGTCTACGGGACACGAGACACGAGACATGATTCACGATGCACTTCCTTCCCCTCACCGAGGGGGAAATTCTGGGAGCTATGATTCTCCACCGCAGTGGTTCCGACGCTGTGATGTGCTGTGCTGGCTCTTTCTTCGGAAGAAGGAGTGACGGCTTGGAGGGGTGTGAGGTTAGGTGTGCATATATATATGTATATATGTATGTATGTATGCTCATGGCGTTTCTGGTCTGGTTTGAGTTGGGTCGGTGTGATGGGATGGGATGGGATTCATGGAGACGGCTGTACAAAACTTGGATAGCTGACTGAGATTGGGGTTGGATGGGAGAGGGAATCCAAAATAGATAAGAGCACGTGACCGTGATGGTAGATCGGATCGGACTCGTGGTCTCGCTCGGTACGCTTTTCTCCGTTGTCTCGTCTGCGGCTACGCCCCCGTCTCGTCCTCCGGCAGATGCCTCATCCCCTCCTCCAGCGCCGCGACAAACACCGCATCCGTCCCCTCCTCCGCAAACTCCGGTCCTCTCTTCCAATCCAGCCACTCCTCCGCCCTGGCCCCACTCTCCGCCCTCAACAGGCCCATTGCTACATCCACGCTTTCACCTCTGTTTTTGTCATTGACGTAGAATGCTGAGGCTGTGCAGGTCTTGCACGAGTAGCGATCTACGCCTGGCGAGGACGAGTAGTGCAGTAAGGACGGATTTGTGGGGGTGAGGGGGTAATTCAGGTTTGGATTTTCGTCTTGCTTGGACGAGGGGGAGGGAGAAGCGTCGGATGGGTTGGGGCTGGCATGGAAGAGATGGGATTGTGGAGCACGGATCCAGCATGCTATTTCGAAGCCGGAGGTCAAGCGGCAGGATGTGCAGGCGTCGAGGAAGGCCGGGTATCTCTGTGGAGTGCTTGTAGTTTCGGATGATGATGGTGGTGTTGGGGGTTGGAGGAAGAAGCTGACGGCGCCGCAGTCGCAGCTTCCTTTCAGGGACGGGGGTCGTGATGTGGAAGAGACTTGCTGTTTGCTGTTCTGGCTCAGGTCAACGATGAAGGAGTCCGTCGCTTCAGACGATTTTCGGTCGCGGAGGTGTCGGGTTGGATTTGTGCCGTGGCCTTTCTTGAGCCAGATGCTGGCGCCTCCGTCCTTAGTATCTTCGATCCACATCTGGACTCGGTCCAGAAGGCCTTCAGTGCTGTTTAGAATTCCACTGGCGAATTCCCACTCGTCGGGTTCTATGTTTCCGACATATGCGCCGCACTTGGGACAGAAGTAGCGTGTTACTTGTGGAGAGGAGACGTAGGCACTTAGATGGGAGAAATCAGGGCGAGATACCCCAGAGGGCATGACGGCATATGTAGCAAAGACTTGACCAGTGGCATAACGACATGAGTCACAATGGCAAACGGCAGCTTTGAGCGGAATGGCCGAGCTCGGAATGGTATAGGTGAAGGAGGCAAAGGAGCAGTGGCAGCGGGCTGTCAACGTTATGGCTGACATCATAAAAGGCTCGGAATTCTGGAAAGAAGAAGTAACATGCAGCTGAAAGCAGGGCCGTGTGAAGAGAAGACGTTCAAGAGAATAGAAGAAGAAAAGAGCTTAAGCATTAGTCATGGAGTGCGCCCTTTTTGTGATCACGTTGATCCCTGCTATAATACAGAAGCCACTTACGTATTGCCAAGGGCAGGAGGAGCACTGAAAAAGAGAAGAGAGAAGCTGAGGTGAAGCGGGTTCAAAGCACATTGTTTTAGTGGAAGCGTTTCTCTGCCGCTTTCCAGTTGACAACGTCCCAAACAGCAGCGAAGTATTCAGCCTTGCGATTTTGATACTGCAGGCTATGTAGAGGTTAGTGCTGGAATGAATAATGGGTGGACGACGAACTAGTATGCCTGTAAAGAAGTCAGCCAAATGGTCAGCAGTAAGAAGAAAGCCAGGACTAACATGTTCCCAAGCATCAATGCCCAGGAGAGGCTTGTACTGGCCGACAACAGGGTCTTGGTTCTGTTCAATCATCATCAGCATACCTCCATCACACACGAGGGAGTCTTCGAGGGAGTCTTCGAGGGAGTCTTCGAGGAAGTCTTCGAGCGTGGTGGAATGTGTCAAACAAATATGATAGAAGTATAATCCTTACAGCATATGTTTTTATTCCAATTTGACCTGTTTGTATGTCTTTCACAAGCCAAGCCCAACCACTGCCTTGAATTCCGGCTAGAGCTGTGTTGAACTTCTTCTTCATCTCGTCTAGACTACCATATGTCTCGTCAATGGCTTTGGCGAGAGACCCGGATGGTGGCTCCCCTCCACCAGATTGCTTTGGCGCAAGATTCTCCCAGAACAGTGAATGGTTGATATGACCTCCGCCGTGAAAATTGATCAATGGTTGGAGGGAAATCTTGGCTGCAATGTCGTCTTTAGATTCCGCATCCAAGAATTTCTCAACTGCTTGGTTGTATGAATTTACGTAGGTTTTATGGTGATTGTCGTGATGCAGTTGCATGATCTTGCCGGAAATAGATGGTTCGAGAGCGGCGTAATCATCTGGAACAATCACTGAGCATCCTACCTGGGCTCATTAGGTTTTCAAGATCAGCTTACAGGGCAGGTCTGGTAACGTAGCTTTGCCGCGGACAAAGCTCGTGCTTGCCGAAGCAGCTGTTTTGGCGGCATTGAAGGGACTCCCTCGACGCGCTATCGTAGCTACTGACTTTCTGAACAGAGCTGTAGCCATGCTGCTGAAACTAGTTCGCAGCTATGTATTCTTGATAGCTTGTTGCTGGGTCGTGTTCTGGAGGGTTGTAGCAGGACCTGTGTTGAGCTCTGCTCCATTTGATGAAGGTTGAATGTCATCCGTCATCCGAAGATGGGCCGCCGGAGCTACTACGCTATGTATAACTTAGTTGACGTTAACGCCGACGCTCTTCGTTCTTTGCCGGACACTGCGCTAAAGATATGCGCTATCCGATTTAATGAATTAACAGAATTCGAAGTCAACGGCGAATCTACGACTTGATCTCATGCATCAAGATCCTACGGAGACTGATGTCGGACTCCTCAGAAACCTCGAGTGCTGAAGATGGCTTTCTTTTCCCCAACACCGATCCTGGGGCGGAAGAGTTTGCTGAGCCGCGGCGCAAGCGGCGAAAAACTGGTCGAGATAATAAGGAAAGCGCTGCTCTAGGTATTTTCGGGTCGGATAGTGATGATGACCGGCCAGTTCAGCAGTGGAAATCACGCACCCTTCGAGGGAAAGGGGTGGGATTTGTGTCCTCCAAAGCTGACGGCGGCTCCGAGGTGGATGAGGAGGACGGGGAGGAAATGCTGGGTGTTGAGGTTCATGATACAGCAGGACTACGACCTTCAACTGGTACAGGTCTAGGATGGTCACAGGCAGCTCGAGAAAGTTCGCCCCAGAACATGAGCAAAAACCATGATATGGGTACGCCGTTAGGTCTGGGCTTTGCACCCTCTTCAGCACAACAAGCTTATACGGGTGCCAGAGAATTCATGAAAACCGAAAGCCCACCTCCAGCCATGTCTAGACCTTCCAATTTCGGAGCTTCCTCCAAGGGAGGCATGAACAACAATTCGTTTGCAGCAAAGATGATGGCGAAAATGGGCTATGTGGCAGGGCAAGGTCTAGGCTCATCTGGTCAAGGTATTGTCAATCCCATCGAGACCAAGCTTCGTCCGCAGGGAGCCGGATTGGGTACGGTCAAGGAGAAGACGCAACAAGCCAAGGAAGAGGCAAAGAGGGAAGCGGCTCGACGGGGCGAGGTGCTGGAGGACAGCTCAGAAGAGGAGAGAAAACGCAAACGAAAGGCCAAAGAGAAGCGAAGGCTCCAAGGTGGAAGCGGAGCTAGCACACCCGGATCGAAACCAAGGACCAAGTATCGCACAGTAGGAGATATTGAAGCGGCAGCGGAGGGTCTCGAGGTGCCCAAGGTGCTAAAGTCTTTGATTGACGCCACCGGCAGGGAGACGAGATTATTGACCTCTACCTCGGGTTTGATGACGCCTACAAATGAGGTATCAGATGGAGAATCAACCAAGATCGCCAAGCGAGCTAAGCGAGATCTGGAGGCGTTTGCAGATGCGTGGAATGCGGAAACAGAGAAAAAGAAATACATTGATGCACAGGAGCTGCTTCTTAGTGGAGAGATCGAGGCTAATAACCTCGCGATCGACCAGACCAGAGCTCTACTGAAAGCACTGGATAGCCTAAGTCTCGAAGGCAATGGGTCGTTGGACGAACAATGGGACGAGGTCATTCAAAACTTGGAGATCTTGCAGGTAGAGTTCAGCGGTCGACTTGAAGAGTATGGACTTCCTGAGGCTGCTGTAGCTTCGTTAGAGCCGCTGTTCAGAAGGAAGATGGAAGGGTGGGATCCGTTGCAGGATCCTGAAGGTCTTGTTTCGGCCTTGCGACGAGTTCTTCCCATTCTCGGCGTCAATGATGATCAGCCGGTGCACCAGAAGTCAACCACTCTATATGAATCGATGATAGTCACCCTATGGCTACCAAAGGTCCGCACAGTGCTGGTCAACGACTGGAACGTTCATGAAGCCAAGAATGCTGTAAACCTGCTGGAAAGCTGGAAACAAATTCTGCCCAGGTTTGCCTATGAGCAGCTATTGACTCAGACAATTGTACCCAAGCTGAAGAATGCGGTCAGAGAGTGGAAGCCGCGAAGCAACAGGAAACACCACTCGCACCTCGCCCCTCACAAATGGTTATTCGAATGGCTTCCATTATTGAGCGAGCGACAGAGAGATCTCAAGAATGCAAATGGTGTCATGGGCGAGGTCAGACGGAAGTTCCGATCAACCTTCGACCACTGGGATGTTACACGAGGCGTGATGGAAGGTATATCACATTGGAGGAACCTTCTTCAGTCAGACCTTGATGTCATCCTGAGAAATCACTTGCTCCCGCGTCTTGCACGACATCTGCGAAATCATCTCGAGATCAACCCACAGGAGCAAGACCTGGCGCCGCTCGAAGACGTGTTAAAATGGACAGAGTTCTTCAACCCTCACGTCATGGGCGAATTGCTTGTTGCAGAGTTCTTCCCCAAATGGCATGACGTGCTACACATCTGGCTGACCTCTGATCCCAACTACGAAGAGGTCGGTGAATGGTTCTCCTGGTGGAAGGAACAAATCCCTGAAGCCATTCGAGACCTGAAGCCAGCAGCAGATGAATGGCAAAAAGGCCTCGAGATGATGGAGCTTGCCCTGGAGCTGGGTGATCGCGCCGCTGAGGAGTTGCCAGCACCTGTTGCGAGACTCACCGAAGACTTTGTCAAGCGCAGCACGAACGGACACACAGCTGTGAAGGCTGAGAAGGTCGAGCCTGTCGCAGAACAAGATATGAGCTTCAAAGACCAGGTCGATCAGTGGAGCATTTCGGAAAATCTTTTGATGATACCGATGCGGGAAGCGCATGCCACGACCGGCCTGCCTGTCTTTAGAATCACGGCTAGTGCCACCGGCAAGGGCGGCGTGCTTGTCTACCTCAAGGGAGACGTTGTATGGGCGCAGAATCGTACTCGGGATGCTTGGCATCCTGTTGGGCTGGACAATTCTTTGGTTGACAGGGCGGAAGGGAAGTAAGCGCAATAGCCTGACGATCAATTACAGCAGACAAGCTGCGGGAGCGAAGCGCAGACAGAAAGCAGAAATGTATGCTTCAAAAGATATGAATGAATAGATCTAGCTGGCGACCAAGACCTTCTTTGAAATGCTGTTTTCCCACAAGCCATAAAAGAAACCCACTCCGCGACCACAGATACGCTATTTACATGCAGGCAGCGCCATCAATCCCAAGAACCTTTCCGTTGATCCATTCACCGTCCTGACTGGCCAGGAAAGCCGTCACGCGAGCAACATCCAACGGCAGACCGACACGGTTCAGCGGCGACCAGGTCGCAGCGTACTCATCCACTTGCTCATCGTTCAGGTTTTCACCGTTGGGGATATACTCCTTGCACACCTTCTGGTACATGTCGGTCTTGATGCCACCGGGCGCAACGGCGTTGACGGTGATCTTCTTGTCGCCACAGTCGATGGCCATGCAGCGCACAAAGGTCTCGATCGCACCCTTGCTGCCGGAGTAGACGGCGTGTTTGGGCACGCCCTTGGCCTGGCCGGTGATGGAGCCCATCAGGATGATGCGCCCGCCGACCTCGAGGTGCTTGTAGGCCTCGCGCGCCACGAAGAACTGGCCGCGCGTGTTGATGCCCATGACGCGGTCGTACTCCTCCTCGGTGACGTCCTTCAGGTGGCCGAACGACACCACGCCGCTGTTCGAGCAGACGATGTCGAGCTTGCCGAAGTGCTCGACCGCCTTGTCCATCAGCTCGATCGTCTCCGACACGTTGGCCACGTTGGCTCGGATCGCGATGGCGTCGGCACCCTTGTACATGCCCTTGATCTCTTGCACCACCTTCTCGGCCGCCGCATCTGAGTTGGCGTAGTTGATGACGACTTTGGCGCCGCGGCGAGCCAGCTCGAGCGCGGTCTCCTTGCCGATTCCGCGGCCGGAACCGGTCACGAGGGCGACTTTGCCGGTGAGGAGGTAGGAGGGGACTTCGTGGGAGGTGGTGCTTGGGGCAGGGCCATTGGATTGGTCGGGGGTGATTGAGAAAACCATCTTGATGGAATTATGTTTTATGTGGTTTGGGTTGAGTTGGGTTGGATTTGGGTGTATGTGGGCGAACTGAGGCTGAGATGCTTCTTGTCTAAGGTCGTCTTCGATAGAGAGCCTGTGAATTATGCAATATGTAGAGATTACTTCTCATGAAGAGACGGAAGCCTCTATATACTGAGGCCTTGTTCTCCGCGAGCCCAGCGGAGCTCAGGTCTGCGTCTCCCGTTCCGGCGGACATTATGGTCAAGTCGATGATTCCGGTCTCCGTCGCGTGGTTGTGGGACGCCTAGCAGAGTGTCCAACTGGTGAAATATATGACTCTTTGACCAAATCAACTCGATATTACTATCTCCTCAACACCAACTGCCAGCTCTCCATTCTCTAAGGAAACAAATCCGCATCTCCAGTAAGTCTGAAATGACAGGAATCGCCTTCTTCGCTCCTCATCTTCCTCCATTCCGCTTTCCGGGCACTTTGGGATGGCAGCCCAGCGGACTTTTGGATGCAGGAAGAGTCGGACCGCATCCCTAGCTCACAATCCACGTCCGGACGCCATCGCACATGCCGAGGCGCTAGTCTAGTTAGATCGGACTGCTCCCACTGGAGGTCCGGAGTTTTTTGATCTCTCGCAGTCTCGATTTAGAACTTGATGATTATTGTATTTCTCATGTTAGAGGGATAACTAGATCCTTGGTGAACTCGAGTGGTTGTAGCGCCGTGGCAGAGTAACTTGAAGGTGGTGCGCGATTCATTTGTGGGGATGAGCATTCTGACGCCGCTGAGCCCACTGCACCTGACGGACAATGTCTTGTCTCGATTGTTCCATCCGCAGTCTTGGTACTATTCTGACTTCTTCATCCTCATGTCTTTGTGCAGGCCACACAAGCTTTTCTACGGGTATGCGAAGAAGGGTTTACCCATCTACGCCAGAGCGATGGTCGAGGCAGCAAGGTCAGGGAAAAGCTACTCACATTGAACAGCGGCTTGGACTTCATGGTGGGGGAAAAGATGGGATGATTGCGTTGTACACCAGCAGCGGGGGTGTCATGAACGCCGTACGTGAACGGAGGAGGTAGGTGATAATCATCATGGGTTGGGCAGGATGGGAACAAGAATGATGGTTCCTGCGTCTGGCATGGATGGATCTTGTTGAGGAGGGATTTGGTAGAGTAAGCTAGCATATTGAAGACTACTTATAAGCACAAGTGCGGCAAAAGTTGGACCGACAGTGACTTGACCGCCTGTGTCCGGGTGGTGCAGGGAGGATTTCCACTTGTATCTGGTCGCCTCTGTCCAGGTGGCTAACAAGTGCTGTGGTAAGTGCTGTGGTTGACGGCCTCCGAGTCCTGATGTGTTCGCAGCTGGGCATGGTGTTCTCTGCTCAACTCTCTTCAACTTGAAAGAGGAAAAATATATAGACACGGATTCGACCAAAGTTGGGACCGACATCGATAGACCATCTTTGTTCGGATGGTTAAGGCGAGGAGATCGCACAGCCGCTACCTCGTTCAAGGTGGTTCACTCAGTGTCTCGTGGTTCACGCCCTCCAAGTCTATGTGTTCGATGCTTCGGTCTACCATTTTTCTTTTGATCACCCTGAAAGTGTTCGGATAGCATATCGAAGTTTATGGCTATCTTAGGACTGAGATCGACGCGACCGCCTCCCTGTGGTCAAGACAACAGATGCACACAGGAGCGCAGCTTTTACAGTTTGCTTTGTGGGTACATGCGGCTGAGGCCCTCCAGTCCTTGATGCAGTCTAGCTGATCTTCCCCATGGAGAGATGAGGCTGCATCAAGGGTTCGATGCTCTGCCTGCCTTTCTTTTCCATGTAATTTAGTTCGCGATTCAGATTGAGGAAATTTCTGCTTTTTCTTCAATCGTAAGTTCTTCATTTTACCTCTGCCTATTCTTTGGATCTTAAGTCCTTGGATCACGAGATGATGGTGCCTGGAGGCCGCCCTACGGTTATTGATGCCGGAGTGGTAAGCAATCTCATCCCATCTTACCGACACAAGTCGTGCATAAACTCCAGCTCATTATGGAAGACACACTTTGTTTGGTTTATTTGACGCAGTGGTAAGGGAGGCCCATTATCAACTTGTTGGGATTAATACACATTGGTAGAGATATTCAGCAAACCCTCAAATTTCCGGAAATCAGGTCGATTGGCCCGGTGGTAATTATTAGGTCGCCATTTGGCTTCCTTGGATATGCCAGGCAAGAAGCCCAGTGTATGACCACGGACCTGGTTATCCAACGATCCTCCCTTGGGGGAAGGGAGACGAGGAAACGGTTGACGCCCTTCGAGCCCTCCCCACTTTATTGCATGCTCTCCTGTGAAAAGCATTCTGTTTCCTCCCTACTTGTCGCTTGGTTCGGGAAGCAAGGTGAAAACAGCAGCGTTTTGACTTCGACTCTTGATTTTTGACATTCTTGGTTGGCCCATCTTTTTCATTTCTAGAGCCGCTCTACCGATGTAGACATGGTGGCCGACTTTGAGAGCACGAAAACATGTGTGTGATTTCGGACAACTTCCCTGGTAATACTTGCCGCAGACCAGAAAAGCACAGATATTGATGTTGAATAGCGAGATTGAGTACAGCTTCTCGCAACCGAAGTCAAGGATGGATCTGTTATTACTGACCTGAAACCTCGAAATGGCTGGAACTTCGCCCGATTTGGGGGACTTTCCAATTGATGATGGTATCCTTGCCAAATTCCCGCCTGGAACTACAGTCGTCTCTGCCAATCGATACGGATTATCGCAATGGACCAGCACAGCCCGACTTCATGTGAAATTCCTAGATGGTGAGACGAATCGGTATTTCCTAAAGACTGCTAAAGGAGAGGTTGGCAGACGACTCATGGAAGGCGAATTCCATGCTATCTCTGCTCTACACAATACTGATAACCTGTTCTCGCCCAAACCGCCTTCGTGGGGTAAGCGGAGTGGACCAGGCCCGGAAACGTACTTCTTCATTCTGCAGTACATTGACATGAGCGATCGTTTTCCAGATCCAAACCAGCTGTGCAGAAGATTGGCTCAACTGCATCGAAACAGCGTTTCACCAACAGGGAAATTTGGGTTTCACATCAATACGTGCCAGGGCAAGACTCAGCAAGCCGTAGGATGGGAGGACACTTGGACCGCACACTTTACGAAGATGCTAAAGCACGTGGCCAAGCTCGACCACGAGACAAACGGGCATTGGGAGGCACTAGAGAAGATAGAGGAAAGGATCTTCTCTCATGTCATACCTAGGCTGGTCGGCGTTCTTGAGTGTGAAGGTCGAAGCATTAAGCCGTGCTTGATTCATGGTGGTTTGTGGGAAGGTAACACTGGAACCACATTTGATACGGGAAACATCTACACGTTCGATGCCGCATCATTCTACGCACACAACGAAATGGAGATTGGAGACTGGAGACCCTTCTACAACAACATTCACAACAAAGTCTACACTCAAACCTATCTAAAGAACTACGCACCGAGTGAGCCCAAGGAGGAGTGGGATGACAGTAATCGATTGTACGCCACCTACTACAACATACTTTATTCTGTCAATCACAGCAGCCAGGGAACAGCAATTCATCAGATGTAAGTTGAAGTGCGTCTCAAGGAAGGCTATTAGCTAATTTATGCCAGGGCATTTGATGATTTCTACTATCTTATCGGCAAGTTCGCACCTTTTGCGAAAGGGGAAGCGCCTCCCAGACTCGAGCAGGATCAGCGTGTGGCTTTTCCACCCGAGGCCGATCACACTGCAACTCAATTTGGCTCAGCAGAATCTGCTGCATACGCGGAAAAGATGAGGAATAGTGCCGGAAACTAGATCAATGGCACGTATACGTCCAAGGTATGTGCGGTCAGTTTGTGCCCGGAGAGAGTATAGGTTGCTCACCTGTCCTCCCACTCTTTTGGACGAGGAAGACAATATTGTACATGGAAAGATTGGTATTTATCTGCAAGATGAGCTCACCTGTTCTGAATGTAAAGCAGTAGGCCTTCTCAGTGCAACCCTAACCCACGATAGCCAAAGCTCAAAACACCCACTCATAGCTATCGCTAATCCATGCCACTGCTCCTCCAACAACAGGTCCAACGCAAGCTCCCAAGTTCAAAGCCATGCTCACTGGTCCCAGCATCCTGCCCGCTCACTCGGTACACAAACATCTGCAACAACGCCACAGCTCACCGCAAAAGCTGCACTAGCACCCAGACTCTGAATTGCTCGCAGAGCCAGCAAGGCGGCCAAGCTAGACTTGTTCAAGGCGAGTCCGAGATTGCCCAGGGCGTATACAGCTAGTATAATCAAATACACCAGCCGGCGACCGATAGAGTCGGAGAGAGGAACCAAAGACTGTTGGCGACAGGGCTTGGAAGACAATGTATATTGATATGGTAAGATTGATAGCTTGGGCAGAAGTGTTGAAGTGTGTACGAAGGAGAGGCAGTAGGGGAAAATAGATTGTTGCTGTGAGTGGTGAAGTAATAGCCGCGAAACCTAGGAGGACGCGTAACCGTCTCTTCTGACTTGGTGTGTATATGGTATATGGCATGGAAGATGGTGGTTGGTCTGAAGAGGGAGGTTTCTCATTCGTGGCATTATCTGCCACTTGGTTGGAGTGACTTGCTGGGCTGGTTGCTTCATTTTCGCTGTTGTTGTGTTGCGTGGGCGAAGTAGGATTCAATGCCTGCTTCTCTGTACTCATGCTCATCTTTAATCCCGGCTGTCCAGGCACAATGGATTAAAATTACCAAATCCAAAAACACTCTAGGAAACAATATGGACCAACCTTGACCGATGAGTACCTACACACATCAGTCGGGCACGCGCCTAGCAGCGCGCGTGGGGGTCACATAGTAATGACTGTTGCACCAGGGGGGCGCAGGAATCAGCGAATGTTCTTCATGCCTGTATTTGGCATTCAGGGTTCAGACTCTTCTGCGAAGACCTCTTTTTAGCGAATGCGGTTAGACTGCCGGCTAGTTGCCGTTTTAGGTCGCAGCTAAAGAAGAATCTGAAATTTGAGACAAGCAGGATACGAAATCATATGAATATTGTCTCTTCACCTCTGACCAAATTACACAGTAAAACCACATCTCTTTTGATCCAAACTCTGGGCGTCATGCTTCATCTCATGCATTGGCAAGCTGCAACTCTGCAAGCACGGCTCTCGGCTGCACAGAGACCCAATCCAATAATCTTCAACGCGATTAGAGCTTGAATTGTTATGTAGTAGAGCTAGCTAGGAGACTTCAGTAAGAGAAACACAACCGAGGCGCCGGATACTGGTGCCAGCGCTGTAGTGAGGTCATATGTGCTTTCCTCAGTAGCAATGCTATCTGCTAGTTCTGGAGGAGAGAAGTTTTGGTTGGCTGCAGCGAGGGAGGGACGAGGATTTGAAGGTGAAATAAGAAACTGTCCCATTCTTTTTCTGCTGCACTACTTGAGGGAAACCTACTTGTAGAAATTGCTGCTGGGCAAGATGTAATATCTGCAGGGGGAAAACAGGATATAAAATGTACATGTTAGAGTGGCCCCAACGCCGCAAACCATCAAAAAAGCAAAAGGAGAATCCGTCGCCTACTACCCGATGGTAGTTTGTCCTGAACAGATTCTACTTTTGTTGTGAATTGTTGTAGTTGCCATGATTTGTTGTGAGGAGGAAGGAGTAATAATGCTTCTGGTCGGTAGCATGCTGGTATTCGAACTCCTATCGATGGTCGACCCGTAACTCAAACGCCTTTTACCCCGAGTGGTAATTTGATCCAATTGAGCTAAGGGAACTGGTGTGGTAACAAAGCTTTAAAACCAAAAATATATATCTTTGAATTATGAATCTTTTTGCGGTGTTGCATTGAGGTCCACAGCTCGCAAGTCTTAACATTCCAAGTGTTCCCACAACATTATCACAACTTTCCCTGCTGTTCCCTCCAATAAGCTGCGACAAACATCTTTGAGCTTGTCTGGAGGAACTCTGGACTGAAATATGGACAGGAAGAATCTGAGAAGGGGAGTCTAGTCAGCACAGAAGTTCTTCATTGCCTCCACAGACCCCACGAGAGTCAAAAGCGAGTTACAAGCCAGAGATTGATCACGCAGGTCAATCAATCCACGCCGTGTCAGTTTTTCTCGAATATTTTCGACGAAGCCGTTCAGCTCGACTAGGGAACCACATCAATAGCAACATTCTTACCAATACTCTTCTATCCTAGCAAGAACCGAGAGCATATTATAAGACCTCCTTTAAACACTCCTTGGATCTGGAAAATAGCTCTCAATTTATCATCTCAACAAAGCATCCCAGAGTGATGACGTGAGCGCTCTGGCCACAGATGCCTAACACGCAGCAAGGAGATGTCATCGCTTTGCTGGTGTGGCCCGAGTTGATATCATGCTTTCTCCCTTTTTCATCCAGATCTTCTCCGTCAAAGCAATGGAGCTTCACCAGCGGACGGCTGAACGTATCTTCTCACCGCTCCTGGCATGATATCGCAGACCCTCTTGCCATATCCAAGCGAAATAGAGTCTCCACATACCAGATACATTATATTCCTCGAGATCTGCCTACAAACGTGGAAGTTTATGGAGATCTGTACTTGGTGATATAAAAGGGTTGAAAGTCCGCTTTTTGTCACTCAGAGAGAAAAGTGCTAGAGAACAGAGACCTTTTTCAATCTGTGGGTTGAAGAAGGTCATTGTCTTAAGGTCATCGTCTACAGGATCGTAAAGAGGTAGATCGTGGCGCGAAGTTCGGGTGGCAGCTTGAGATAATGGAAACCAATGATATGGGATGAGCTTGGCGAAACCAGCCTCGACGACGACCTGTGAGACGGAGGTTTCATGTCTCTATAACTGAGGAGAGGGTGGCCAGGACATTCGTTACAGCACTTGCTTGCTTGAACAACGGCTTTGCTCAGGCTAGGATAGCTATTTGGGAGACAGGCAAAGGCACGAAATGGCGTCGAACCGTAGGAGTTTGCTGTATCAATGACATACATCCAACCTATGGTAGGCTACATTTGTGTATGAATGGTTATCCAAATGAATAAAAAGGTGGTGTAACTTAGATGGGGTGCTGAGAGACGTCCCCAGAGTTGTTGCCCCTTGCCAAGAAAAAATTGTTCTTGACTCCGACTTGCGAGTCTCAACAACCAGTCTCATACTATAGTACATGCAGCCAACACGTCTGCACTTGATAAATTCTAGGGGATCTTTCGAAGTATTGAAGATGATTTCCAACTGATTCTCTTTCACAACAGCTACAAGTCATAATGGCAGACTCAGGGTCCCCCTCCACAGCCACAACTGTTGTTGCAGTGGGCCTGGTTGCCGTCACAGTCGGCTACTTTCTAGGCCAGGGGTCCAATATTGGGCTATTCAGCATTTCTGGGAAAACCCCACAGCCTGCTAGTAAGATGAGGAGCTGGCCAAATAGCTACAATGTTACAATACATCCTGACTCCAGTGACGAGGAGTTGATGGCACAACAGAGGGCTGGGGCCGGAACACAAGCAGATGATAATGAAAGTGATGAAGAATGTGATGGGAAAGAGCTGAAGGATTTCTCGAATACTGCAGAAGAAGTCAAGTTGGTATTGGTGGTGAGGACGGACCTCGGTATGGGGAAAGGTACGACTTGACCCCTTCCAGCTGTACGACAAGCTTGCATATTCAATACTGATTTGGGCCATTGAATGTAGGCAAAATTGCAGCACAATGCTCCCATGCAACGCTAGCCTGCTATAAATACCTCATCAACCATGCGCCCTCAGCTGCTCTCTTGCAACGATGGGAAAGAGGAGGCCAACCCAAGATAGCAGTGCAAGCCAAATCAGAAGACGATTTGATGACTTTGCAAGCACAAGCAGTAAGCTTAGGCCTGTGCACAAGAGTTATACATGATGCGGGAAGGACTCAAATAGCTGCAGGTAGTGCAACTGTCCTGGGTGTCCTAGGGCCGAAGAGTGTCGTCGACCAGGTTACAGGACAGCTAAAGCTTCTCTGAGAAGGTCATTCAGCATATTCCTTACTGCCCGCCCACCTTCCTGGACTAGAGAGATCCTTCTTGTGATTCAAGCAGGCCACAATGCAGTGACAGGTGTGGCGGCGAAGTTCTGACTATACAGAGATGCAAGCATAGAGACCTTATGCTTGAAGGCGATACCAGAAGTGAACAGACCTATTTTTGCACTGTGGCAGAGCAGTTGAGGGTTGAGGGTTGACAGATGCAGGCATGATGATACCGGGACTGCTGCGAAGTAGAAATAGGCGGAATGTGAGACTGGCTGATATTCTGGTAGGAGAGAAAGGGGAGAAAGTCTTTATCTCACCATTTGTCCTGTCAGGATAGGCTGCTGACTTCTTCATAGTCAACTGGTACCATACAGAGGAGGTGCATCTCTTCATGCGGCGAAATGACCCAGAAGTGACAATGCCTTCTCAAGGAATGTCCATGAGATAGTGGACAGTCTGCCAATGCTCCATACAGCACGTCAATAGACAGTACTTTGTCTATATTGTCCGTCTGATGTTTTTGTATCGTTGGTTGCATGTGAGAGCGAGCCCTGCACAGAGTCTTGTCCCGGAAGCTGTTTCACTTACTGCCTTCAGATGCAGAACAGTGTTAGTTGTCAGTCAACGAGGGTTGGTGGACAGCCGGCCGCCTTGTATGCATAGCCAGATAATTTCCCTTTTTGGTTTGACATGTGTGTGGTCTAACATATTCGGACGTTTGTCTGTATCTAAGCGGAATTGGTCACCGCCTCACGCTGAGGTCTTCTCTTTTGCCTAGCGACCTGCGTTGTTTGTGCCTTCACCTGCATCATTCACCATCGTTGTTGGTCCTCATACTTATTTTCCGTTGGACGTACCTCTTCCACTCATTTTCAACCTTAGCTGCCAACTTCCTACCAGGTGGAATAGCCCAGGCTGGAACATTGATTTTCTTCTCTCAGTGTAGAAGGATAGCAATTCGACATGGCTACCAGCAACGAGAAATCGCAGCAGTCCAGTCTGACCTCCAAAATACCACTTCAGATCTTCTGTGCCAATACAGATCTTGGAGACCATGAACCTCCGTGCAGAAAGCCTGGGTCAAAAGCTTGCAGTGGCTGTTTTTTGGTCCAGGTTGGTTATCCTCAATCATTATCTTGACAGGGAACTGATCGCTCGCAGTACTGCAGCAAGGAATGCCAAAAGATCCATTGGCCTGCACACAAGCTCGATTGCAAATCCCCTCTGATCAAGGAGACTTGGAAACCGTCATGGCATATGGAGAGACGAGAACCAGCCTTTATGAGAGTCAGTTTTGTTCATAACTCATTTGGCATGCCGAAATATCTCTGGGGGAATGTTCCGGCGATTGACCTGCTCAATCTGAAAGACAATGAAGCTGATGCTACTGAAGAAAACTTTCGATTACTATTTGCAGGTAAAGACGCCTCCAACCCGAATAACGCTCACATTACCCGCTAACCCGCTCAAAGCATCAGGTGATTTGCGAAATTTCATAAAGTCGGTTCTCGGGCTTCCTCAGAAGTACACCGGTATGTTGGAAACAGTTGTCAACGATAGGGATTTTGATCTTGTATCACGAAATGTGATCCTTCTCTTAACAGCGCTACATTTCGATCCGGACACGGCTGCAATAATCATGCTCCACCTCTGGTACTCTGCTCTGCTTCCTGGACGGATACTCCATCAGCTTCGCGAATCCGTATTACCACTCATCCAAGAAGTGTGCATGAAAATCCAGGCAAAGCCATCCGGGGGGATGCTTTCTAAAAAATGGACTCTTGGAGCGCGATCACTACGGCTTGTCCTTCCTAAAGAGGATTGGAACCTCCTATTATCCTATTTTGAGGTGCCCAAAAGCCTGTCCGCTACCCAGGCTCAAAAGGTTCGCCGGGACACGACCATGGCGTGTCAAAGAAAAGATTATCTGGACCGAGCGCTTTATAAGATCCCACCAGGATGGCGAGCTGGAACGATGAAGTTTCGTGATGATGGGATATTGCTACCGTTCAGCGCTTCGCGTCGAGAGTTTGACACTCCGAATCCGTATGTAATGCTACGACTACTACATGCGCAACGTTGCAGCTAACTAGATGTAGCACATTCTACCAGAATGATTCCCGGTGGCCGCTTGCAGACTCTGCAGGACCTCTGGAAGGCTGGTCAATTGATGAGGTTTTGCAAAAATTACCCGACGCAAAGAACGACATATATGGGGCACTGTTCTTCTATCTGAAGGACCTTCTCACTCGATTCTGCAAGAAGATTGCCAAAATCTCAATCAGCGTACAGCTCCTACATGTGGACGCAGTCGATTTGCCTGACACGCTTAGACAATGTGGAGTCGGCGAGGATTCATTTGACAGAATTGAGGTAAGTGAACCAATATCCTTGGCGTTGGGAATGAGACACGCACAACAGATTCAATTTTATCAGAGGTTTCAAACATGAACTAATCTCTGCCAGCTGTCCAACATTTGTGATGAAGTGTACATAGGGCCCGTTCGCTGCCTTTTTGTCCTCGGTCCTCTTCTCCGAACGCCGGCGTCAAATCCACATGCGACGCTCCTCATGTTGTTCCTCAATGCGATTGAAGAGACTTTCATAAAAGAAGAGAAGAGGGGAAATGTGGATTTCGACTTCGATCCCATGAGGCCCTATTTCCCACGACTGGATGAGATTCTCTCCAGAAGTGTTTATGATCCCGACAATTTGAACGTATGGGCCGCTACAGCGAAATTCAGGGATTTCGATGGGCTATGGGAGCGGTTCACAAAGGATTGCCGATTACATGAGGTCGGAAATGCGACCGGAATGGTCATGAAGGAGAATACGATCGTACCGAAATGGCCCTTGAGGTTGAAGCAGCATGCCACACAGGCAGAGTTCAGCAGGCTACAAGCAAGCGGTCGCACTGGCTGTGAACGATACGCGGAGTGGAGAAGGGCGGCATAATTGCTGAAATAGGGTGATTCTAAATTTGCTACCGTCAGTCGATGATTCCATCTGGGAATATCAGTTTGAGGTTGGTTCTTCGCACGGAGCCAACGGAGTGAGCTGTCTTGGACTCTGCTGTAAATGTACGGAGTGTATCATGCGCCAATCAATCCGCAAGCCTGTCTGTTTATACCGAGCTTATCGCGTGAAGGAGCCTGAATTAAGCAGATTTGGTGCACTGGACAATACATACCTATGAGCATTGAGGTGTAGAATTGATAACCGAACCAGATTCCAGTACGAAGAAGATATGTATTGGGAATAATTAGTGCGGGGGTGGCCGATCTCGCCACAGAAGAAATTGAAAATTCTTCCCCGCATCAACTGCCCACATCGAGACCCTACGAATTTGAGTTTCAATTAGCTAGTCTGGGGACCTTTCCATCATTTTGTTCATCAGCTAGCTGCACAGTCATACCAAAATAAATCTAGAGAGTCATCCACTCCCTGCCACTCTTTTGCAGCTCTCACCGCAAATCTGCTCTACCGTCTTCACTCGCTCGATTAGGCTGCGTCTCGCTTCTTGCTTCATCCCGTTGTAACCTCGATCTCGAGTTTTCATACTTACCCTCCACCAGCGAACATGTGCCCCTCCGCGGAAAATGTTGAGAGCCAGGTAAATGGTGTGAATGGCCATACCAATGGTGCTAATGGAATCAACGGCAGTAAAAAGTGTCTCCTAACGTCAAACAAGTCCATTCTGACAAGATTGTGAAGATCACTCTGGCTATACTGGCATTCATACCCGTGAGAACCCGCACGCTCAATCACGGAACCCATACCAGCCGGTCGGCGATTTTCTCAGCAATATCTCCCGCTTCCAGATCATCGAGAGCACTCTTCGAGAGGGAGAGCAATTTGCCAATGCCTTCTTCGACACCGAGAAGAAGATCGAGATAGCGAAGGCGTTGGACGACTTCGGAGCAGACTACGTGTGTTCTTCGTGCCACGAAGATGTGCATTGGGTTTCTGATTCAGCGATGATAGATCGAACTTACCAGTCCCGCTGCTTCGGAACAATCAAGGCTGGATTGCGAGGCAATCTGCAAGCTCGGATTGAAGTCCAAGGTGAGAATGGATGTCCGCCCTCGGTCCATTCGCACACGCCACTGACGATTCCAGATCCTTACACACATTAGATGTCATATGGACGATGCCAGAATAGCAGTCGAGACCGGTGTCGATGGGGTGTAAGTTCCCGCTTCTCGTACTGCATGCATGGCGAGGCTGAGTACCTCCTTAGTGATGTTGTCATTGGAACCTCCTCGTTTCTTCGAGAGCACTCCCATGGCAAGGATATGACCTACATCAAGAACACCGCAATAGAAGTTATCGAATTTGTCAAGTCCAAGGGCATCGAAATCAGATTTTCTAGCGAAGACTCATTCCGGTCAGATCTTGTCGATCTTCTCTCCCTCTACTCCGCAGTCGATAAGGTTGGTGTCAACCGTGTAGGTATTGCAGACACTGTTGGCTGCGCTTCTCCCCGGCAAGTGTACGACCTCGTCAGAACACTTCGAGGTGTCGTCAATTGTGAGATTGAAATACATCTTCACAACGACACTGGATGTGCGATTGCGAACGCTTATTGTGCGTTGGAAGCTGGCGCTACGCATGTCGACACATCGGTCCTTGGGATTGGCGAGAGAAATGGTATCACTCCGCTGGGTGGTCTTATGGCAAGAATGATTGCAGCAGATCGCGACTATGTCAAGAGCAAGTACAAGCTGGAAAAGATCAAAGATATCGAGGACTTGGTTGCCGAAGCAGTGCAAGTCAATATCCCCTTCAACAACTACATCACTGGATTCTGCGCTTTTACACACAAGGCCGGTATCCACGCAAAGGCTATTTTGAACAACCCAAGCACATACGAAATCATCGATCCGGCCGACTTTGGTATGACTCGCTATGTGCACTTCGCTTCACGTTTGACGGGCTGGAACGCTATCAAGTCAAGAGCGCAGCAGCTAAATATCGAAATGACGGATGCTCAGTACAAAGATTGCACAGCCAAGGTTAAGGCTCTGGCTGACATCAGACCGATTGCCATCGACGATGCAGACAGTATCATCCATGCATTTCACAGAAATATTCTTCATGGCCAGAATAAGCCAATCTTGTTGCCCAACATGAGTGACAAGGAGAAGAAGCTGCTGGCAGAAAAGGAAGAAGAGATCGCTGATGAGCCAGAGAAGAGGGCTTTGGATCAGCAGGTAGCAGAGGAAGCTGACATGGAGAGAACCATCAAAAAGGCACGAACAGCCCAAGTAACAGCATGAAAGACATCTTTTGCATCCAACGGCGCTGTGTTATGGGGGAAAGCTCTGGCTCCAAAAAAGCAGCGGCACGTACTTGGAGGGTGTTTTCAAACATCGCTACATTTACCGGTGAAACTGATCACTATAACTGGTTCAGATCATGCTCCAAACATCCAAATATACAACTACCTACTATAACTATGCTTGAAGACGCTGAGTTGCACTTCTGAAGTTATTGCCCTGCCGATGCTGAAGTACATAACTAAGTGACTATGAATTAAAAAGTGATCGTGCCCCGCAGATGCTTGCCGAGGTCCATCATTTTGTATTTGCCATTTGTATGCTGTTCCACGATTTTCATGTCCCTCGCAATATCATCCTCGCATTAAGGCAACATCTACTAATGGGCTCCTCAGCCCTCCCCATCTCTCTTCAGGACAAATTAAGAAAGTCTCAGGGATATTCCCGCCTCAAGACCTTAAGTACAAACCTCAACTTGTAAGATCGCTCATCCACACCCAGACGCCACCTAACTCCACTTGCAGTCTCCGTAATATTATCTTCGCTTTATTCCTCCTTCGCTACCTGCGGAAATCCTTCTACCTAGTCCGCGGGTATGGCATATTCGGAACTCTCACCATCGCATATTCTCTCTTCCGCAAACGTGCCTATCAGCTCTTTCTCCGCGCTCCAGGCGTGCGGTCCAAAGTTGACAAGCACGTCGCCACGGCTATCACTGAGATCGAAGACAAGCTTGCTCCCCAGGGGCCAGGAGTGACGAGGTATCTGACCTTACCCAAGGAGCCATGGACCGGGCAACAGCTGGATGCGGAGTTGGGTCAATTATGTGAGATGAAAAGGACAAGATGGGAAGACGGGAAGGTTAGCGGTGCGGTTTACCATGGCGGAGAAGATCTGTTGAAGCTACAGGCCAAGACGATGGAGATGTTTGGCGTTGCGAATCCGATACATCCTGATGTATTTCCGGGTGTCAGGAAGATGGAGGCGGAGGTGGTAGCTATGGTTTGGATATCCACCCTGCTCGGCACCATCCCTGATGGCTAATACTCTCAGGTTCTTTCTCTGTTCAATGCTCCACCTCCTGGTGCTGGTACGACTACATCCGGCGGCACTGAATCAATCCTCCTATCAGTCCTTTCCGCTCGCAATAAAGCACACGCTGAACGCTCAGTCACAAACCCCGAACTTATCGTCCCTTCTACCGCCCATGCAGCCTTCCATAAAGCAGCATCCTATTTTAACATCAAGATTCATGTGGTGCCTTGTCCAGCACCAAACTATCGTGTCAGCATACCGAAAGTCAGGAGGCTGATCAACCCGAATACGATTATGCTGGTAGGTAGTGCTCCCAACTACCCCCACGGCATTGTTGATGATATTCCTGCCCTCTCCCGCCTAGCATTAAGCTATAACGGTGGAATTCCTTTGCACGTGGACTGCTGTCTCGGCTCCTTCTTGATGCCCTTCCTCCCATCCGCTGGCTTCCCTTCCCCATTTGCCGAGACAGGAGGTTTCGATTTCCGAGTGCCTGGCGTCACTTCGATTTCAGTCGACACGCACAAATATGGCTTCGCACCCAAAGGCAATTCCGTAATCTTGTATCGGAGCAAGCAGTTGAGACAGTACCAGTATTTCATCTGCCCTAACTGGAGTGGCGGTGTCTACGGCTCACCCTCAATGGCTGGAAGCAGACCAGGGGCGCTAATTGCAGGGTGCTGGGCTTCTATGATGTCGGTTGGGGAAGCTGGATACATCGAATCCTGCCACAAGATTGTTGGCACACGAATCACCATACAGAACGCAATCATCGAGCATCCAATCCTGAAAGGAAGCCTAAAGGTGCTGGGCGAGCCTAGCGTCAGTGTTGTCGCGTTTGAGTCTGTTGATCCGGATGTAGATTTATATGACCTGGCGGATGGAATGAGCAGCCGAGGATGGCATTTGAATGCACTACAGCATCCGCCAGGGATCCACGTTGCCGTTACCTTGCCAATGACCAAGGGTGAGGCGGTGGAGAGATTGATCAATGATCTTGTGGAGGCCGTCAAAGTGGAGAAGGAGAAGGCGGATGAGATGAGAAGGAGTGGTACCGGGTTTCAAGGAGAGAAGAAACGTGGCAATGCAGGGGCATTGTATGGTGTGGCAGGAAAGATACCAGATAAGAGTGTTGTTGAGAGGTTGGTGGTAGGGTTTTTGGATACGTTGTACAAAGCATAGCAGGCAGCTGGGGAAGTCTTCTGAAGAGCTCGCTGAAAGAAAATGCAGTAGATGATAGGGCTATTACGTGGCTGAAGGAGGACAGCCTGTACCAAAAGCCAATAATCATCACAACCTTCCTGCTGCAAGCACAGAACACGAGGTATAAGTATGAATATATGAATACCGTCTCAACTTGCTGAAATTCATCTTCCCAAAGAGAGTTAAAAAAACAAAACTCCTGAGCAAAACAATACCACAGAAGACTCCTGTAGTAAGACTTCACAGTCCTCCAGCTCCATCTCCAGCTTCCAAAAACTGACCGGGAAAAGACAAGGTGTTCTGTGATAAGAAACACCAAAATGTAGGCGCCATGGTTTGTCCCGCTCTCACGCCCCAATGGAGTCAGCAGGCCCAGGGGAATATGACGCCCTCCCACCACCAGACCCAGACAAATCGTCTTCGAACCGAGCTCAGCCTGGGTTTTTGGCCCCGACGAACTCAAGGCCCTCCGAATTGCCGGTCGTGGTGGTGTAGATTTATTGTGTAGATCTGTCGACTTGGAAGATTGACATTATTGCGGAAAGATAAAAATGGCTCCTTTGAATCCGTCGATATGTTCGCGATGCTACGACTGAGACACACCGCTCACGCGACAAGCATCAGCGAAGTGATGGATGCGTGTGGGCAGGGCCAGGAGCAGGGCGATTCAGATCTGGTGTGTTAAAAAATGAAGGAGCTGTGGGTATGAATTTATTTTTATGTAGAGAGTTTGGTAGATACCGAAGATCTGCCGGCGCTAGTATCGTGACTGCAGAGAGTGGAAGACTGAGACTTGGCATACAGTAAATCTCATGAGTTGAACTTCTTTACCTGGAATGTTGAGCTGATTCCTCCGCTGTGATATTTGCCCCTTCCGCAAGAACATCTTGGAGATACGAGAGTTGTGAGTAGTCGGGCCCGAAATGGCGGACATAGACTACGAGCAGCAGAACCGTATCCGCATCGCTCTGGGCCTGAAGCCTTTACCCGTCCCAGGCGCTTCATCGGCTGCTACCACCACCACGATCACCAGTGGCCCCAAATTCAAAGACCATCCATCCTCCGATGACTCTGAAGAAGAAGACCCTGCAAGCACCCTCGAGACCCGCCAGGCAGCCAGCTACGACAACTGGAAGAAAATCCAAGATGACGCCGAGGCGAAGAAACGACGAGCAGCTAAAGCCGAAGCGATCAAGAAAGCCCGGGACGCAGCGCAGAAATATGTGAAGCTCGAGGGAAAAGGACTGGGTGATGCGGATCCAGATGTGGATAAGGATACGCGATCGTGGCTTTTGGGAGCGAACAAGAGGCAGAAGAAGCTGGAGCGGGAGAGGGCGAGGAGGATGGAGGAGGAGTTGGCGGAACGAGAGAGGCTTGCGGCGGTGGAATATAGTGCTAAGGATTTGGCGGGCGTGAAGGTCGGGCATGAGATTACCGATTTTGAGGACGGGCTAGCTGGGGAGAGTGGGGAGCAGATTTTGACGTTGAAGGACACGACGATTGACGAGAACGAGGAGGAAGGCGATGAGTTGGAGAATGCGGATATCAAAGAGAGAGAGAGGTTGAGGGAAAGGCTGGAGCTGAAGAAGAAGCCGATTTATGATCCGCATGCTGCGGAGGAAAATGGGGAGAAGAAGGTTCTGGCGCAGTATGATGAGGAGATTGAGGGAAAGAAAAGGAAGCATTTCGTATTTGATGGCCAGGGGACTACTGTTGAGGAGCGGGAGGCTAAGAGGCAGCAGATTGGAGACAGGTTGAAGAATCAGCCGATCAGCCTTGATTTCTTGAAGTCTGAGCCCAAATCAGACTACATGGAGGTGTCCGAAGTCAAAATAAGGAAGCCGAAGAAGTCGCGGAAGAAGGCTGCACGGCAGAGAGCGCTCGACCAAGACGATGACATTTTCCCGCAGCAGGCAAACGGCCATGCTTCGAACCATGACTCCATGGATGTGGATGGTGCTGCTTCTACTGCAACAGCAAGAAGGAAGACAATTGAGAAGGATATCGTGGACGATGAAGACCTTCAAGCCTCTCTAGCTATTCAAAGAAGAGCCGCTTTTAAGAAGAGAAAGAGGCAACGCCCAGAAGATATTGCACGACAGATCCAAGAGGAAGGCTCTGCAACCCCTGGTGAGATGGACGTTGATGGTGCCGACGCCTCTGAGGATGACCCAGGCCTGGTCATTGACGAGACATCAGAGTTCGTGGCCAACTTACAACGTCCTACAGAAACAAACGAACAACCGGTGAAATCTGTTCAAAAATCCGTAGAGAATGGTGGAAGAGCTGTCTCGGAAGAATTTGCGGATATCGATATGAAAGAAACATATAATGGCGTAGAAGACGAAGAAGCTCTTCTTGCTGGCCTCAGGAGAGAGAGGTCGACAGTAACGCCTGACCTCACCACTACTGGTCTGGACGAAGAGGCCACCATGGACCAGGGTGTGGGTGCTGCATTCAACCTACTGAAACAGAGAGGGTTGGTCAAAACAGCTGACATGGGAGACATCAATGCCCTTCATCGAGACCGACAACGCTTTCTCGCTGAGAAGCAGCGCCGCGAAGCAGAAGCCGAACAAAAGGCCCGTTTGCAACGAGAACGAGATCGAAGTTCCGGCAAGCTCGAACGCATGTCAGCCAGAGAACGAGAAGAGCATGCACGTTGGGAGAACAAACAGCGTGATCAGCTGGAATCCCGCCAAATGGCCGACGTCTTCAACCGAGAATACAAGCCTGATGTGCAGTTGAAGTATGTGGATGAGCATGGTCGGTTCATGAATCAGAAGGAGGCGTTCAAGCACTTGAGTCATCAATTTCATGGCAAGGGGAGTGGCAAGCAGAAGACGGAGAAGCACTTGAAGAAGATCGATGATGAGAAGAAAAGAGAAGCTATGAGTGCTTTGGATGCCAGTCAGGCTACTGGCATGAATAATGCTATGGGCACGACAGCGAAGAGGAATAAACAGGCTGGTGTGAGACTAGGCTGATAGGAACAGGTTTCGTTCCATGCCATATTCGTCTGCTGTGGTTGCTACTTGTTAGCATTATCCAGATGCCTCCAGCCCTAAGCGAAGCTGACTTCATGATAAACATTGACTGGCGGAGCAAGACAATTCTATAGCAGGCAACAAACGTAAGGCCAGTCCAGATAGAACCAAAGTAAATATCACGATACACAATGAGCTTGAGAGCCTGTTTTTTCCTACCAGGTCTTCTAGTAGTTCCTGCAATATAGCAGAATCATTGGTATGTATGCTCAAACTAGTTAGAAAAGAGGCTGTGGTGGGACAAACAAGATGTTGTGAGAGGATGCTTTGCAGTCCCGCACAATCTTGCATCACTTAGTTCGCCATCATGGTCACAGGGGATTCGCCACCGTTGCACTAGCGTGGCGCTAATGAATTACCCCTGGACTTTGGGAGAGCAAAAAATTGTCTCCAAGTAGTAGCTCAAGCTCATTGCGTCCACTCGTTCACCTATCGATCTTTAGGGCTATTGTCTCGTTTCGCTGCTTCTTCACTCCTCACTATGCTCTCGGCATTGCGACCCGCTACTCTACAGGCAGGTCACCAAAATTGTATTCGTGTTATGGCTGCGCGATGCGCTTCAACCTGGGCGAAGGTCCCGCAAGGTCCTCCAGATGCAATCCTTGGTATCACAGAGGCTTTCAAGACAGACAGCTTCAAGGAGAAAATCAATTTAGGCGTTGGCGCTTACCGTAAGGATCTGTCTCAAGAGCCGGAGCTCTTCGCACTGTGACTCATTGTTAGCAGGTGATGACAAGGGCAAGCCATACGTGTTACCGTCTGTCCGAACAGCAGAGGAGAAGGTCGTCGCTTCCAAGCTTGACAAGGAATATGCCGGTATCACTGGTGTCCCAGCCTTCACCAAGGCAGCTGCGCTTCTGGCGTACGGACCTGATTCGGCTCCAATCAAGGAAGATCGGATTGCCATCACACAATCAATCTCAGGCACCGGTGCACTTCGAATAGGCGGCGCTTTCCTCCAACGATTCTATCCTCATGGCAAGAAGATCTATATCCCAACACCTAGCTGGGCGAATCATAATGCTGTCTTCACGGATTCAGGGCTTGAAGTTGAGAAGTACAGATATTACAACCAAAATACCATTGGTCTGGACTTTGACGGAATGGTCGAGGACCTCAAGGCTGCTCCCAAAAGCTCGATAGTCCTGCTCCATGCTTGTGCCCACAATCCTACGGGCATTGATCCTACTGAGGAGCAATGGAGAAAAATCAGCGATGTCGTCAAGGAGAGAGAGCATTATCCATTCTTTGACATGGCGTATCAAGGCTTTGCGAGCGGGGATACCAACAAGGACGCTTTCGCTGTCAGACACTTTATCCAGCAGGGACATGGAATAGTGCTAGCCCAGAGTTTTGCCAAGAACATGGTTAGTTTATCGTCCAACCAGATCGTTGATTAAAGCTAAGCCATGCGTCAGGGTCTATACGGCGAGCGTGTTGGAGCTTTCTCGATCGTCTGTGAATCAGCAGAGGAAAAGAAGAGAGTGGATTCCCAGATCAAGATCTTAGTCCGGCCACTCTACTCGAACCCGCCGGTTCATGGTGCCCGCATTGCATCTGAAATCCTCAACGACCCTGCATTGAACAAGCAATGGCTCACCGAGGTAAAGGGGATGGCTGACCGCATCATCGAGATGAGGGCTCTCCTCAAAAAGAACCTGCAGGATCTTGGCAGCAAACACAACTGGGACCACATCACAAACCAGGTGAGTTGGCGTACATTGGTTCGCCCACTAGTCGTTTATTGATCTCTGATATAGATTGGTATGTTTGCCTACACTGGTCTGAAGCCCGAACAGATGGATGTGCTAGCCAAGGAACACTCTGTCTACGCGACGAAGGATGGACGGATCTCTGTTGCTGGCATCACTACTGGCAATGTCAAGAGGCTGGCCGAGGCTATTTACAAGGTAACCGGCTAAACATGTTCCGCTGGAGGACTTGTCTTATGTGTCTCCAATGGCTGTTTACCACACTTTCTTGATTTGTTCCTGGCATTCCTGGGTGGCATGGCAGGATAGACCAATGAGCGCTTTTGACTATAAAGGCAAGTGAAGCAAGACAGATAACAGCGACGATCAGAACTGCTAGAATCGGCTATGCAGTGATCAGCATCAATAAACGTGATAGCACCTCCTCGTGCACAGCAGTGAGAATCGTGGCCCAGCATATCTAACTTCAAGTCAACCGTGTTTGAACCTTTCTTTTATTGGGCACTGCTATTGGATCTCCGGTACGTCGAAGAGTGCCTCTTCGAAGCCAGGCTACGAGCCATGGCTCATTCTTCTTACCCGTCTGGTATGGACAACACTATTCCTGTGACCTCTGTTGCCTTGATACTTACCGTCACAACCGTGCTCGGCTTGGCTAGACCACCCCCTCATGCTGGGGCCTTCGTGGTGGGTGTCTGCGCTTGCGGCTGCGAAGGTTTTTTAATTATTGCCAATTCAGCGATTCCCGTTCCGGCAGATATTCTGGCAGATCAGTCTACGCTTCTAACAGCTAGTCTTTGGGTGGCAGGTGGCACTAGTTAAGCACCTGCAGCAGATTAACATCATCTTTTACCCTATCGGGCTATCACCCACCCCTGCCCAACTGCACCTCCAAATCTCGGACTTCTGGACCAAAAAATCTTCTCTCTTCGGGCTTGTGAAGGGCGGGAGCGTGGGGATTTATTGCTCCTGCTTGCGTTTCCCATGGTCCCCCCAAGCAACACGTCCATTACTCACTATTGAATCCACTGGCCTCCCCTTTCGTTTGCTGTATTTGTCTTGTCTGATGTCTCGGGTGAGATTCTTTCGAGGCCGACTACACGACGTCATACCGCAGTAAACGCTACTGGTATCACACTTCCATTGCGCAGCAAGCTAAAGTTTTGTTTCTGTTTGGGAGCGTTCGGCCAGCTGGTTGCCGGTTGTTGGTTACTATCTGGACTGGTCACGCCGTATCTGCAAGCTCCCCAGGCGTCCGATGACAAGAGCCTACAGACCCAAACCCGAATCGTAACTGCCCATCGAGGTAAAAGGCCGAGGGCCCGTTACGTGTGGATCTGCTGCCGTGGGGGACAGATAATTGGGATTGCTCTACTAACTAGTAGTTGATGCCCCACCAGGTGGCATGCCATGCAATACCATGACAGGAGATGCGCTGAGCTGCTGTCCTTTTGGAACTCTGTTGCGGCTAGAACCCATCCATGTGGCTGTCAAATCTGCCCATCCTCTCCGTAAAAGATGATAGACAAAACAAATAAGGGGAAAATGGTACTCGTACTCTAAACCCATCCACTCCTGACGTCGGGTCCCACAAAAAATACCCGCACCGCAACTGAATTATTGAGTGCCTGACAGTAAGAGTAGTGGTATGTTGTAGTAGTAAAAGGAAAATGTCCAAGCGCGAAGGGGAAGGAGCCTCTCAAATCAATTTCTTTCGCTTAACTATCTCAACCCTACCATCCCCAGTTTGTTCGCACGCATGCACTTCCATTTTCCATCATCTCCCTCCCTGTTTAGATCCTATTGCTAGACGTGAGCGGTGTGCCACTGAAGCTGTTGCCAGTCATCCCCACCCGGCACAGGTAGTGAATGGTTCATCGGGCATAGCTTTATCCCTCAACTGTATCGTGCCGGTCCGCACTTTACTTTGACGGGGAGGGATAGCTGCATCTGGAGCCTTGTGTGTGCTTGCGGGCATTTTAACCTGACAAGTAAGTTAGACCCCTCTACCTCCTACCATCATCTTCTGTGAGAGCTTCATCGTCGCTACAACACATCAACCCTGGGCGCAGGGACCTGCTCAGTATGACTTGCCGTGCACAAACCCGTTCACAAACCCGTTACTGTCTCAAACGGCGCATCCAAGACACAGACAGCCTCAACTGCAGCTCAACCACGGCGAATGTGATCCCAAGAAGGCGGGATGAAGAAATGAGCCTCAAGACCCTTCTCGAGTCAGCACTAGATATCACACGCGCATGATCTCCATGGCTGGCCTTCATAAGGAATTGATCGTCAAATGCTGTCATGTGTTTGTCACCACCACAGCCTACCCTGCCTGGAGGACTTACACGGTACTTGGACCACAAGCTACTCAGTCACTCTTCTTAAGCCATCCTGCCACTACTCGTGGCTTCACGTCTCAAGAATGTTATACGGCCGAGACTGACTGCACTTCGGACCAGAATTGCGTTCAGGGTTGTTGGAGCTCTGATCACTTCCATATCAGACTAGCCACGTCTTTACCTGCATCAAACCCCGTCTCGACCTCTCCTTGGGACTCCCTCTGAGGCTTGATCATTGGATCCAAAAAAAAGCTTGTACGCGTTGCTTCAGTACGATTTTGGGTTGCGCTGACTGTCAATCTCTCACTAGGGGGAGGAAGTGCTTGTGACGAATCTTGGAAACAGACCCTCTATTACCCATCATACCAACGGACGGCTCCTGGTGTCCTTTGTTAATGTAACATGGCAGAAGAAAACGTTAGTGACCGTTACCTCCCTGTTGTCTCCTCTTCAGCCAAACCCTGCCTACGTTTATGGCTCATGGCGTCGGAATGTCACCAATTGCCTCCCATTCGATGACAGACTGACAGTACGAAACTACTAGCATGACGAGTCCCTAGACTTTGGCGATAATGTCGAAATGTCGACTTTTGAACAGATCCTGGACATGGATGATGATGAAGACGACAAAGAATTCTCCAAGGGAATAGTCTTCGGCTTCCTAGAGCAGGCCGAGCAGACCTTCGACAAGATGGAAGCATCACTGTACGATGCTCGTGAGCTCTTTTCTACACCTGATCCTCGCTGATGCCTTCTCTAGTGCATCGAAAGACCTCCCTGAACTGTCGTCTCTGGGACACTTCCTGAAAGGATCATCGGCCACCCTTGGCTTTGTCAAAGTCAAGGACCAATGCGAACGAATACAGCACTTTGGTGCAAAAAAGGATGAAACCGGCACTGGTAATATTCAAGATGAAGAATACTGTTTGCGTATGATTTCCGAGGCCTTAGCCGAAGCGAAGAAGACCTTCAACGAGGTTGCTGCACTGATGAGACAATACTATGCAGAGTCATAGACGTGGACAGCTCCACATTACGAATTTGAGATGGAAACAGCTCTTTCTCATGCATTGTTAGCTTGAGGTGCGAGACAGTTTGATGGCGTCTGTCAATTTTCGTCCACGTCTTCCCACACCTATACATGATTTGCACATACAGATCAGTACTGCTCTTAGAGTATACAAGCATTGATCTAGGTGTTCTCTGCTTAATTCTCCACAAAAAGTCTTCATACTTGCAACCTGGAGCTTCTGGATCATCGCTCTCTTCGCTCTTCTCTTTCTCCTTGTCCCCTGTTAGCCTGCTACTTCCCCTCTTCTTTTCAATACCATTATGAACCATTCGAAATGGGGCTTTCAAACTCTGGATTGCCACTTCACAAACCCCTGGATGATACAAGGTCTGCAAAGCACTGGGTAAACTCTCTCCAGAAACCTTTAGCCGTCGAACAAAGTCCATGTGCTGATCAAAAGTACAGCCAGCGCCTGGAAAGAGCACTGCAACTCGCTGACCATCCTAGAGGAGTGAGCATCATAACCCACGTTTCAGCTCTCGTCTCGAAGCTCCTCTTTCCCTGTCTGGCTTGGACGATGTATCAACCGAAGAGCCCTCGGCCCACAGATCGAGTTGCCCGTTACATAAATTTCTAAATTCCAAGACCGCCGTCCGATATCCCTACCATCCGCGCTGGACGTCACTATATCACGAAAACTCCCCTCAACCCGGAGACGAATGCCATCTCGGCCTCTTTCAGACCCGCAACTTCAGCAACCAAAACCGCGCGCCGGTCTGGATGGAATGGAAAGTCAAACTAGTTGACCACCTACTCACTCCGTCCAGAAGATCATCAGCCCCAATTCCAGCACCCCTTGCCCCACGCATCTTCAACATGATCGATCGAGTCCGAGCTGCAGGCTCGTCTATTCGTCTATCCTCGATGTTACTCTGCGTCCCCTGCCAACGCCTGAGGGTTGTGCGAAAGATCATTTGTCGAGGGTAGGAAGCGGGGAAAATCTAGAGTACTGGATCGGCCTGTATTACGATCTCGAATGGCTTACGCTACCGGATAATGGCCTTGAAGGCTTCTTGGGGAATCGGATTGTTTTGTTTTTTCAATCGAGGAGTGGTAATGGAAGATGGAGTCTAAATATGGTGGTAGGTGAGTAGCAATCAGGAAGAAGGCATGAAGAGTGAAAACCCTCCCCCTCCCAGCGGGAGCAGAAGGAACGTTAGAAAGATACATGGCGAAAAAGCTTGTGGGCATGGATGGATGTCGGGAAATAAGATGGGGATAAAAGTGGGTTGATATCGGCTGCTGACAATGCTGGGCGGCGCCCCCTCCCCGCCCCCCCCCTAACGGATTTCAAGGAGCTGTGCCGTGCTATGCTATGCTATGCATATGCCATTGCTTTGCTTTCATGAGAATTATGATTCCTTGGACAGAGTGAATTAGCTAAATTAGGATGATATATGAGATTGCGGTTGGCGGCTGGGGTTTTGGGGGGTATCGCAAAGGAAAATAGGGTATCGCGTGAAAGAAACGAAGAAAAACCACCGTTACTCCTTGCCCTGGGCGCAACCCGGTCTTGCCTAGGTAGTAGTTAGGCTCAGGATACGTGCGGCCCTGGTCCCACGAACTCAACGCTTGGATTTCCCTAGAAGCAGAAGCAAAGCAGAACTTGAAGCGGGAAAGCAACCGGTCAAGATGATGCAGTCACACATCTTCCCTCACCACGGGCAGATTTGCTCCGTGGCTCGCATTGGCAGTTGTGGCATTTCCTCCTGTCTTTTCCTGTCCCACCTCCACCTTCTTCTCATCTTCCTCCTCAGTCCTACTTCTCGTCAGAGTCCTCGCAAAACTGAAGAATCCCTGCCTCAAGCTCGTCGGACCGGGTGTGCTCTTCTTCATGCCCTCCGTCTCCTCGTCGGCGAACCAACCCGTTCTCCTCTTGATGGCCTTCCACACCTCCACGCCGCTCACGAAGACAATCACGCACAGGATCGCGGGCGCCCATTCCCAGGTGATGCCCTTGTGTTTGAAGACGTTGGTGTTGAGGTAGGGGATATACACGGCGGGGAAGACGGATACGGCGCCGATGATGACGGCCCAGAAGAGGAACTGGTTGGACCAGACGTCGTGGAAGAAGGGGAATCGGCGCGTTGTGTTGTTGGGGTCCAGGTCGAACATGCTGCGTCGTAGGCTTTTGAATTCCCAGGCCGAGATCAGGATGATCCAGGTCAGTTCTGCGAAGACGGCGGCTCGCGCACGGAATACCACGTCGCAGCTGTCGTTGTAGGATTTGTTGCAGTCTTCTCCTAGGCCGTCGGGCCCGGGGCCATAGACGATGAAGATGAAGGTCATGAGGCAGCAGGTCCCCATTATGGTGCCATAGACCATCATGTCCGTTATCACTTGCCAGGTGAAGACACCCTTTTTGGTGTCGTGTGGTGGTCGCTGCATGATGTCTGAACTTGCTTTCTCTCTCCCAAGTCCGAATGCGGGAAAGGAGGATGTCAGCATGTTGATCCATAGGATTTGGAGTGGAGATAGTGGGAACACGGAAAAGCCCATTCGATCCTGGAAACCCAGACCACAGATCAGGAGGATCACTTCGCCCACGTTGGAAGTGACGAGATGGAGGATGAATTTTTGAATGTTATCAAACATTCGTCGTCCCTCCTCAATGGCGTTGACGATGCTGGCGAAATTATCATCTGTCAGCACGATATCGGAAGCTGTTTTCGCAACGTCAGACCCATTCAATCCCATGGCTATGCCAACATCTGCTCGCTTGAGACTCGGCGCGTCATTGACCCCATCACCTGTCATCGCACAGTATTTGTTGCGCCGATGCAGAGCGGAGATCATGCGAACTTTGGTGTCCGGTGCACATCTTGCTATTACAAGCGGCAAAGTGGGTAAGGCGTCAATCTCATCGTCGCTCATCTTATCAAAATCGGATGCGGGCTTGACCATGGCGGCTGCGACATCGGCTCGCAGGACGCCCAGATTCTTGGGAATGATTCCGACTTCCTTGGCGATGGCAGCTGCGGTGCTGGGATGATCCCCTGTCAACATGTGTACAGCTATTCCGGCTGTGGTACAGTTCCTGACAGCTTCCTTTGTCTCCAGGCGAGGCGGGTCATATAGGCCAGCCAAACCGAGCAGGCTGAGATCTTGCTCAATTGCAGTACGATCAATGTCGGAATGCTCGTAGATTTCTTCTGAGGTAAACTTGCGCGCAATAGCTAAGACACGGAGACCTTGCTCTGCTAGGAGGGACATTTGATCAAGAATGTTGTTCCTCACTTCGGCTGTCATATCCTGTCGGTGGTCGCCGGTGCCAACAGAGGTACACAGGTCTATGATGCGCTCAACGGCCCCTTTGGTAAAGATGAGGGAGTCCGCTATGCCTTCTTTCCTGTAAACTACCGACATGCGTTTGATCGAGCTGTCGAAGGGGAATTCCATTATTTGCTTCCATCCTTTCGCGCTCTCCAGAGTCTTCTTGCCATAGCCGAAACGATGAGCGAAGACTTGTAGCGCAATCTCAGTTGGGTCACCCGTCGTCTTCCATTTCTGTTGTCCATCTTCCTTCGTCTGGCGTACTGTTGCAAGGTTGCAAAGAGCAGAGGATTCGAGGAACGATTCGAGTTCTGGCCGCATGGCCGGACTGTCCTCGACATTCTTGTTCTCCTCAGCCTTACTACTTTCGGCTTTGTGCTGATCTTTCTCTAGCTTCTCCTCCGGTACATCGAAAGCAAGTCCTGCCGTGCTTCGCTTCTTGTCGAGAGCCTCAGCTTTGGCCCGTTTCTGCTCCTCGACTACTTTTCGCGATATCGGAGCAGGCCCCAGGGTGATGGTACCAGCTTCGGGATTGTTGGCCTCATTGGAGTTTTCGACACTGTAAATGCCGACCCCAGGAATCCAAGCCTTGCGTGTCACCATTTTCCCCTGCGTTAGAGTTCCAGTCTTGTCCGAGCAGATATTGGTGACACCACCGAGCGCCTCCAAGGCACTCAACTGGCGTACAACGACTTTGCGCTTGCGCATCTGGGTCATGCCGACGACCATAGTGATGGTGAGGACGGCAATCAGAGATTCCGGAATGATGGCAATACCTGTTGAGATTGCATAGATGGCGACTTCATTAGTGACGTTGAACCGATTGACACCGAAGACAATGATTGCCAACAACAGCGCACACCCGAACAGGAAGTAGGCGAGCTTGCTCAGTTTGATTTGCAATGGTGTACCTGACGTGAGACCAAGGAATTTGCCAATACTGTCCCATACACGCAGAGCAGTTCCTTTGACCGGTTGCATGGGTCCATGCTTCTTGCGAGACAAGGAACGGTTCGGTTTACGATTCTTGCCCTGCATGGAGGCTGCAATACCGCCAATCGCAGTTGACATTCCAGTGTAGACGACAATTCCCTGGCCACGGCCCTTTGTCACGGTCGAAGAAGAATACGCCATGTTGAGCCGATCTCCGAGACCACAGTCAGCCTTGTCACCGGTTCTTGCTTCGAATTCTACCTCCTTGGCCACAGGCAGGGCTTCACCCGTCAAGATAGCCTCGTCGCACTCGAGATTCATGACCTCAAACATGCGAAGATCGGCTGGGACTGTGTCGCCAGTTTTGATTGAAACGATGTCACCTGGGACCACTTCGGCGGAGGGAATTGTGATTTGGTTCCCGTCCCGAATGACGGCGGCGGATGGTGAAGAAAGCGATCTCAGGGCGTCCATCTTCTTTTCCGCTTGGAATTCCTGGTAGAAGCCTATGATGACATTCAGGAATATGACAGCTGTGATAACACCGCCTTCGACATAATCTGTGACCCCGTAGGAAAGCGCCATGGCGAGGACTAGGACCAAGATCATGGCATTGCTGATTTGCTTGATGAGAAGGGAGTACCATTTGGCACCACCCTCTCCTAACAGCTTGTTCTGGCCATATTTTTGCTGATTCTGCTGGGCTTGCGCAGCGCTCAAGCCTGACTCTTTCGAGACCTGTAGATGTGATAAGATGTCTTCGACCGACAGAAGAAATGGTTCTTGTGGATACGACTGCACTTCCTGGGTCCCCTTCTTGCGCATGGTGAATTGCTTGATTGTCTCAGGGAGAGGAGAGCATTCGATAAAGGGAGGGAGAAAAGAGATTCTGCTGTGTAAAGCAAAGGGCAGTTTTCTGATTGGAAAAGAAAGACCTGAAAGAAAGACGACTGTGAACTTTGATATCGTCTTGAGAGGTAAATGCTACTAAGATCTGGGCGTGATAAGAGTCTTTATACCACCTACATCGCAGATGCTTTTCCCGGCCATGCTGAGCACCTGTATGCTTGAACCCTACAGGCCAAGACCACAAGGTGCTCCAAACCCACGATGAGTACTCTCGGCAGCCCGTATGTCCAGCAAGATATGACGTGTAAATGGACCACGAACCAATGAGCAGTGGGTATGACAAGGCGGACAGGATCTACCACCAGAGGGCTCCGTGGTGTCTTGTGGAAGCATGGGGCTTGGCAGTTGAGTTGAGCACTCCCGGACTGGTTAGATATCACTCACTCCCAGGTAGGCCCCGCCCTGCGTACTTCTCATTTGTAGAGGACAGTCCGTGGCGAAGACTTGGGTCCTTTTTGGGGTCAAAAGCTCACTCTTCGCCCAGCATTGCCGAGCTGTGCCAAGTCTTGCCATCAATCCATGCAAGGATTGTTGGACTTCGGAGCACGCCATGGCTAGGCGCCAAGACCCTATCTGTGCGTCTGGGGTAATTTGCAGTGGGGAAAAGGGTAGGGCAGTTCTCAACAGTCAACACATGTTCCTGTGATGTCGAATGTCGTTGAAAAAGAGGCGCAAGAGGTTGGGAGCATGCCAAGAATTAGGCCATCGGTTGAATGGAAGCTACTAGTATGCCGGTAGCCGTGGCCCAATGGGTGGAGTCCTTTAGACCCCACTTACAGGGGTGACTTTGGGCCACGGCTAAGGCGAGGGTAGTTCTTGTCTACTACGTTACATGCGGAGTACTAGTAATAACTACTACGTTACTCCGTACAGAGTCGTGCATCAGAGGTCTCCAATATACGCTAAAATTAGAGCGCCATGAGCACACTCGCTGTAAGCTTTAACGTCACGTAGAAATCAGCTTTAGGGGTGAAGCCCTAGGGCTGCTGTTAGGACCCCTGTATCCCTTTATCCTGAGACTCTTAGGCCCTCGTACAACCTACTTACACTGGGCAAGAAATCCATCAGGATAGCAAACACTTGTCCTTCCAGCAGATTGCACCAATCCTGAGCGTATCATTCGTCCAGAGGAGTCATAACCAGGGCCAGTACCTTCTTGCTCAAGCCAGCACGAGTATCTTTGTACTGGCTTAGCCGAAGCCGACCCTATGATTCGTCCTCTTCTACCTTTATGAGCCTTCTTTCGGAACCCTACGGGAAAATGCCATGTCCCATACGTCTCGGGTCAGAGGAATGATATTTTGGCTCTTTCAAGAAGATTTGTTCAATGTTGAGCCCTTCGGCCCCTGCGGCCTTATGTAGTAGTAACCGGAGTTCCTGACCAAGCCTCTAGCCTCTAGCCTACGCGGATCATCGCATCTCGAACTAAAAGAACAGAGGCGCATAGCCTGCACCACATCGAGATGTCAACCTTGAAGGCCACATTATCGCAAGAGGACATGTGGTGATGGTGATGGTGATGATGATGATGATGATGAGGATACAGCACATATGACATTTTTTCTGTAATCTTTCTATCAAAGCTTCAAAGCAGCATGGGCGCATTGGTCGACGCTTATGTAAGGTAGCCTGCATTGATGTAGCCTCCTTTTACAGCCAGATTCCCACTCATCAACGGGTATTGAGGTTTTGATCGATGCGATGTAATTCGACAGCGAGAGAGCTCTTTGCTTGATCCCACACCTTGCGAGCAGTGATGATAGCCTTGCGCCCTGGACTTACCTCCCCAGCAACGCATCTACGACCTTTGTCCTTTCTCCTCCGACCTGTCATCGCTCTCGACAAACCACCCTACGGGCCTCTAACAAAGTTGCCGAGACCTATACTGATCAAATCCACCGCGACCTCGACCCAGCATTTCTCTACATCTACTCTAGATGCGCAAGATGCCACCTCCCAATCCTCCGTCTCTCCCACCGAAATCTCGCACTTCTCCCGCCTCGCCTCTTCCTGGTGGGATCCCCACGGTCCCTCGCGACTCCTCCACCTCATGAACCCGCACCGACACACCTTCATCAGCACCTGCCTCTCCTCCATCATCCCGCTCCCCCAGGACCCCAACCAGAAAGGGCTGAAATACCTCGACATCGGCTGCACTCATCAACATAGCATTACTACTACTACTACTACTACTACTACTACTACTTCTTCTTCTTCTTCTTCTTCTTCTTCTTCTTCTTCTTCTTCTTCTTCTTCTTCTTCTTCTTCTTCTTCTTCTTCTTCTTCTTCTTCTTAGGGTTGGAACAACGAGTCCGCCGCCCGTCTCCCCAACACTCACACCGTAACAGCCATCGACCCCACCCCTTCCGTCCTCGCCGTTGCCAAAGAACACCAACGCCACGACCCAGCCCTCTCGCCTCCCAAACTCAACTACCTCAACACCGCCATCGAAGACCTGTCCGTCCCCGTCTCCGACGACGAAAAAGTCGACATAATCACCCTCTTCGAAGTCCTCGAACACATCGACCGCCCCGCCACCTTCCTGGGATCATGTATCCCGCACCTCAAACGCGGCGGCTGGATCATCGGTGCTCGCCGCTCAGCTTCGTCACCACCAAGCTGATCGCCGAAGCGCCGCTGATCGGGGTGGTGCCGCCGGGGACGCACGATTGGAATAAATACATCAATCCCGACGAGCTGGAGGCTTGGTTCGAGAAGAGAAGCAGACAGGCTCCGCGCGAGGAGAGATGGGGCAGCATGATAAAGCAGGGGGTCGTCTACGTGCCCGGGCTGGGATGGAAGATGATTCCCTTCTCGGACGGGTGGGGTAACTACTTCTTTGGCGTGCAGAGGTCGGTCGATTGATACGCCGGCGATACGTTCCGATCTGGAGAAAACGGCAAACATATACATAAAAGGGATTGTTATGAAATAGATGGACTGTACAAAGAAACACCTTTCCATGGAAAAAATTGCCACTGCCAAATTCACAGCTCACGGGATATACTCAGGCACACAGGCAACCTCCGGCGCCCATCTCGACGCTCTGAGTAGCCCAGCCCGACCCAGCCCGACCCAGCCATGCAGAGGTGCTCCAAACTTTTCCCTAGAATATGCGAGGCACTTCAACCGCATTCTTCGCTGCGGCATATTAATTAGATTGGACAAGGAAGGAGAAGAGGTGGAGGTGGAGAAGGAGGAGTGTCCATCCGGGAGTTAGATTCTGCGTCGTAGCGAACAAAGGGATCCGTCCGTGAGGTGAGGATAGGATAGGATAGGATGACCCGCGGGCCCAGCTACATGGCCGTGACAGTAGGTTAGAGACGTTGCAAAGGAATTTCAGGCGACTGACAGGACTGTTTCCGGGAAAAAGTTTCATGATTTTGACTTCGAAATCTGCCTCTCCTCGCCAGCTTAGTCCAAAGAAAGCAAAAGCCGTTCCCTAGGGTATCTCATTTCGAGGCAGACCATTGGAACCGAACGCCCTTTACGACCATGAAATGCAGGTTCCTTCACCACACTCAGCTCCCAGCATGACCACCTCCCCTTTGCGCACACAGAATTTCGAACCGGGAAGCATTCCTCACATCTCCCTTCACCGCCTTCCCTTCCCATTCCCCTTCTTCCTCCCCGCTCCCCCCACCGGTATCGGATCCGGGACGCTGACGGTGCCTTCCACCACCTCCTCGCCCGCATCGCGCAACCTCTCCTGCCCGGAGATGAAAAAACTCAAATCGCGATTCTGCTCCTCCAGCTCCCTCTTCTCCCCCTGTAGCCCCTCAATCTCCTTGCCCAGATGGGCAATCCGCTCCATCAACCGCTCATTCATGGCTTGTTCCTCACGATACTCCTTCTCCATCTTACGCGCCATGTCTTCGAACTTGGCGGCGCGCGTTTCCAGGCGCGTCTTCTCGCGTTCGAGCGCCGGCACGGCGTCGCGGGCTAGATCGTCGTATTTGGTCTTCAGGGCTGCGGCGGTGGCTAGGGCGGCGGAGGCGGCGGCAGAGGCTTTGGCGGCCTTGTCTGCCGCGCGCTCGACTTGCTCTTCGAAGTAGACGCGTTGGGACTCGAGCTGGCTGGTCAGCAGGTGCGTGTATTCGAGGCTGAGGCCTTCCATCTTCTCTCGAGAAATGCTATCAATCTCATCTTGTTCTGAGGAGGGGGCGAGCGCGGTTTCGTTGTGGCGCGAGCCCGGCAGCTCGACCAGTTTCCCACCGAGGCCGTCAGTCGAGTTTTGGATGATGCGGTGCACGTAGCCATCTCCGGTGTAGTCCCACACCCGCTTGCTTTCCATGTCCATGGCGAAGCTGTGGCCTGTCTCTTCGTAATGGCTGAATGCGTGTTTGGCTTCGTACCTTCCGCAACCAATTCTTCCGCATATCAGACATTGCCAGAGATTCGCTTCGATGTGACAGGTTTCGCAACCTATTGGCTCGTCTTCGTAGGAGTCTCCGTATGAATCTTTCTTGCCAGATTTGCCGCACAGTCGTGGTCGAGACGAGAAGTCATCATGCGTGTAGCGGCAAACAGGACACCCGCCGCCAGACCATTTCTGAAGACAGGTGCAATGGAAGACATGCTGGCAGAGGATGGTAAGGAGGCCAGTCGTTTCGTCCATACGTTCTAGACATACTGGACAAGTAGGAAGCTCGACGAGGGAGGGAGTGCGAGGAGCGAGTGGTTTCGATGAGCCGAGCGTTGAAGACGTGTGGGCATGGGGAGAGGTGAAAGGGTCGTTCTTCATATCAGGAAAAGTGTCCGGGGACGATGGAGTGGTGATGGTGATCTCAACAGACTTGACGAAGACGACATGGCACGTCTCAGGCTATGGCAGCGTCAGCTCGTTGTTTTCAGATGAACACTGTCAAGGAGCTATATCACCTCCATGCTGTTGAAAACCTTGCCGTTCCATGCCTTTTGCCAGGTGCGGGCCATCTTCCCGTCGCGGAACTTTATCAGAACCATATATCTGTTTGCTCTAGATGTCCTTATCATCCTGAAGTGGCTGACCTGGTCTCTGGTCTCTTCCCCAACAAATCCCAGAAAGTCAGGGGGGGCGAGATATGAAGGAACAGCGAGGATGCATAATGTTGTACAATCCTGGTCATTTGCTGGAGGATGAACCGTCCCTTTGCTCTCCTTGGGGGTGCCGCTGTACCATGGGTTGTTGGGCTTGCTGAGCAGAGAATCGCCGTACAAGCCTGGCGTCTCTTCCGCATCACGATATAGGTGAACGATGCCCCAGATGCTGTCTGTGACATGCTGATCGAGCGGCTCATATCTTCCCTTTGTCAACAATCCATTTGCTGATATGCCAATACCTTTACTGATATGGTTATCGTCGTCCATCTTATCCAGCTTCAATTTCCGGGTCAAGGTATTCGTGCTTTCGATATAGATGTGGTCCAATCTCTTATCGTCCGAGGCTGTCCTTGGGTTGCCAGAAGGAGTCTTCGGAGAATCATTTGGAGATAAATCCACTCGAACACCTGAGCTGGCCTTCTTGTGGACGCTTGGTTGTGATATTCCACTGGGGTGGTAGGCACCCACGCTGCTATTAGTCGAACGCACTGAATGGACGGATCGCTCTCTTTTGCTCGAAAGGAACGGTGATAGCGCCTGGCTTCCACTCGGCCACGCAACGATGGCTTTGTCTACCTGTGGAGCAGTAGATTGAACATCTGCAAATAATTCTATTGAAACATGGAAAAAGAACTCAGGCATAGCTGGCGTCTCATCATAACTCGTAATTGCGTCGAATTGTTGCAGAAGATAGAGGGAAGTGTAACGTCATTTCTCGCTCGAAAATTTTGCCACTCATCAACATAGCATTCTTCTTCTTCTTGTTCTTCTTCTTCTTCTTCTTCTTCTTCTTCTTCTTCTTCTTCTTCTTCTTCTTAGGGTTGGAACAAGAATACAGTAACGGACGAAGTGATCAGGCAGCCAAAAGTAACACATCTATGTACTAACTCGATACTGCTCCGGCTGAGCTAAAGTGGAATGCTAGCTAATAGACGTGATGCTCGCTGGCTTGATCGAGCGCCAGAAACCCGTTGCCCACCCAAACGAATGATACCGAAACCTAATTGCCACCACGCAGTCTCAACACAAGATGCAAAGTGCTCTCTTTCTGGATGTTATAATCCGACAAAGTCCGACCGTCTTCCAACTGCTTGCCGGCGAAGATGAGGCGCTGTTGATCTGGGGGAATACCCTCTTTGTCTTGGATCTTGCTCTTAACATTATCGATGGTGTCCGAGCTTTCCACTTCGAGTGTGATGGTCTTTCCTGTCAAGGTCTTGACAAAGATCTGCATGCCACCTCGCAGTCTCAGAACAAGATGTAGTGTAGATTCTTTCTGGATGTTGTAGTCGGACAGTGTGCGACCATCCTCCAGCTGCTTACCGGCGAAGATCAAGCGCTGCTGATCTGGAGGAATGCCTTCCTTATCCTGGATCTTGCTCTTCACATTATCAATGGTGTCGGACGATTCAACTTCCAAGGTGATGGTCTTGCCGGTCAATGTCTTGACGAAGATTTGCATACCACCACGAAGACGGAGGACGAGGTGAAGAGTAGATTCTTTCTGGATGTTGTAGTCGGATAGGGTTCGGCCATCTTCAAGTTGTTTACCAGCGAAGATAAGTCGTTGCTGATCAGGGGGGATACCCTCCTTATCCTGAATTTTGCTCTTTACATTGTCGATAGTGTCAGACGACTCGACCTCCAGAGTGATGGTCTTCCCGGTCAGAGTTTTGACGACTGTTGCAGGTATTAGATGAGGTCAAGAGCTAAAATATCAGGACTTCGACCTTACAGATTTGCATGCCTCCACGGAGACGAAGAACCAAGTGAAGCGTCGACTCCTTTTGGATGTTGTAGTCGGATAGGGTCCGGCCGTCTTCGAGCTGTTTGCCGGCGAAGATAAGACGCTGTTGATCAGGCGGGATACCCTCCTTGTCCTGGATCTTGCTCTTCACATTATCAATAGTATCACTGGACTCGACCTCGAGAGTGATGGTCTTGCCGGTAACTGTATAGGAGACCAACGTCAGTCAAGGCTCAGGTGGCGGTCAAGGTGAGGCTAAAGATCTGGTTTACTTACGGGTCTTTACGAAGATCTGCATAATTGCGGATGCTGTAGATAAGATTGTGCAGAGCAGATAGCGTTGTGAAGTTGGTAGGCGAATGACAATGTCGTGGCAGAGGGTGGTAGTTGTGGTTGAAGTGGTGTAATGGGGAAGAGGTTGAAGGTGAAAAGGCGGCCTTATATTTGATTCAGGTGGCGGAGTAAAATAGGCGCCAGAGCCATGCTAGTCTCAAATGAGTTAGTTAGCACAAGAAATTGAAGCAGATGGAGGGGCAGACGCAGAATTCAATTCGGAGCATTACTAAGAAGCGCCCAGAACTCGCTGGAAGCTCGCGGTGCATTCGGAGTGTTCTCCCTTTACTCTGTACTCATGAGACCATGAGAGCGAAAACTTCTACACATACGTAGTAGTATCTATAGGTGGTTCCCAAATCCACGATCAATCATATACTATGGTACAGTCAGAGGATAGCCAAGACCATTGAATTTAGTGGACAAGAGCACGCGATCGGTGAGGCTTGACAGCGGAGAGTCGTTGACGATGATCCTCAACATGGGTTCGTCCTGCCAGAAGCATGCATCTTCCAACGGCTTTATCGCATGATGTTGCGGCACACAGAGCACATCCTCGGAGCTGCTGCACATTCTTGCATGATGCTGTAGCCCCTGGTTATCATGCATGTTACGTACACATAGTGGTTCAATCATGGTAATCATGCGATAACAGTCTCATTGGTGGCCAGTGGGGGATAGCAGCTCAGCCAAGTTGACGATCAGAATCTTTAGACTTCAAGACTTCTGCACCCAAGAAGTTTCAACAGTGATCGTGATTGCCAAAGTGATATTGCACATACAAGACCTGCCTGCTAGGCCTGTGAAGCGAATACATAACACCCCCATAATCACAGGCTACAACGTAGAAGTAAAGGAGTTTCTGCTCACCGAGCATGCTCCATTGCTAGTCATCTCCTGCTTTCTAATGAGAGTATATGAAACGAAACTGGTAATGGTGCCGCCCAGATTGCGGCCATACTTCCCCAGGTCCTGGACCACACACATCGTGATTCATGCATCATGATCTCGGCTAAACTCGCTGATCGCTATGCACGTAAGATCCAAAAAAAAAACTATTGCGATGAAAAAACAGGAAATCTCATCGCCGTTTGACAAGATAACAAACAAAAAACGAGCATGTCGTGGCAGTGGCTTCGTGAAACTCGATGTCCATGCATCATCTACTGTCGCTTGCTTCGGCAAATCAAATTTTGGTAGCATGGCCTCGTTGGGAGGCCGTCAAACGAGTGTCGTAAAAGGTAAGGCGTTAGTTGGCGCGAATAACGAGTTTGGAGATGAATTTGTTTGACAAAGAGTCAAAGTCTTCAGGGTCGTATTTGGCGCTTACAGCGCGACTCTTGAGGTATTGTTCTATGTTACCGTCAGCAAAAATTCCGAGACCACAAGCCACTTCGACCTCACCATAGCGCGTTACATTTTCCTGCACTTCGGTCATTGTCTTGCAAGCAGCGTCGTTTGATTGAAGAACGTGGTGATGCTTCGGCGTATCCCATTCAACAAAGGCAGGTAATTTCTGCGAAATCGCCTGGAAGAGGCCAACCACAACGCCCACCGGGACCGTTTCCATGTCGTTAAGGAACTTTTCCATCAATGCATCGTTGGGGACTCGGTGGGCATCAAATTGCATGAACTCCCAAACCGCAAGCAAGAGCGTGGCAAGAATGAAAATTGTAGGCCAGTGCTTCAGCTTGTCACCACTGTACACGCTTGAGTACAGTGAAGAGAGTTCTTCGAGAACCTCCTTTTGTAGATCCCGCCACATATTGCCCATGGATGTCTTCACCTGGAAATTGATTGCGTTAGGAGCCACGATTTTTCCATAATATTGTGATGACTCGTCGTCCACTCGACCCTGGAAATGTTCCTCCTCTGGAATTCCTTCAACGAGGGTGATGTGAAGGGTGAGACTGTACGCAAGTAGAAACTTTAATGCTTTGCGGATGACTGGTGCTTTAGTACGGCTGTAATAATTGAATGCAGTCTTCAACATTGACGTCAAAAATGGCGTCTCGCCGCAGTACGACTCGACAAAGTTGTAAAAGCTGCCAGGGACATCGAGGTGTCGGTCCAAGTAATCGGACAGCATAGCCGAGGAGAGGCAATCCAAGTCGGCATAAAGAGGTGCTGTCCGAAACACATACGTCTTCGGATCCAGCGAATAATTGTTGGTCTCTGCCCAATCGATGTCGAACATCTTCTCATCTCGCACAAACACCTCACGTACAGTAAGTGGAAGCATCTGACCGTAACCATGGCTGATGAACAAGGTCTTGTGGGAGTCGGAAAATCCCTTGATGTTACCAGCAGATAATTCGAAGGTCAGATGGCGAGCGTAGTCTGCTCTGTAGTCTTTGGTGAAAAAACCAATCTCCTTGATGTCAATGCGGGTGCAAGGCACTTGCCACAATCGAGCATGCGAAGGTTTACATCCTGCACATGGCTCACCTTTGTCGCATGTTTTCTTCAGAAATTTGCACCGTAAACACGCTCTCAACTTTCGGATCTCACTGGCCTGCTTACGCTGCTCAGGCCGCAGAGGACCCTTTCTCTTTCCAACACGCTTCTCGGTGTCTGGCTTGGACACTTGTGGTGTCTTTTTGATCACTTTGTCCGTGGCTTTTGCAATGGGACTCTTTCGAGCGGGTCGTCTACTGGTTGGCGACAATGAGCCTTGTGATCCTGGTGATCGTACTGGGGAAGTAGGCTTGGATATGGACTTCGTGAATGGGACTGGAATTGGACGTACTAAACCAACAGGGCTGATGTGTAGCGATGACTGGGACAGACCCTCTGGAGAGACCTGTTGAGCTTGTGGATATCGGTGGTCAAAGTCTGGATTCGAGTCCGAGCTGGGTGAATGAATGGCGTGGGGTACAAGTTCAAAGCTACCGAGGATTGAGGTGCGAGGTTGCTGCTCAAAGTCTGAGGACCATGATGACTCCGAAGATGTTCGGTTGTGAAGAGTCTCGTTGGGGTCCACGCAGCCATTGCGCTCATATGTTTGGCGAGCTTCGATGGTATTCCAGCCATCGCTATCACTCAGGCTGGTGAGAGATCGGACCTCAAGATGCGTTTCGCTTGGGGATGAGGAATGAGCCTGCTGATATGATTGCATGTTCAGGGTGTCCTCCGGTGCGGCATAGCTGGGCAGGCCATCTTGAAACTCGTGCCAATGGAAGGCCATTGTCTCCATTGACTGAGGTGCTGGAGGTGCTGGCATGTACTGAGTATCGAGAGCAAGACCAGTGTCCATGCTTGCTTGAGAGACCGGCATGATCTCGATTGGTGACGACTGCATAGGGACACCATAGACCCCCCCAAAGGGGATGCCAGACTGAGAGTGTTGAGGGTAAGAGTATTGAGGTGGAGGCTGCTGATAGCCCCAATCATTCAGAAGTTGTTGCTCGGGCATCGAGGTCTGGTGATAACCATTCTGGTGGGTTGCTTGTAATTGCTCCATCTCCCTCCTGATGTCCAGTCCTTGCGAGGTATTCTGCTGCTGGGCCATCGTCAGTGGCCAGGCTTGCCCTTGAAGATAGGATAGATGCGGTGCTCTCGAGTCGTACTCGAATGGAACCTCCTCGTCGGCAACGCCGATATTGGTCATTTTTGTGGCGGGCCGGCACGAAGGTGTTGGATTTCAGCTCATGCCTGGCTGAGAAAGGTAAGAGTGAGGCCGGCAACGGAGGTTTGGCAGAAATCGTAGGTCGTCTGAGACCAACAGCCGCCTAGGAACTAGTATACCCCAGTGGACACAGTCGGTCCTTGCTGACTGGTCGACAGCCTGAGCGGTGAGCCGAACGGCAGAGTGCAGACCTGAAGCGAGGCGCCAAATGTGGTTAGTGATCTCGTTAGGTTTTCCGCGCGAGGCAGGAAGCCCAAGCCCAAGAAGATACGACAAGACATACGTAGGCCTTAGTAACTTAACTATCGAAAAGATAGAGAGGATTCTGACTCAGTCCGACAGATATGTTCCGGAATCCCACCACTCGGCGCAAAATGCACATCATCGCGCATCTCTAAGGAATATTCGTCAGAGTGCAAGTCAGAGTGCAAGTCAGAGTGCAAGCGGCCGTCAGGCAGGAGGGCCCGTCTAAGTTGCAATTAAGTTAGGGTGGTTTTGAAATGCTACCCTACGTAGTCGGGTTTTTGGTGCGCCCTCGGACATTATCAATTGGCCGCGCGGTGCCCACTTCAACCCCCCCTCCATGCATGTACCATTCGTCAATGGATGCGATTGGCCTGTGGATGGTAAGTCTTTCCTTGCTGGCTGCTCGCGTCTGCTTCAAAACGATGCCCTTAGATAAGAGTGGCTACAGCATCTGTCAGACAATGACAGTCAGTAGCACTGCCTCTGCTATGCCCTGCGTTGGTTTGCTTTTCCCCTGGAACCGCTGCAACGCTTGATATATTATTATCCAATGAGCCAATAAGTAAGATCTTCTCAACGCGCTATGTGGAGTTCATGACCCACATGTCGACTCAAAGGTACGTAATGTGTCTTCCTGAAGTCCCCGTAGGTGGGAGCAGGAATATGTAGCAACATTCTAGGACATGCAAACGCGAGAAATGAACTCACCGTCAAAAACGAGATCATATTCTCCAACGGAAGGATTTGCACTAGTTATAGCGTACGCAAGCTATCCTGCATAATGAAATTAGTAGGCTTCTTTCTGGCCCTGGGGTCTACTGTCAAGAGATATTGATCTAAGTACTACATACTCCGTATATTCTCCTATTGTAAGAACTCGCATCAGAAGTATATTTACCTGTGCAGGTATGAAACACATTGACATACAGAAAGGCAGACAAAACGACTGAACCATCAAAGCGCTAGTAGTAATTGAACTCAATTCAATTTTATTCCCTCAGCTATACCAACAGTTTTGGTGGAGAGATGTACATTTTATCAATCAGGCGCGAGTTCATTGCACAATCGCCTATTCTATGGGCGCATACAGATAGGAGATACTATATAGAATCCAGTGTCTTATTGGTGTGTTTATTGTAGCAATTGCAAGCAGTCTGGCTTGTAGCTGATTTTGAAACTTCTAAGGTTCCTATTCAATTTCCCATATGCTCCGAAGATTCTCGATGTGCCACAATAGTAATGCACGGGCACAAGGGACAATGAAGCATTCTCCGCCACGATAAATGTCTAAGAGCGGTGATCCTGATTGATGCGTCCATTCCACCGCAAGGTTGTGTTTCGCTCTCGCAATGGAGCACCGAGTTTAAAGAGAACAAATATATCACCATCGTTGAAACGTACTATGGCCGAAGCGATTCCATCCATCTTCTCCATTCCCCTACATTTCACACGGCCGCCTTCGGTACAGGATGAGCTTACAACGCAGACATCAGCTGCTCAACAGGATACGATTGCGGAGTGTCTACCATTCTTGACCAGTGCAGAGGATGCCTCCAAGAGTCCATTCGATTTCAATGACCACGGCGTCCCCCGGTTGGACCGACAGGGTCACATTGATTTCCTTCACGGGTCCCTTCGAGAATTTCCAGCGGGCTTCGTAGCTGTTGATGCTAGTAGACCCTGGATGGTTTACTGGGCATTGATGGGACTATATCTACTTGGGGAGGATGTCACATATTATCGCGAAAGGTCAGTCATGGAATTCAGCCTGACTTCGCTAGCTTAATTACGCTCCTGACTACTTCTGTCCTCATGCTGACGACTTATCCAGGGTTATTACAACCTTTGCCCCCATGCAGAATGCTTCGGGAGGCTTCGGTGGAGGCCATGGTCAATATTCGCATCTCGCTGGGACATATGCTGTTGTTCTGAGCTTGGCGCTTGTGGGGGGCGAAAGAGCGTATTCTTTGATCGATCGTGAGAATATGTGGAAATGGTTGGGCCGATTGAAAAAGGCCAATGGGGGCTTTGAAGTATGTGAAGGCGGAGAGGTCGATGTACGTGGCGCGTACTGCGCGATGGTCATTATCGTGCTACTTAACCTTCCTTTCGAGCTCCCGTCGCCCATCCACACAAATGTGGGTACTCTTAGTACCTTCCAACAAGGTCTCGAAGACTATCTGGCGAAATGCCAGACACTTGAAGGCGGTATTTCCGGCGCCCCTGGTAATGAAGCACATGGAGCCTATGCATTTTGTGCCATCGCTTGTCTGTGCCTGATGAATGAGCCGCATATAGGCTTGCGATCTCTGGATTTGCCGTCCCTGCTTTCGTGGCTTTCCTCGAGACAATACGCTCCTGAGGGAGGATTTGCAGGAAGGACGAACAAGTTGGTGGATGGCTGTTATAGTCATTGGGTTGGGGGATGCTGGCCATTGATTGAGGGGTTTCTGTACGGACCAAGGACAGCACTGAATAGCCCTACGGATCGTGTGCTCAGAAGCTTGTACAGCAAGGAGGGTCTGACCAGATATATCCTCTCTTGCTGTCAAGCACAAACCGGTGGTCTGAGAGACAAGCCATCGAAGTAAGTCGTGTCCCTTCTCTATTCGTGGAATTGCTTGCTGAGTCTTCCTCCATAGGAGAGCTGATTCATATCACACATGCTACACGCTTGCGGGGCTGAGCTCGGTACAGCATGTTCACTTTCATGTGCATCAAGATGCTTCAATTTCTAGTTCAACGCATCCATTCCGGTGGAGATCTCTGCCATTATGTGATCTGGTCAGCAGTTCCGCCGCTGGTGTGTATGACAAGCAAGACACGTTACAGCCGCTTCACCCTCTATTTGTAATTCCTCATGATGCCGCTCAGAGATTGAGAAACTGGTCGGAAGGGCAGAGCACAGGTTGGGCAGTTATTGATCAGACCTGAGGCAGTTGATTTTATTGATCGTTCCCTTAAGATTCTTATATTAAAAATGTGACTGGCTCTGACAACAATCCCATGCTATTCGTGGCATATTAGTTGTGTCCAATCTGATGGGCCATAGTGGAGGTCTGCTGCACCTTTCCTAATTGACTGTGCAAAGGTAACATTACTCCTGTTTTGACTTGCCTGCCTTTCCAATTCGTACGTGGTCGTTCGATCCTGATACCCCGGAAAGCTGAGGCTCTCTCTTGAAAGATCAAGACAATCAAACCCCAGAAACGGTCAGCTGCTGATCTTCACGCCCAAACTAGCCGATCTGGTGATCTTGCACGGTGCAAAAACCAGAAAGACTCCCACTCAACCATCGTCACGACCCTTCTACCGAACCATCATAGTTTTAGCCAAGCTACTTCTTGCTGCCACTGATGAATGTTTACTACGGTAGGAGGCATAATAATTGTAAGCGCGCCCCTAGTAAAATTGTTATTAACGACTCTCATACAGATACCTTGCCGCCCTTGTACGAATGACGTACCTCCGGGGGTATCATATCTCATTCTACAACTGCTCCAATCAATGCCAGCAAGGTATCAGGCAGTGGTCGATGCCAGTGGAATGCCAATGGAATGCACACTCGATACTCGGTAGGATAGGTTAGTCCCAATCAAGCGATTTTGTGGCGTTCTATCTTGGCGTTACAAGCTGTTACTACTTAGTAGGGCCCGCTAACATTATTATGCCTCCTACTAGCACCGTAGTAGGTCATCTGCTTTCAAAGTACGAGGGCTGCAGCGTCAGGACTGCAGAGTTGCAGCAGAGCGGCGTTTATCGGTTGAGCGCAGGCTACTTGAAGTCACCACTCTCTCGAAATCGTACCTCTCATCACGCGGAATTTTCTGCGAGATCAGCTTGGTTACCAATGACACACGTCGAAGCGCCCGGCTTAGCTTTGAGAAAGAACACCAAATCCATCGGCTCAACAGATTATGTCTCTTTCGGGAGCGTGCTGCATAGGTTCCACCGCTTGGTTCTCTAAGCGTGTTGCCAGCTCATCATTGCATCTTGAATGCCTGCCAAATTATGCGCCGACCACACACCCTTCCTCTACCAGGTAAGGCCCAGTCAATAGTTTCTTTCTTGATCGCCATCATCCCCATGCTATCAAGATGTTGTGCATGCCGTTAGTGACAATTTATGAGCAATCTAGATTGTGCTCTTGATTTGAGCAAGCCTGGGATACGGAGTACTGGTGAGCAAGTGAACTTTTCCGGAGTAAACTTTCAGACCTAGGGCTGCGGCTCTGCATTTCGATTTCAGCAATTTCTGGATTCCACTTGTCTTTGTTACTCGAAGTGTCTATGGATACTGGCAAGATTCGCAGACTCCTGTCTCCACGGAACTGGTCTGAGGGTTCAAGAAGAGTCTACGTATTCTAGAAGCAAGCCAAATTCGCCTCTGGGTCGCATTAGCGCACGCTGGTACATTCAAGTGATTCAACGGGTTCGTTGGCAATGGCACTGTACCAGGATCCTGGTCCGAAGGTCCCTGGTCGACCTTTTGCACCTGTGTCTCCTAATGATAATCACCGCAATTGCTTCAATTGAGGGTTGTCGCCATGACAGATGCATCATGCCGTCCACGCTGCTACCACGAGCGTTTAGGCAACCTGCCAGTTGTTCATGTGGTTGCACGAGCGGACTTCTACAGATCGAACTCTAGCCCGACCAGGCGGGCGATTTGATAGGCTTCGATATAAGTCTCCGGATTCGCGTTATTCTTTACTGGTAACAAGCTATGCCAGCACAGCATCAGAAATCAACAGCATGAACAGCTGGCAGATGTCGACAAAGATGTATACTTGGACCAATGTGGCGAGGCCTCTTTAGGTCTATTATGTACCTCTTGCGTGAGTGTGTGAGCCCCACTCGCATTATCATTATCTCATTTATCACGCTTGCTTCGCTGTCTTTATTGGGGCCCGTCCCAGTGGAAATACCTTTGATTTGCGCAATTGAAGTTTCAAGTTCAAAGCCATCATCTCCACCCTGAATCAGTCTGCCATACATACGCCTTACGCTTCACTCTTTGTCCAGCTGATACTGGTCGCATCGTTTTTCAGAGCCTGTGCCATCATATCATTGTACTGTCCATTGGGCATCAATCAAGCACCTCCTTCCAGACTCATCGTCGTCGCCGTTCAAGGTCCTGACGCTTGCTGGATAGTCGCCGGAGCCACTCCGAATCTCTAAATCTTAACCTCGAGGCGGTTGTTTCATGATGTGTGCGTTCTACCACGAGTACCTATCGGGTAGGTGCAGTTCCCGTCATCCCCCACGGTCCTTGAAGAACCTTCCCAGCATTTGGTTCTGTCATCTGTCGCTGGTCAAAGATTCCCTTTGTGGTCATATAATCTCTATATTGCACGTGATTGATGAGGGGCCACCCTTCTTTCCTTGGGGAAGCATAGCTCATGGAACGCTGGGCAGGGGACTGATTCACGATCATACAGGTCTCTGCGACCGCCGTCACTGGCCAAGCCCACAGTACGGCACATACAGCTCGTCCGCTGGGTATGGATGTGTTGTCACTGTGAATCATCGCGAATACCAGACAGATGCGTACTATCCCACAGAGGACCTAGCCAAGGAGAATGCCGCCATGAGAGCGTATCTCATCTGCCGGAACTTCTCTGTGAACGATGGAATGTACCCTGTCGGCCATGATCACGGAGGTTTTGTGCAAGGCATCCCCACCGCAATCGGCACAGGTCGTCACAGCCACCGTCACAACGGGAGTGATACCTCATCTAGCCCAGGGAGCAGCCCTGGCCGTCAGGGCAATCTCAGAAGCAGCGGCTACGGTAGCTCGTCAAGCAGCTACGGGAGTCATAGTTATTACGGATCCTCATCTTCGAGTTACGGTAGCAGCAGCCGTTACCGATCTATATACCCCGCCAGCAGCCGTCGTTCCTGATCCAATTGCACGAACCGGAGTCTTCCTTGGCATTTTTCACTTTAGGGATCCATGTTAAACCTTCGTCCAATGATGAGTCACGACTTAATGCCCATACGAGACATACGAGACCACAACGAGGATTCCCCTGTATCAAGTTGAGCATTACCCTACCTTGGTTTTCATGCATAGCCATGCGAGGATGTTTTGCATTACCGGAGGGTCGCTTTTGATAGCGCTGGGTGTTGAGATGGAGGACAATATTGTTCTATTCTCCGTGCAGGCGAGCGTTTGGGTCTTATACTCTGTAGAGACGTATTCTTACAGCCAAATATAGAACACGACCATGCAGCTCATCCACAAAAGGATTCGTCCCTTGTCTCTCGTATTTATTGGGTTACATCAGGACAGAACGACGCCACTCCTTGTATCTCATAGCACTCCCCCTTGCTTTAGTAGGAGAAGTGTTGAAGCGGCAATGTCGAGAAGGATTACCACTTCAAGTTCACGTGTCATCTCTTGCCAAGCCAAGTCCGATCAAAGAATTGTTCTCTTGGCAAGATCTGCACTAGTACTACTTAGTATGGAATGACGCAGCCCCTGATACTTATCCAATACTACGAGTAGTAGCGGTACGGAGTACTCCGTGCTGTCTGAAAACCAACTTTGTTATTATGTTCCGTCAGCTAGATCCCTGGTCGTCTCCTTAAAATCTCCTTCTGTATCATTAGGAGAGTTCCTTTCTTTCGTCTTCCTTCCATTGCTGTAACGGGATGCCAATTTTTCTTCGATCACTGGGCCGTTCTAGCCATGCTATCAGCACATCATTCGCCTCTACAAGACGCGTTCCAACTTCGTCCACAGTAAACCTACAACGTTTACAAAAGCAACCAATCAGTTCATTATGGCTACCCGGACTTGCTTCTTCGACATGTCAGCAGCAAACGCGACTTTCCTCAAGCGAGCAGAAAGCCAAGGACCTCAACCAACGGGGCATTGACAACGAGTTGTCGAAATTGGATGATGATATCGAGGCAGAGAAGGAGAAACAAGTCAGAGCACCATGGCACAGGGAGGGCGCCGACCAGGCCCCAGTGTCCCGACCTCGAACCGCTAGCGCGATGACTAAAGGTAGACTCTTCCATCAATCTTGCGGAGCAGGTCTGACCGTGGCTAGGCAAGCTTCTTACTACTCCATCCAGGTTAATGAAACTGGTGCTACCATTGACAACGCTTGATCACAACTCCGACCGGAAAGACATTGCTCCGCTTGCTCTGCTCGTACATCCTCAGCAACCTCTCTCATACCTGGAGCGCCTCATACAGGCAGAGATTCCCAGCATCACAACCGGAAAAGGAGACAACAGAATACCCACCATCTCCTTTAGGGCTATGGAGTCAGAGGATGATAAGATCAAGCCGAAGGGGAAGGTCACAGGAGATGACTTGACAGACCCAACTGCTAGCGGCAGAGGCGGCCCGGGTGAAGGTGGTGTGGAGAGCTACAGCGGCGCGGGTCGCGAAGCCGATGACGAGGACACCGGACAATTCGTCCGTTGGAGCTCAAGCACCGAAATAGGCGACTTTGTCAGAGATGCTGCTCGAGCAAAAGAATTTATTATTGAGATTGAAGGGGGTTCACATGAGATCAGGGTCGGAGTTCCATCATTCAACGACCGTACTTTCTATCTGCGACAGAGACTCCGCAAGACAGCCCGAAAGCTTGCTGATATGGCGGTAATCAAGAAGGAATGCGATATCGCAGCTCATAGGGCAGGCCAGCGATTGGCTATGGCTGGCTTTGGTGTTATGGTGGGCTACTGGTACGTTGTCTATCGGCTAACATTCGAGACCGACCTTGGTTGGGATACTATGGAGCCGGTCACATATTTGATTGGTCTCAGCGCACTGATGGGCGGCTATCTTTGGTTTCTGTATCACAATCGTGAAGTATCATACAGGGCTGCCCTCAATCTCACCATCAGCCGACGACAGAACAAACTCTATGAGGCTCGAGGCTTCAACCTCGGGCGATGGCAGTCCTTGACTGAAGAAGGAAATGCATTGCGGACGGAGATTAAGGCAGTAGCTACTGAGTATGATATCGAGTGGGATGAGAAGGCCGACGAACACAACGAAGAAGTCTCGCAAGCGCTCAAGAAGGAACGTAAGCGCGATGATAAGAAGCGGAAGTCGACAGACAAAGCCAACGATGACGATGAATGATTTTAGACAGTCGTTCTGTAAACAAGGTATCCAACCAGAATCTACCTTCCACGTCTTATCCTCCTGAACCCGCTGGTCTTATCGTACCAAGTGAGCATTCCGGGCTGGGTCATAGTATTTTGTATCGCTGTTACCACCATTGCTAGGGCCTGAAATTCTGGTTAGGTTTCGGGGTGGTACGGAGCTATTGTGTCTCACCTGGTCGTCCAGTTCCGCCTTCGCCTCGGTCGTCTCCATTGCGTCGATTGCGATTATTGCGGAAGTCTCGAGATCGAAAGACGCTGTATAGCAGCCATAATGTTACCCAGTTCGGTGCGTGCTCGCCGTTGGTCTGACCTCGATCGAACAAAGTTCGGGCCATGGATCCGGCAGGCGCTTGTTGCCATGTATCGAGAATGCCGCAACGGCGTCGTTCGTTACGAATATGATGCCAAAAGAATGGTGGCCGGCAGTCTGGATCGCCGCGTTTTTCGTCTATCAAGTTCGACCTGTCCTGATTCATTCGGTTGTATACAGCAATGGCCACCTCCTAGGGAGCTTCAGTGAGTTTGAATCCGGTATGAACATGAACCCTGACGCACCCTCATTTGTCGATAGTAGTTCTCGTGAGTTGGGTTCTGATGATCGAGGCCTAAGGCGCGCATAAACTCATCTTTTGGTACACGAGGCCCAACCGCAGGGTACTGGTCCATGTTGGGGAGAAAGGCTGTTCAACGTCACAACCTGAAAGCTATGTGCAGCTTCAATATTAAATACTGATGGGGACATGGAGAGAGCCGGACACGGAGCAAAAGCATTTCTATATGCTCTTAGACCTTTTGAAGTCAAGCTGCTAGCAAGCCAGAAGCAAACAGCTGGACCCACGGCCCGAATCATCGAGCATTTCCGTCTCATCGAGTCGCATAGATACATCGGCCATGTCAGCAATATGTCAAACCTGCTTACAAGCTCTAACGATAGTAAGGATGATCAAACAGCACGGTATAGACAAGCTTCCCTGTCTTTGCTCCCAGATCCTCCGCATCACAGCGCGACTATGCCCGTTGAGCCGTTGTGTCATGCACACACCTGCTGGCAGCCGCCTGTCTTGTTGCGACTTACGGTTCGTGAAACGAATAAACCTTGATACCACTCGGCAATAGTGTTGACATCCCTTGAAACGTCCGTTTGTCCGTACCGCTCGGCCTGTTCAGTACATTTGAGTTTAACAAGAAATTGACGCTGAGGGACTTCTGACGAGGATTCTAGAGGTTAACTGGCTCGTTGGGCAGGATGGTGTCTAACCTCGTTGTCAACAGAACGCTTTAACTTGGAGCTGGCGAAGTCTGATCCACTAGGGTCGTGCACAAAGCTGGCCGGCGGCACTCCATGTCTTCTTCAACTCGCTCATGACCGTTTTTGCGAGCTTGAAAGGAGATTATTCTGCACTGATCAGTATGATGTCGGTGGCATCCAATTTAACTCGCCATGATCCTGGTCTGCTTCTGCGGCTTTCGTGGGTTAGCTCTATGCACGTCGACGTATCTAACCCTGTGGGCTGCAATATGACGGCTGCTGTTCGACGTCTCCCTTACTCTGGCCATCAAGCAAATACCAGAACAGATCTTAGTATTCAAAAGCTATTTCCAATCTGGACAAACTTTTTCGACGAGGCTTAGGCCACTCACATTGGTAGCTAATTTTGGTATTGAATTCCACAAACATCCCACGGTTCTGGTCATGCTACAACTCACACAAACAAGATATGGCTGTGGTTTGCTCCAGACTTCATTTAGGAGGTGAGGTCTGTGTCGCTGATTCCAAGCTTTCCCTGTTCGCTTTACCGTGCTCTAATGCCTTCACAAGCTAAGTCTTCAGCTTATCTCGCCTTTTTCCCGCATAAGAACTTAGCAAGATTAGTAACCACTTGCCAACAAAGTCGAATTCTGTTCCACTACGTCGAGACCCATGTGCCCCATGTGGCCACGACAGAACCCTCACAATGGCCTGATGCCTGCTGTGTGACCTGTCAGAAACATATCGACCGGGCCATTGCATATATAAAGTCCAATGCCGGCAGCTAGCCAGGGATGACTGTGCAAGCTCTGTGTAGCCGGATTTCTTCACAAACGAAATTATCTTCGGTCAACTTTGAGTGCCAGCAACAAAACCCTTGGTCAAGTGACTACCCAGCCAGCCATCAAGCGAAGTTGGGCAACGGTCAGTCTATAAATCATCAGTGATTTGGTTCTAACAGATAGCGAGCTGCGATCAGTGGAGGAGTAAGCGCCACAGCATGGCGTCGCTATGGTCAGCTTACCCTCTTGTCCCCAGCACGAGAAGTAATGTTTGACGATGCACATGTCAAATATGCAGTGCCACACAACCAACCAGAACATGACCCGCTTCTGAAGAAATGTGGTGTGAAATGCAGGGCTGATGAAAAACCTCTGTCTCAGCCCAGTAGCAGTCATCGCGTCAAAGCTCCTCTTTCAGCCTCCATGTTGATGAGGTTGGTTGACAAGAGCACTGTCTTCTGGGCAATCCGATTTGGACTAAGTATAATCTATCATCGAACAATGATGTACGCATTGGAAGACCAAAGTCTTTTCTCTTTCCGTTTCCTGTGCTCCTTTATCGCAAAATACCTTTGGAGAAGAAACTTCCAGCTGCCTAGTATGTTTATTCGAATTTTCCGTCCTCCGTCGGCTCTCCTTCGTCTATGGCAAACCAAGATCCGTATCTCTGTGCTTGCCTCATTGAAATCATGTTCAGAGGTCTAACCAGTATAGCATGCATATGCTCTTATTGATGTTGTCATAACCTCAGCCGCGGTAAGGGCAATCCGTCGTGACCGTCCCCAAGTTCTGACTAACCCTTGTTGTCTACCCGCCACTGGCACAGTGAATTGGACAAGCTTCAGCACCTAGCCTCTCGCAGGCCAAAGTTATCAGCAATGCTCTACCATGACAGAGCAACATTCACAGCCCTAGCCAGCCCTCTTTCAATTGGTCGGCATTCATATCCACTCGTGGTATGTCCACCCAGCTTACTGATTGAATGCTCAGTCAATGGCGCGGACAGTACCTGCCGCTTCCGCACCATCACTCCTAGGAACGGAAGACCATGCTCGGACTTGGCGTTATCATCTATATCCATCCCTCCATGTGAAACTGGGCGTTTGTCGTCTTCTTGCCTCGACACTATTTCTCAGGGCCGGTGAAGCTTCTCTCCATAATAGGACATACGATATTATTTTTCTTTCGGTTCTGGTTACGGTCCTAAACCTGAGTAGCTGCCTCTTTTAACCTGGGCGGAGCCTGGGTAGGAAGAGAATGGTTCCCAGCTTTACGCTCGGGTGCCTTGTACTGGAGCCCTAAGATCTTTTGGTCATAATTGCCCAGTGGCCGGTCAACCACGTTTCAATCTATTAGTGAATCAGTCTGCTAGAGAACACTCACTGCCTCGACAAACAAACCGACGACTGTTAACGGTGATGGACTCAACAGGCGCCTGTCTCACCGCCCCTTCTGTCGGCAACCATCAATCATCGCTATGGGTCGCACACCTCTTCTGCACCGTTGTGGTTGCTGGTGTTGCCTGCATAAAGGTGTAGTCGAAGCGGAGGAGTACTGCGATCAGCGATGCCATTCTGCTGGTTACGCATGTAAATGAGATGAAGGCCAAAGCTGCTTGAGAGCGTAAGCTGATCATATCTATTTCAGTCTATAGCTGCTGTACCTCGGGTACTGGCTGATCACGCTAATAGCGTTGATACCTTCGCGGGGGCCAATCTGAAAATGTGAACAATGATGCTAAAAAGAGCAAGGTAGCGAAAGCGAGTCCCGTGGCTACCGGCGATGCTCGCTCGCACCGGCTCGCTCACTCGCTATTCTAGCTGTTGTTTGCCAGTCGCATTGTATTTGAGGTCGCCCTGAGCGCAGACAACCTGTCGACCATGTTTCTGTTCTAAGAAACCTTCACCAACTACGGAACAAAATGGTGGTTCCGGTTGCTCGTGCCGATACTGATTGTGCGTGCACTCGTCGGCTCGCTCATCATCTCTGCTGACTGTTCGCCGGCTCGGCCACTCCAGGCTAAGGTGATGCCAAATGCTCGGGATGTGTATGTTGACCGTCATCTTTCCTTCCCTTCGTAATTCTACTCGGAGACCATGCTCCTTTTGACCCCTCTTGACCAGTTGACGCACACTTTTTCCGGATTTGGCTGACCCTGATCATCTAATTACTCCCGCAAATATTTCGTGTTGGGTCGTGTTCAACGTCCTCGAAACACTCCTGGATTGGTCTTTGATCATCGCGGTCGCAGTCATGGTGGAAAACTGCAGACCAACTTGCAGAGGAAGCTCTGGGCAATTTCGGTCTTCAATGTGCGGGCTGGTCAAAGTACCCATGTGCTCGAGCAATGCAGGATTCTTAACCGAGACAGCACCTAGGTGCCGCTCTGGTTACATCTGGCGGTCTACATCGATTTTATTCGAGACGGCCAAGCCAACGTTGATATCGTCCCATCCGTCATCACCGAAGAGTTGTGGGTCGTGCTCGCTCTCGTCTCCGCATCCACCCCGGTGTCAATACAGGTCGCCAAAAAGTTCACTACTTCTAGGGTGGTGCCCAGCTGTGTTGTCTTGTATGCCGAGTCCAAACACTCTTCTGGCAAGAGCAAGGCCGGCTTCCGCCCTAACGACGTCACCCAACACCAGTCAAACCGACTCTCACATAACGAAACCAATGAGTGAGGAGACATCTATCGGCAGCAAAGACTTTGGCATTCTACGAGTCGACTTTCATGTTTCCCCCGAGCCCGAGTAACCTTGTCCGATATTGTTCCTTGCTGTGATACAATCCATCCCTGGTTCGGAGCTCTCCTCGTGCGGAGTCTTCTGTAACCATCTTGGATCGTCTCGTCCATCTGGCGGGCAATTTTGGTCCTAAAGACTTTTCGTGAGCTTGGTGGAGCTGTTGGCGGTGGACTTTTTGAGCGACCGCAGCATACCGTGCACACCCTTGAATCAACAGTCTCGGAGTATGAGCAATGCCAAAGCAGTAGAAATGGCAATGACATGGGTCAGTCATACGGGGACAAGTGGAGAGGGATATCACAAATAGGAACAGCTCGAAACCAGAATTAGGGACCTTGAAAATGAAATGATACAGGAACAGGAAAGTGCGTCAGCCAAGGGGTACAGAGCATTGGAGAGCGACGACATTGAAGGTAGCAGGTGAGTTGATAGTGGGGCTTGCGGAACGAGTGTATAATACATACTAGCAGGGTGGTTCGCAGACTGTTTTGGGACGTTACACGCAATGATGACAGAAAAACTCTCAATGATCCTTGGTTGTTTGTATGTTATTGGTTGAATCTAATGAATGACTAATTCTGGATGTTGCTTCCCAAGCCCTCCTTCATAAACCAGAAAGCATCCTCACTCTTATACCGATTCTATCGCCTAATACCCCGCTTCGATTTTTAATCTTACTGCCTGATTGCAGCAATAACCCAGCTGGAAATATCAAGCTCGGCTCCGTTGTTGACTTTCAGAGGAGTGCCGTCTCCTCTCACTGTCTGATATGGGCCATTTGCTGGTCCGGTAATAATGGTAACGCCGACCGCTTCAGCTGGTTTCTGGACTTCGATCACGCTCGCGACGACTTTGTTGTCCGGGAAAGAGCTGCCGAAGACAGCAGCGATCGTCTGCTGTCGGCCGTTGACTGGAATGCCGTTGGTGGCAGATTTGCCTGTTTGGTTGTTGGTAACTTTGACTGAGACGCTCGAGGACATGTTGATGTTTGATTTGTGACTCAAAAGGTCAATCAAGCTTGTGTAAGTGCTTTTGGAGTATTTGATAGAGGATTTGTTTTTTTGGGGTTGCTTGTGTATTTCTGTTATGAACGAGACCTCCTAGGGCCTTCATATACTTTTTCTCCTGACGATAGAACTCGTAACTCGTATTATTCAGCTACAAATCTTTTCAGCTACAGCCATGGCGCAGTATGTACTAATAACGCAGAGGTGGCCCGACATTGTGACACCCACCTTTCCTCGAGGGGTCCACGAATGAAAGCTTTGTCATCAGTGTGGCTTGCATTGAGAAACAAGAGCTTGCTTGAAGAGTGGAAATCGGCGTCGCTTGCAGGCAAGCCTAGAAGAGATATAAAGGTCTAGATTATGCATGGCTTGCGTGATATTGAGCATGTTACAGAATACAGACGCGGCTGATATGTAACATGTAACATGTGACTGTCCCGTTTTCTGGTACAAGTCATTGCTTGGGTGAGGCACTTTTGCGTAGCCACACAGAGTATACATAACTGGTCACCATTTCAGCGAACCGGTGGGACTTTTTCACAAGGCGATCCACAGCCTCAGCCCCAAATGACCATTTTAGGTCTGTGGCTGGCTGAGTTGTACTTGAAGCTGGAAAGCGGAGCGGTGACCGCAGTGGCCAAAGAGAATGTTTGAAGAAAATATTTGGTTAATGGGTAGGAAATGGATCGCGGCTAAAGCGCATAACTAAGCTAAGTTAGGACTAATGGATCTAAGACGAGGCCCTGACCGGCTCTCCGCCACACATTCTTCCATGCTCGTATCTTTAAGTGTCAAGTGCTGAGCGCTCTGAATTGGCTGGTCATGGATAAAATTGTGTTACTACTTCGTATATCCTATTGGCTTGTCGAGTGTAGTTTTCACGTGCTATTCGCGTTCATTATATAGCTATTTCTACTATCAACATTTTCCAGTTATAAGTAGTTACGATAATATACTCCGTACGGAGTATAGCTCATGATGTTAGGTGACAATATTGAAGTTGAGATTTTGATGTTCCTTCTGCCAAGAATTACGACACTAAATCGCGGGAATACCATTCCTGATAAGGAAGCACCACCATTCAGTGACACAGGGGATATGTAGTAATAAAATACCGACTGCTCGTTGGATTTCACACATCTCAAAAGTCCTACTGGATTCCAAACAACTTCTCCCCCCATATATCAACTCCTCAAACCCTTCAAATGACTCCACCGGCCAAGAATGAGAATTCGGTTCGGCTGTGGGGTGGCAGGTTCACGGGAGAAATGGATCCCCTGATGGACCAATACAACGAGAGCTTGTCATTCGATCGCGTCTTCTATGCCCAGGACATCAAAGGCTCAATAGCCTACGCCAGGGCGAACCTCAAGGCCGGTATCCTCACCCAGGAGGAGTTTGAGATGCTTGAGGAGGGACTCAAGAAAGTTCTCAGGGAGTGGGACGAGGGTAAATTCCAGCCAGCACCAGGAGATGAAGGTGAGCAAGCTCCGGTACACATGCCTGTTGTTCTTCCGCCTTGATGGTCCTTATCCAGAGCATGACGTCTGGATATATTAAACCAGTAGGCGGGGTACCAAGTGGGCCCTGATGTTACCAAATATCTCTTTCCGGCGATCAACTGCTGACTGTATCCTTATACATTCATACTGCGAACGAGCGCCGCCTAGGCGAAGTTATTGGAACAAAGGTAGCGGGAAAGCTACATACAGGCCGCAGCCGCAACGACCAAATAGCGACTGACATGCGCATGTGGCTACGTGATGAGCTGAATCTGATTGAGGAGCTTCTCATCGACCTTCTCAAGGTCGTTGCCCAACGTGCCAAGCAGGATATCGACTACATCATGCCGAGCTACACGCATCTCCAAAGGGCACAACCTATCCGATGGAGCCACTGGCTTCTCAGCTATGCCACAGCATTCCAATCCGACCTCGAGCGCCTGCGGTTCACGAAGAGGAACATCAACAAACTCCCTCTTGGCAGCGGTGCCGTTGCTGGCAATGCCTTTGGCATTGATAGGATGCAGATGGCGAAAGAACTAGGCTTCGAGGGTCTCATTATGAATAGCATGTCCGCAGTCGGAGACCGAGACTTCGTCGTCGAGGTGCTACAATGTGCCTCCACTATCGGCAGTCACCTATCGCGCTGGTCGGAGGACCTTATCATCTACAGCTCCTCGGAATTCGGTTACATTAAGCTAGCAGACGCATATACGACTGGTAGCTCCTTGATGCCACAGAAGAAGAACAGTGACTCCCTTGAACTCCTACGTGGCAAGTCTGGGAGAATATTTGGGGCAATGGCTGGCCTGATGATGAGCATCAAGGGTATTCCATCTACGTATAACAAGGACCTGCAGGAGAGCTTACAGCCGATGTTGGATACTGTCAAGACCTTGAAGGACGGTCTCCAGATTGCGGCGAGGTCGCTGGCCACGGCGACGGTTTATCCAGACAAGATGCGTGCTGCACTGAGCCCAGACATGCTGGCAACGGATCTTGCTGAGTATTTGGTCAGGAAAGGTGAGCTGATTCATTACATCAGATCTTTTATAAACTCTTTTACTAATCCTAGCGTAGGTGTACCATTCCGTGAGACGCACCACTTGGCGGGCAAGATGGTCGCACTTGCTGAAGATGAGAATAAAGGGATGAATGAACTCAGCATCGAGCAGTTTCAAGGTATTGACAAGAGGTTTGGCAACGACGTGCTAAGCGTATTCGACTATGAGCGCTCTGTGGAGCTGAAGGACGCCATCGGCGGGACCAGTCGCCGTGCGGTCTTGGAGCAGCTGGAAGCACTAAAGAAGACACTGGGGGTTTGATAATTTTCAATTGCCGGGGTTGACTCGAAGCGTTCATAACGCCACCTAATCATCATATTTTTGCTCCAAACTTCGCGAGCTGCATGTCACGATACGTCACAAGACCTCGATGTTTGAAGCTGCCCCGGCGCCGTGGCGTTACACAACCAGGCCAAACGCTTGCATCTACCCTGCACGCCTGCAAATGCAATCTGGCGGCTGATTCCAATGCCCAAACTCGCACTCTAAGTGCTCGGACCACGCGTTCCTGCGCCTATCAGACCCCTCCCCCCGGTTTCTATCGCTTCAATGCCCATTTGCGAGCGCGCTTTGGCTTAGGAGCCTCCGCAGGCCTCACTGTCTCACTGTCTGCCGTCACTATATCCGCGGCGTCCTCTCTACGCTATGGAGCCCCCGCTGCTGCCTCTGCGGCCTCGCGCTTGCACTCAGCGGTCATCCGAGGTTTCTTATCAGGCCCACGGCCACGCTTCCTCGGTGAAGCAGGCGTATCGGTTGGAGTATCGTTCGAAGAGTCGTTTGAAGGCGCCGACGGCAGAGTCAGGAGGCAAGGATCGATGGGACGGCCGAGAGGAGGGTCTCCGTAAGGTCAAGCTCGTTCTCAATGAGATCATCCTCAAGGCGAAGGTCATTGAAAGCGCGGAATCCGTCCTCATCTGTGGCATCGCGTGATAGATCCAAGGTAGGTACTACCAGCGCCGTCACTATAGCTTTCGTCGTGTGTGATGCTGTCGCTCTCGTACTTGCCATCGCCGTCGCTTCTCTAGCTCTGAATTTTTCGAGATGCCTGTCTGTCTCTAATTCCTGGGATAGCTTCTTGAGCATAGGCCTCGCAAGCCTCACTGTCAAGTATCCTATCTTAGACCACTAGCGCACTGGCCCCTATCCTACCAGTAAAGCTTCTTGCTTCCGCAGAAATTCCCAAGCCCATGCTCCTTTGTACAGTAGCTCCAGTTCAAGTTGTTGAAATGCTCTTTCTTGGCACCGTGCCTTCCGAATCTCATCTGTCTCTGTCTCTGATCCTAGTATCTTACGGTACTGGTTGGATTTCCTTTTTTCGAGCTTTCGACTCTAGCATCGCGAATGCCCCTGGGCAATGAATGGCTGATCTGGTAGCTCCGACCTTTCAGCGAGGCTTTACGACCCCTTTCGAGTGCTAGCCATCGCGTCGGCTGTCTGAGTAATACAGGGGGAAGAGTCATATGATAGAGATTGAGAGAGAGAGAGAGAGAGAGTGAGAGTGAGTGAAGCGTAATGACTAGTGCAACGAAAAATCCACAGCTGATCGAGCGACCTTCTTACCACGTTACTCATTTCCTCTCTAGGATTTTGTATGATATGACCAGGCAAGGGATGGCAGATATTTTCACTGAAGTGCGCGCACGGATAAACCTTTCTATTTAAACACATGTTGTTCTTTGATTATGATAACAACACGAGATCGAGGCGCCAAAGCGAGATGCTTTTCTCTAAAGGCCGTCGAAGGTTTCTAGGGGTAAGCTATGAATACACGTACATGACTTGTGGAGATGGAGCATCAAAGGATTCACATCCCTGGCCCTGCCGTTTGTGAACTTGACCCTTCGAGTCCAGCTCCCTGCAAACGAAAATTCTTCTTGGAGAGAACGAGAGAGAGAAGAAAAAGGCCTCGATCCACACCATCATGACATATCATACACTGAGGCCGAAAGAAGTTTCTCCGACCATCCCGTATCGCGCCATGGAAGAATGCTAGAGAGGGTATCTTGACTGTACGCCAAAGGGATTAAAAGAACTAGCTGATGACATAGTTGGATGTAAGTTGTACAGGTTTGGCCGCCCCGGTCCAACGCTTGCAATGCAGAATGTGTGAATGGTATTGTGATGATGACGACGACGATGAGAAAAGTGTGACTAGTTCATCGGGTGCATCTGCTGCATACTCATGGGCATGCTGCTCCATTCAGCACCCACTGGCAAGTTGTTCAAACTGTTGTGGTGGTGGCGAGACTTCGTTTCGTACTGATCGGGTTCGGTGCTCTGTGGACGTCGGATATTGCTGCCTGGGTAGTATAGAGGAGCTCCGCCATAAGTCGGGTCAGGGTACGAGTATGCATCAATTGGGCTCGGGCTGGGTAAATTGGCATGTGAAGGTGATGCCCAACCGATACCACTTAGATGCGGGGAGCCTACTGCGCTGCCAGTGCTTCGGTGATCAGTGTTGGCCGGTGGCTCAAGTGGTTGCGGAGGGCCATAGCCGGGTGGGTGAGATGTCAAAGACGGACGATGCTGAGGTATATTATTAAAGCTCCCTGCTAGTGCCACCGAAGCCATGCTCGGAGACGATCGCGGCGACTGTTGCTGAAAGTCATGACGAAGGTGTGGAGGAAAGGAACCATTTGGCTGCAGGTAGCCCAGCTCAGATGGCCGTTGATGTAGATTGGGTAGTGGCGGTAGCTCGTTGCTTGGCGACATTGAGACTGGTCTTTGGGATGGCGAAGGTGTCGAATGTGCCGAGACCGTATCAGAAAATGCTCCAGCTGTAGGTTGGTTTGTGGTTGGCTTGGTCGTGGATAGCTTTGCAGTGGTCTCTGCAGCAGCTTCTTCGATCGTCCCGGTGTGGTGATTTTGATGTCGAGTCAGAGTAGTGCGTCGGGTAAAGGTTTTCTGACAGTTGGCATAGGGACATTTGTAAGGTCGCTTCCCGGAATGAATTCGTCGATGTCGAGCCAGAGAGCTGGAATCACTGAACGGCTGGGGATTGATATTAGACAAGGCACAATGATAAGCCGGTCGGAGAATACGTACTTTGCCACATCTCTCACACATATGAGGTTTCTCACCAGTATGTACCCGCGCATGTACAGTCAAAGCAGATCGTTGAATGAACTGCTTGCCACACCCAGGCCAGTCGCAGACGTGCGGCCGCACACCACTATGAATGCGTTCTAAAACATGTCAACTCCAACACCATATAAGGGAGACCTTGGACATACCATGACGGGCCAAATCACTGCGACGAGCGAAGAGCTTATTGCAGTGACTGCATGCAAATGCCTTTTTGGTCTGATCGCTGGTCGGTCTCGGGGCATTTAAATCATCGTTCGGTGGGTAGCCATTTTCTGGCAGACCGTCTGTTTGAAACACGGATGGCATCATCTGCATGATTGGAGCTGTCGGGATTGGAGATGGGTATTTGTTGGATGGGTTGGAAGAAGGATGAAGTGGTTGAGTTTGGCTCGAAATTGACCCTTGCTCGGAGCCCATGTCAGAATTAGATCGATTGCTCATGGGGGTAGCTTGTGCGAGTTGTTGTTGCCTGCGCGCCTCTGCTGCAGCTGCCGCATTCCCTTTTGCGTTAAGAATGTTGCCAATATCCATGGCAAGGCTCTCTTCTTCCACTGAGGTAGAATTGAGGCGCTTGTCGACGATGAAAGGTTCTTGCTTCGAGGGAGTCGCCACAGTGACTTTCCAGCTGCAATGCACGTTAGCAAGATCTTAGCATCAGCAGCACCCGAGATGAGAACTTTGTCCAAAGGATGATCTGATGCTCCAGAGCCTGTGCTGTAAAAACGAACTCGGGCCTCTTGAAGGTCAGTGCAGGCAAGAAACAAGTCCCCCACCTCGATCGTTGTTCACTTCAAGACAAGGTCCTCAGGCTGAAAGGAGATGCGACATGTTGATCCTACTGATTGAGCTCGCCACGGAAAAGTAGTACATACCTTTGATTATTATGATATCGAAAGTAGGATCCAAAGTGGCGCTAGTTTACGAGTATAAGATTTGGGAATGTGCGGTGGAGGCAAGGGTGATGATGTTTCAATTTTCTGACAAAGAATGTCGCCCACGGAAACACTTTGCTTTCCCGATAGTGCACAGCCTATTTAGATCGCTGAGCTTGCCAATCCTGCCCTGTCTTGGGAGGTTGATATGCTGATTTGGCGATTCTCACTCGTCCTTTACCACTCACAGCAGTCTCCAATATTGATTCAGTTGTCGTCGTTCCGTGCAATTCCTCAACAGGTAGACCGCTTGCGATGGGTGTAAAGGCTGATTTAGGGACCTCACAGAAGGCCGTGTAGGAATATCGCGGAGCAGCCGATGTCTCGGATTGACGGCGAGGTGCAGCTGAAGCGCGAACCATAAGATTCTGGCGATGTTTATCTCGGAGTCTATGGGTTGTGATACGAACAGATATGATGCTGTACCTTCGACGTCAACACAAGGTTCTTCTGGGGAAATCTCCGACCTGGACGGTAGTCGGTACGGTTGAGGTAGAGGTTATGTTGCAGGGTAGTTTTGTAGCAAGTGGCACAAGACAGGATGTGGTATTTAGCGTCCCTCCAGCCCATATACTGCTCCGGGATCTGGAAGGATTTGTTGATATCGGTTTCGGAAGACGGCTCGACCTGATCGCGGAGTTAGTTTTTGCAGTCCCTGAGCATTGTCGTCCTCCGGCAGGGCCACAGTGGTGAGGACAGTGGTGAGGACTTTGGACTGTCGCATTGCAGCAACGAAAAAGCACCATTGTTGATGACAATCACTTACAAAGTTCCCCAGCTTTGGCGGTGACGGGGCCTCAGCTCGAAATGCTGCAGATCAAGCAGAGCACAGACCTCAAAGCATGATGACGCCGCGGCAAAGCGGTCAACCTTAGCCAGGGGTCTGAAGGTATCGTTCTAACTGCAGCGAGAAACCACGCCAATATGCAGCTCTTAGGACGCAGCAGAGGAATAGTCGAGCGCAAAAGAGGAGACACGCGAAGAGGGATAAGTGAGTCTGAAGTCCATGGATGCGCTTTCGGGGACAGAGCGATGTTAGAGATCTGCCAACCTTAGCGGCTTGAAATCTCGCATGGCTTCATCCAACCCAGCCGCAGCCTACGGAGCATTCCCGAGACTCTGCCCATGAGCACCATAACCTACTGGAATCTACGATGTGAGAGTCGCTAAGGGCCTACGAGATCGTCATACAGGAAAAACAGGCTTTGCAAGACCATAGGTGCGATCTGTTGGCTTCAAAGTAGAGTTGGGCAGTACTGGGTCAGACTCTTCGTCCAGTCTGCTTATCACAGCGGTTTTGTTTCCTCTGGATGGGTAGGCCACTCAGAACAAACTTTATAAGTGTCGGCCATCTGCTCCAATCTATCCTTTCTGGCGGTGCCTGTCTCCTGGCAAGCAACCAGAGTCAGGCCATAAGTGAAACAGGGCGAGGTCACACAGGTTACGAATTATTGATTCACAGCAACCAGGTAGGAATGCCCACAACATAGTTACGCCAGACTTCTTCACTCAATTCGCCATCAACAACCTTGTCCAAGACACGACAGTACGACTTCAGACTGTCCTCGGTTGACAGCACAATTGGACAAGATCACGAACCTTAAAATTGCCTCGGTGAGGGTATCGTGACGATACCTTAAAACCTGGCGCATCAGGGCAACTGCCTGCAGAGCTTCTAGAAGAGACTAGTGAAGGTTTGATCACAAGTGCAGAAGCTAGGATCACTTCCGCTGCCTGTCTCGCCGCGAAGAGAGTGATGAAACAGTGAACTATTTACCGGAACGCCTCCTCCGGCCCGCTACGTATCCACCACCGTGCTGCGTGCTGCGGACAACCATGACATCGACCTTGTTTTTGTCCTCAAAACGATACGAGTGGAAGGAACCACAAGGAGGTCATTGCGTAGTTCTGACGAATAAGCCCAGCGTATGCTTAGAATATTACACACTCTGTAAATGGAGAGACAATGATGAGCCAGGTCGTTGGCCCCAGCTCTCAATCTGGCGCGAAAAGAACATCCAACTGATTAGTTATACCATTTGCTGAACAAACTCAGTCACCGACATGCTTGAGATTGAATGCTCGTGACTGAAGATCCCCAAATCAGTACCCAACACATGGAGTACTTGTGGGTGGCTCTGAAGACAAGGTTTGACACACCGAATAGTGGCCCCTACTACGTAAGTTACCGAGAGTGTTTAACCGACTACGTAGCCAATCCCAGGGAAGAGGAGAGCTCAATGTGCAACGGAATTACCTATGAATTTGCAGCCACGAGGGATTGGGGAACTTTGCTAGGCGGTGCTTAGTGCGGCACCGGGGGCACGGCTGTTGGGACGTAACCTTCCTACTATAGCTATTAGCCCTCTTTACTAACCGCATCAACAAGCACCCCAGAGTCACCAGGAAGACCGATCTCATTGCTCTACTAAAGCCCTTCATGCAGTGAGCTGCTACCCGATGCAGTAGTAGGTCAGACTCATCTGGGTCAGCTGCTGTCGATTGAGATTTGATCACAAGGCTGAGACGACATCTCGCCATATGTAAGCACGCTTCTTTCTGCTATCATTGGCAGAGGAATGGCTTCTCTCGGCCCCCACACATCCTCGACATTCAAGTCAAGAGTTGTGCTATGCATGCCAAGACCCTGCCTTACGGTGCCATGTAGAACACCATTATCAGCGTTAGGAACGTCGTAATGCATCACTGGGTGGATGCCCGCCTTCCATCTGGGTCTCTCCCGAATCAAGATCGTGGACTCCACGCAGGCAGACAACTCACTTCAGTCCGCAAGTTCTCCCATCACCATGGATCTACACGACAGGTTGGCTCGAATCACTAAAGCGGTAGAACAGCTGGAGATGGACAAACTCTTACAGCGAGACGAGATCCGCTCGCTCAAAGCTCAAGAGCGAGCTTACCAAAGCGAGATCAGCCTGTTAAGCCGTAAAGTCCAGGAGATGGAGGCGCAAGCTCGACAAGACGCACCGGTTACGGATGTCGGAAAACAGGTCCGACTACGATATCTGGAGCAACATCGGCAGCACATGGGACGGCCACAACAAAGGGTGGACTATGACCGCATCAAGTGTGGCAATCGCGCGGCGCACCGAGGGCGTCCGGTGGTGGACGCGTTGCTGTGCTTGACAGATTCCGTGCACTATGATGAGGTCTACATGGATCTCTACGGAATCACGCCGCGTGTTATGAAGGAAATGATGGACGTGCCAGAAGTGGTCGAGGTTGTCGGATTTCGAGCCTCCCTGCAGAGTGAGGACAAACTGACACCTTCCTTTCAGAGTCAGTTTCAACGCTTGCTAGAAATCGTGCTGAGGTATCCTTCAACAAGGGGGCTGATGAAGGCGTTCAAGGAGGACAAGAACCTCCAGCAATGTCATAGCGCGTTGCAGGATTGTTATGATAGCATTATGGCTATAAAAGAACGTTGAGGTATTCTGTGGTCCGCTCAAATGTACCCGAATCGGTTTTCTTTTCCCTGACAACTGTTACGCTGGCACATTACCCCCAAATCCAGATACCAGCTCTCCTTCGATCCTCGAATACGAAAGCCTCTGCTCCAACGCATCTGAAAAAGCCCTTCCGAAGACATCTTCTATTCCGTATCTGTCTACTCATGACACTTCGAGATAAAGGTATTGCTTCTCAGTGTAGAGATTCTTTCTTGAGGCAACATGGTGCCACCATTATCGTCACGACTAACTTCACAGACAGCCACCATATCACCCAGCAGCAAATGCTGCCTAAGCAATTCACATCCCTCCCTCCCTGTCTTCTTCGACCGCCTCTTGAAGTTACCGGGAATTTGACGAGCGACTACGATGCCCGACCCTACACCTAACCCGCTGCGCTTCCCTGAGAAAATTCTCCTTTACAGACCCACCTTGCGCCCGTAGCACTTGATCCTTTTGGTTGCTGCTGAGCTGACATATGTCCGGAGAAATGCCTAGCATCAACCCCAGCTGAGGTACCCCATCAACCTCTCAAGACGTCATTGTACGTTACTTATTTTCGCTCCAAGGGCTGTCACCGGGGTACAAGGGTACGGAAGGGATGCTGCGGTGTGAGAAGTGGGATACGGCATTACCTCTTCCAGGTCTCATGTCTGGCGTACCAGCGGCGTACTGACTGCTGGAGAATGCTTGGTGAGACAGATACCGCTTCTCTGTCAACAGAATGTGGCAGAGGAAATCATGCTAATGGTCTTTGGGTTCGATGATATCGGGCCAAGGGCCTTTGCGTACTAAACTATACGTGTTATGGGGTGTATGGTCTAGTATCTAGCATAACGTACATCAAGGTTTGGTTGAAAAACGAGAGTGTACGAGAGCAGACTTATAATATGAGAATAGAGAAAGGGGCGCTTGACATGAATCGACGAGCTACATGGAGGCCAGGATCTACGACTTTGTTTAGCGAAGGCCTCGGTCAATGCGAAGTAGAACGGTAGTAACTGCTGCACATATCACCCTGGCCTATCTTTCGCACAGAAAGCCAACTCGTAGATGCGCGATCTTTACATTTCTGATCAATTGAGCGGTTCTGCCGGAAGACTTGCCCTTTGGTGCAATACGTTCCTCCTCCTCCTCCTCCTCATCCATCGAACCGGTATCAGCGCTCCAGATCCCTGCTGACTTGGATCCGCGCGCCAGATGGGCACCTGGAGGATGAGTGCTGATCCTAGGAGTGGCGTGGTGGATCCGCAGGGAATTTTCTTCTCTGTTAGGATCACAAAAATGATAACATCGCTGCAGCAAATTCACAGTAACGCCTTGCTCGATATTCTCTTGTAACCTGCCCACTGCTTAAGGCTGCCACAGGTGACAATTTCATCTCTCTTGCCTCATGGCATGTGACTCTTCCTGGCTCCCTCCTCCCAGCTTGCTCAGAGACACGGTTAAGTTTTATGCTCGACATATACCATTTACTAATCCTTCGACGAATGGGTTCCAAATTCCTTTGTCAAGCATGCCTCAAGATAATTTCATATCGCCCGTATCTCATTTTCTGCAAGGGCTTTCAATTTTTCGCACCAGACAATATTTTAGGGACGGAGGATGTTGTGAAGCTGGTCACGGATCTAGAATCTTCTAAGCGAATGGTTGGTACAATCGGAATCTGTACCATGGATCTGACCAGCTTTCAGAGGACTCCGAATAGAAATCCCATTCTTCGTACGGCTTGCTGACGACCGTAAAAGCTATTTCTTCCATATGGCGCCCAATATGTCTGCCGCGATCCTCTTTCGTTGCGGCTATTTCTTCTCCGCAGAAGAGGCAAATATTGCTTCCCTGAACGTTGCTTGTGACCGTTCCTCCAAAGGTGCTGCGGTCGCGTTGTGAATGGCCATTACAACTTATTTCATGATTGATGTACCCTAATCGAGATGCAAAACACTGATCCGGAATTTTACAATCTTTGACCGTGCATACATAGGGACGCAGGTCGCTGAGAACATGCTTCCTTAAGACAACGTCAGCAAATACAAGCAATTCCGGTGATACGTACTGCCACTCCAAGCGTCTTTTAACCCTGATGGTTAAACCACAGATGTCACAATTAAATGACTGTGTCTGATCAAGCTCAATTGGAGGCGGCGGTAGACCAGGAGACGTGGCCCCAAAATCGGTGGAGGCGGACCTCTGACTGCCATTCATGAAGACCGGATCCTGTTCTTCTGGGTCGAAGGTCGGGTATCCGTGCAGAGAGCTATTCCGGCTCGAAGAAAGTGAATATACCGAGCCTGAACGCCGTCGTGGACTATCACCAGTCCAGAAACTTGGCAAGGAACTTGTGTCTTGCTGTGTTCCTAGATGCAAGGCATTCATTCCCTCTCTGTCTGGCAGTGAATATGTTCCTCGAAGCGAATGAGACTTAGTGTTTGAGGAAATAGATGGCAATTTACACTCTGGTAGATCAAGCCGTTGGCAGTTGCGACAACGCCGGTCAAATGGATCGATGCTCGTGAAACAACATGTCTATAATCACGTCAATATTGGGTAGAATGACCAAAAGAGGCACTTCTTACTCTGGAGACGCTACAAAACCAACAAGGAGTATCATTTCTTGACGTGGCAGGGATCAATTCGCAATCTGATCGATCGAGCCTTTGGCAGTCGAAGCAACGAGGATCACCAGGCTCCCCCGAATAAAAGCAGCGTATCTGAAAACATGTCAAGGGCGGACCAAGTGGGTGCTAGAAACGTGTCTCACTATGGCAAAACTGCAAAATGGGCATTGTTGGTTTATCTTCCCAAAACCGAGCTCAGGAGAATCAGCGCCGATCTCATCATCCCAAGTTACAAATTGGGGGTCCCCTTTTTCTGCTGTGGATGCTTCAATATGCGCTTGAGTCACAGCAGTAAGTGAAAAACTTACTCCGGATGGACCCTAGAGGCTTTCCTACCAACCCTGAAACCCTTGTTCCTGCTTCCTCGCGACAATCTTTCTGACTGCTCGGGTATAAGGCGATCGCCCTACAAATAGGGTTCAAGACCTCACAGATGGCACTTTTGTGACTGGACATATGGGAAGAAATATCGTTGAACTGAAGCTTTTCGCCGCGGGGCTTACATTGGTATTTTCCCCCTTCACCGAACGCGATATATGAACTGTGTTGAGCTTTCGTTGAACGTTGTGGTATCTGTCGGAATGCAGTAGCACGACCTGCCGGGCTTTCTTTTCTGTGCTTGTGACTGTTCTTGGAGTTGCTGGTGGCCTCTTGTTCTCTGCCATCTGAGATTAAATTCAAATTTTGATTGTGATCAGCAGATTCGTCTGTGTGAATCTTTGGATGCCTCAGCCGTTCGGCGCGACAATGGTTGGCAACAGCCAGACGGCAGACCAAATAAGTAGGCAGTTGAGGATATCTATCCAAAATGTTCCGATAGTAGATCTGAGCCTGAAGTCCAAGCCGTAGGACCTCATCAGGAAGGTTTAAAAATGTTCTACGTTTGACCGGCTGTGGAACATCCGTTATATGTACGTTGCGGAAGGCTTTGATTTCATCAAGTTCTCTAGCAGTAGAGCTTGCCTTACATAGCTGCTGTTGTTGAAGCTGCTGAGAGTCGGCTGAAGGTACTGCACTTTGATTGAGCCATGCATCAAGTGGAGACGCACCGCTGTTCCAGTCCATCGCGGTGATGACTTGATGACTAATGTCGTTGCTTCCCTCAGTCCTACTTGCCTTGGCTGATCGACCAGTTAGGGTTTCGAACTCCGAAGCACTTCGCTTCGTGCCTTTATCAACAATACGAACCTCTGGGGGCTCGATTCTGCTACCGTAAAGCCGCAGATCTTCCTCCGTTTGCTTCGCCTGGACATTTTCATCGTCGTCAAGAACTGTCACGCGGTTGAAGTTGTCTGTCAGGTGCGATGAGACCGGGTAGAAAGTAAGGTGGCAAGTATCGCTGTTAAGTTTTAGCTCCCATCAGAAGTAGGATATATAGCAGGTACAATACCAGGTCTGGAAGCTCAACGGAGGTTCTTCGACCGATCCGAGACCCAAACAGCCGGGTCGAGGACAGCAGCCAGCTTGTCTCTGAAGGTGAGAAATGATAATGGACATGCCGAAACTTGCTCCCCGCTTGACAGTGCGACTCCAATGCTCTTTCTTCACAATGGCGCCATGCTTTTCAGGATCTATGATGTGGAAAAAGCCATTCAAGATCTTTTCTTCTCCAGGCTTGCTTTTGAATTGAGCACGAAGAAACCCTTCGAAAGGCTAGACGAATCGATCAGTTTCAGACAGGAGAATATACAACTAGAGATTATACCTCCCAATGACGAAAATATTCATATGGCAATTCCTTGTATTCCCCCAGGGCATCTTCAAACTTGATATTAGAGTCGAGCAGGCCTGTTGGGCTATGTGATATGTTTTGTTGGACTTGAAGAAGAACTCTATATATTTGCCAATTTGACTGTAAGATTGTTCGCAAGAATTCTCGTATTTCCTTGGGAAACTGCCCTACATAGCCCATCACTTGTTCTCCGAGACTTCGCAGTCTTGCGATTGAGGCTTGTGTGGCATCAGCCTTGGCAAAAACAGCTTCCAATTTCTCGCGCCCAGCTGTGTCTGCTTTTAGCAGATCGTTGCTAAGGTGCCCCAGTTCCTCGGAAAGTCGGTTGACTCCAGCCCGGGTATCAGTGACATCAGTCATGAGGTCTTCATGCTCTTTCTTGGATCTTGAACTCAATTGTGAAATTGTTTGCCTGCGAATGACTCAGTAAGCGCTCCGTCAATGCTGTGAGATAGATATGGGTGACACCATACGAGGTGTGTGAAGCAAGCAACATGTTGATGCTGATACATTTGGCTGCAACAAGAACCCGCAGCCGCTCCACCTCTTTTGCGAACGAGACAGCCCACTTGGCTTTACGAGCGCCGCCGCTCAAGGAGCTTCGTTCGGCAAAAGGGCCCAGCGCAGACTCGTACTTTTCGAGCTTCGTCATGAATTCTCGTAACGGCAATTGACAAGCAAGTGCCATGGCCCGTATTGCGTTCACATGTGCGAAATTGTCGTCAGTTGGCTCTAAAGCCTGCAGCTGCTGAAGTGCATTCCCAAGTCCTTGGAGCTCAATGATGACATGTTGGTACTCCGTGGATGCACCTCCCACCTGCCGTAGGGATACGCAGACCTTCTTTATTAAGGCTGGGAGTTACAGATCAGCAAGGTCTGGTAGACCCAAGCACAGTTACTCACTAATTGCTTGGATAAAATCCCCAACAGAGAAGCCAAATGCAGGCGTCATCTTGAATGACAATCGAAGAGCTGCTAAAGCCAAACTAAGTCCAAATCATTGCCCTCGAGGACTGGCGAAGGCTGGCAATGGCATGATGGCTTTAAGACGCAGGCCAGGCTGCGCAGGCATACTCCAAGGCTGCGTAGCATTGAGGCTTGGTCTTCCGTGCTGCCTTCGCGGCCGGGATCTGAATGGCTGCAGCTCCCATATCTTGTGAGGAAAGCCCTGGCTCCATTTGTAGTGGAATGGCAAGCAGCCAGTGCACGCAGCCAGTGGTAGCAGCCACTGCTGCCACCGTCAACGTGCATGGTAGACGCTCAGACAAAACCACCTAGATAGGAAGCAAAAGTCTGTCGTACAGTATGCAGTACACCCCGGTACAGTATGCAAAGTGCCACCAGTGCGGCGAGGCAGATTGCATAAGCAAGCCAGACCCTCCTAGCCTATTCGAGCCAGCTCCCAATTCTCCCATACGACTACTAACTTAGTAGTAGTATTCCGCGAAAGTCTCCGACTCATTTGCTGCCCTGCTAGCACCTATACTACTCAGAGACTGGCATAGAAGGAAAATCCCTGCCGCTTACTATGGTCAACATAACAAAGCGCATGCACATCTTGAAACCTGTGAGTTGCTAACAACCTGTTCCCGCATTGGCCCTCAACCATGCTAACATGACCCTCACAGAAAGTAAGAAACTCCCATCGCGGAACATTCCGTATCTAAGCAGCAATTTACTGGTCCAGTAACTCACCTGCCTCTCCTCATAGCTTCTCTCCGTCCGCAACGGCCCCGGCGCAGCAATCCTCCCCCAATATCAAACCCAATCCGACAGCAGTACTCCGTCCTCGCGACCCTCCCAACCCACTCTCCTCCGCATCCGCCTCGACTACCCACCCGGCAACGGCCCCGCCAGCAAGGGTGCGCGTGCTTTCTGGCGCAACCACCTCCGCCGCCTGAAATACTACAACCCAGCCCTCCCCATCACCGTGAACCAAAATGCCGAGAAAGGAACGGAAGGCAATCCCGGGCCGGCGTGGAGGCTGTTCTTGGACTTTGAGGGCGAGGAGAAGGCACTGAGGGAGCTGGCGACAGAACCGAAGAATGAGCATTTCAAGGAGGTGATGGAGGAGGAGCTGATACCACGACCGAGGAGTACGCTAGAACAGGAAGAGGAGGTGGTGGAGGATAACACAACGCAGTCCAAGCCAAAACCACGCCCAAAATCCCAACCGAAGACCAGTGTCACCACACCATCACCACCCCCGCCGCCGCCATCATCATCCCCAGACCAACCCCCTCCTCCATCACCCCTCCCCTCCGTATCCACATCAGAAAATGCCCCTCCTCTAATATCCACCCGCACCATCTCCCTGCCAACCCTCAACCGCCCGGCCGGAGCGCTCTGGTTCTGGTTCCAACAACGCACCAAATGCGTCGACGTCCCCGAATCAGACGCCGACAAGCGGCTCGCGCGGGAATTGGCCAAGCACGCGGTGAAGGCGGAGGAGGACCGGAAGAGAGTCAAGAAGGGCATCGATGCGATGAAGCGGCAGGAGTTGATGCTCAAGATGGCTAGGGGCGAGGTGGAGCGGATGAGGGCTGACACGTAGATAAAAAGAGATGGACGGTGTGAGGTTTGGCGGGTTTGTGGAATGGTACTCGGGGGGGAGCTGCTGTTCAACGGCACGGAGGAGGAGGAGGAGGACAGATGAGCGATTTGTGTCTATATACAAGAAAAAGAGCTGCACACCTCCGAAAATGTATACTACTCACAGCAACACAAGCGGATAGAGAATTCTGCTGTAATTGGTTTGTGGCCGACAATATTTTAGAACCACCTACAACCTTGTGATATTATTCACAAACCGAACAGATCAGGTCGAGCGATGATATAGCGACGTACCACAACTTCTGAGAGAGGCACATTTCCCGTACGGACTACTACCACGACTGCTTACTTTCCAAAAGATGCAAGCTTGTTTCCTTCAAGGGAGCCGGAGGAAAGGCAAGAATCTATACATAATACACGACTATCAGGATCTAAGCCTACTACCCTCTTTCGCTAAGAACCTAACTAGAACTTAGTCGACAGGATCCTCCTCGAGCAGCAAATTGAACGAGAACGGCTCAAAAGGAAGACCATCACCAACGAAATGCTTACTCATCGCCTCGACCCAATGTAGACGCAGACTGTGCAGCATAGCCGAAGTGCCTTCCATGACACACTAGAACATAGATCAGTAAGCTGTGTACGCTATCAAGTTTGGAGGGAGAAAGCAAAGACTCACCAAGATGGCGATACTCAAGAAAAACCACATAAAGAAGGTGACGATGATCATGATGACCCTCAATGCAAATGACTCCATACCAAATGCACCACCAATCGTCATGTTCCACAGTACGATGGAGAGCTGTTGATGAGCTAGCGACAGAGCCCATAAACGCAGGTACGACGCAGTGTGAGAAACACAATTGAGACAAAACTCAATGGTGTGGATGGTCTGATGGATCTGGACTTCGGAGTATTCGAACTCTTCGTGCTCTTCGTCGTCAGCTGACCCCCCAATGTTCTGGGTGATCATGGCTCCTCCCTCGTCATCTCCGAAGCTGTCACGACCGTTGGTTCGACGGTCTGGATTCTCTTCGTCTTCGTCGTCGTCGAGGGCATGGGTGACCCTGCTCGTGTCCCCTATACCGCGATATCCTTGAGCGACGGTCTTGTTGTGCTCGTAGCGAAGGTACAATGGTTTGAGGAGCAGAAGTATCGGAACTTGGATCACCGCCAGCAAAAGCAGTGTGACTTGGATGCCAGCTTGCCCTCGAAAGAGTTGTTCCTCAGGTTCGACTTGTCCGGGTTTCAAAAACATATTGATGAGCATATTCAACAACCCCGGTGGGTTTCGTCCGATAGCATACCAATCCACGGACCACTTGTAGATGATGCAGAAGATTAAATAGCCGAAGATGGACTGGAAGAAGATCATCCCAGGGACGAAATTACCCCAGATATCAATCTTGGACTTGAAAAATCTCGCATTGACCAACGACAACATCAAACTGTATGTCATGTGCTACAAAAGTTAGCCTGTGCTCCTTGATGGGGCATTCCAACTTACCGCCCAACCCAGCAGAATTGCCAGTTTCATCTTGAAGCTGTTTGTAAAGAGAAGCTCGTTACCTGTGCCATGCCATGCCCAGTCCAGACCAAACGGATATCGATGATCCTTTTTGAGATGAGCGGTCACCATCTGACCAGGTTGCTCAACCTTCTCCCATTCCCATTGAGATTCGAAGAGAGAGAGCGACTGCGAGAATACGTCATTGTATATCAACCCCGTGAACATGGAATAGATGCCCATCATGAGCATGATATAGCGACCATAGAATGCCATGGCGAACAACTCATCTTGCTTCGATCTTTGCAATGGTTTTTCCCAATATATCATTGCACATGCAGCAAGCGTTATGAGGAAGCCATGTCCAAAGTCTCCAAACATAACCGCAAACAGGAAGGGAAAGGTGACGATGGTATAGAGACCTGGATTGACCTCTTGATACTTAGCTGTACCATATGCATTGATGATAGTTTGGAACCCTTCCGTGAACTTGTTTGTCTTGTTATAGGTGGGGGGGGTCTTGTTGGTCTTGATCTGGTTGACAATGGTTGGAACGGAGAGGCCGGCGCGGTCGTTGACATCCTGCAGGGTTGACCTGATTAGAGGTATAGACTGGGTAGGACACCAAGTTTCTGCAATGAGTGTCTTCCTGGCTTGATCGTAGGAACATTTGTTGAGCGCAGAGTAGACAGCCTTTTCCTTCCTGATAATAATCATCCACGCGGCCAGTGATCTTGCTATTTGAGTCAATTCTGCATCAAGTGTGTTCTTGGTGTTTCGAAGGACGCTGGCAAGGTCGCTCAGGCGAGTGTTCACTTCATGGATCTGATCGCGCCTCAAATCACTGTTTTCGTCCACACTGTAAAGGTCGGCTCCCAAAGACTCCGAAATCTTCCTGATCTTCGCAATGATCTCTTTTCCATGCGCAAAGATGACAAACACATTTTTGTGGATTTCCTCATTGTTTGTTGGGTCGATGATTGGATCTGGGATCTCTGATTGATTCATGTATAGATTGCCTCGCAATGTTCGCCAGAGAATCCTTTCGAAGGCGGCTAATCGTTCCCGGGGGATCACGCCAGCAACGAAGCCGATGTTCATAACTGCAAAAGATTGCTGACCCTGAGCATCTCCGTTGGTGCGGGCGCTCTCTTGTTCGACGTCTCGTAGCAATGGGGCATCATCATCGTCAATCGATTGTCGAATGTCTTCTGTATGGCCGTGTGCCTGAGCAATATTAGTGGGGGTCAAGAACCTGAATTGACTTGCCATACTCTGTCGAAGAAACCTCCTGCTTCTTTCAGGACCCATCTCCACTCCGTCAATTCCACCTCTCTCTTCTTCAACGTCTCGTAGCTTTCGTTCAGTCCTGAAATCCTCTGCTCCAACCCTTCGCTTCTCTCAGCCAGCTCATCAATCTCTCCAGCGTTTGGAGCCGCCAGCATGCTCTCCTCAAACTCGTAGCTGCTTCTCATAGGAATGCTGCTCTTCTCCATCTGGGCCTTGAAGTAGTTGAGTTGACGCTCGACATTGTCCAGGCGGCGGATCTCCTTTGTGAAGGTTCGCTGGAATGCGGTGGTCTCGTGGTTGAGATCTCGGAACTGGACACAACCGAGTTCACCCAGGGCAGAGACTACTTCACGGCCAATTTCGTTGGAGATGTACAGTTGTGCCAAGGACATGGGAGATGAACGAAAGAGGGAGTCATGCTGAGCCATGAAGGGAGAGAAACGGGCACAGTGGCCCAGCAGGATAGCCGACTGAGTGTCTCTCTCACCGATAGCAGATGCTTCGCATAGCAGAGAGACAAGCAAGTAATGATGGAAGTGAGTCTAGAGTTCAGACTTGTTTGCCTGCGAGTGATGACCATGAGTTTGGAGTTTGGAAGCAACTAAGCTCGAAACCCAACTAGTCCTTATTGGGATGGCGCCATGGCCTTCGATTCTGGGTGCTACGTAGTACAGTACTACTACTATACTACATCGTACGTAACGTAGTACTGCAGTGCATGGTCCGGAGTCCGAAGGATCCTTCTTCATGGCAGAACTCAGGATATCTCTGGGGGCACTCCCTGCTTTAGACTAGATGAAGAATATCAATGGCATCAGTGTATTTGGAAGACGATATTTGGCAGAAACCTTTTGAACCGCTCGCATTACCTCACATCACTGCGCATCATAACTAGCTAAAATATCATCTCTCCAGCATCAATTTTCTTCTCCATCTCACCATCATGTCTGTCCTAAGCGTCGCTCTGTCCAAAGAGCACACCTTCAGCAAAACTCCTGTCCGTTCCATTACCTTGGTCAAAGACCTGGGTGTTGAAGGAGATGTTCACAACGGCCTCACCGACCAACACCGACCCCGCCTCCACATCAAGCCAGCCCCGGTGAATCTTCGACAGGTCCATCTCATGCAGAATGAGATCCTCGAGGACTTTGGCGTCAAGCCGGCTGATATAGGTGAGAACATCACCACGACAGGTATTGATTTACTGGCGCTAGGGAGGGGCACCCGTATTCATTTCCTTCCGGCCTCGGTTGTGACAGGAGGCGACGGATATACAGATGGTGCTGGCGGACCTCAGCCGCATGCGATCATACGTATTACGGGGCTGCGACATCCTTGTCCAATGATTGAGAAATTCAGGGGTGGTTTGCAAGAAAAGTTCATCGTCAGGGACCAGGAGAGGAAGATTGTGGAGCGTAAGGCGGGTGTTATGGGCGTCGTTGAAGTGGGCGGTACTGTTGAACCAGGTATGCGGTTGAAGATGGAAAAGCCATCAGAATTCGAACCTCTTGCATGTGTCTAGAAGATCTCAACTTATTGAGGGATAGATTTGTCGAGAAGGAGGAATCTGACAAGAAGCTGTCTAAGAGAGCTCTGGAACACTACTAGGAAAGGTATAAGAACTTTGATACGGAAAGACACTTTAGCGACAAGATTACAGTCCGCGAACATGTTCAGCACAGGACTTATTTCCATGTTTGGCTGTCATCATTAATTTATGATTACACAGAGCCCGCTGATCACGGGCCAGTAATGGATACACTAAAGACGGTGAGAGCGAAGAAGCAGGAGGCACTAGACAGTAAGACGCCGCTTTAATGCAACAATCGCAGAGCTGAAGAAAATCTATACAGCTGTGCCGCTCGGCGTGGTCTGAAGGGAAACTTGAACTGAGACGCCATTCAATGCTGCCCAATCCATACTCTCTTCATGCGAAATAGCTTTTCCATAACACCCCAGAGAGATCTTCAAGCTGGTCCGGGCGGAACGCCTGTTGTTTCATTAGCATTCGTGAGCCATAATCATGGCTACACCACCAACTTACCTTCATGTCTATGTGCCAGGTATCCTGCCGAGTCTTCTTAAAGTCGCTGATTATGCTTTTCACGCTCGAGCCGACATTTCCGGGATCATTTGCGGCTTTATTACTCAGCGTAATGAGCACGGCCGGCATCCAGCTCGGTGGAGGACTTGAATAAGGGAATGCCTGTATCAGGGAGCCTAAGCCCAACACAGCAGCATGTCGGATGATCACCAGTCTCTGTTGTTCAGGTGTAGGAGTGTTAGTTCCAGTGGTGCGGGCAGAGGAGAGACCTGAAATGACAGTCTTTGGCTTCTTGGGCAGAGGATGGTCAACAAGCATTTTCGTAAATCGATCTCGTAACTGTCCGACCATACGATCGCGCAAGTCAACTGGCGAGCAGCGAATCATGCCCGATAGAGTTGCAGAAGCCCCAGCACGAACTTCATGCTGTGTATCTTCGAGCATGCTGGCAACACAATCAAACAGTTTCTGACGGTTTTCGTTCGACAAAAGGAAAAGGCGCCTGAAAAATATGATTTGCATGTTAATCATTACCCGAAGACGCTGATGCCACGAAGAGGATGTCCGACCTATCCGGATAAGTACATCGATTAAGTCGGTGTCCTCACCAAGACGATGAGGAATGTTCGGCAGATGGCGGAACACATGGTAAGCCAAGCTAGCCAGCTCTGGGTCTTCCTTAACATCCATCATGTGTAGCAGTTGCTCGGTAAACAGATTGGGAAAGAAGGAGAGAAGCTGAGTGCATTCATAAGAAGAGAGCATGGAGTCGAGTAGCAGCAATGTTGTCTTGCTGCCTGACGTGTACGCCGAAGGGGACTGTTGCCCTGGTGGCCGCTCATGTCGCCATCTTTCGATTCTCGAGAAGATGTCGTCCATCATCGCTGAGAATTCTTTGGTAGGCCTGTACGGCTGTACACCAATAGGCGAAGCTGTCCTCTGGGTCTCGACCAGCTCATCAACGCTCCGGAAAGACTCGTGATATCTTGTCCGAAAGATTGATGCAAGCGTTTGACCCATAGCTTCTCGGACGCCTTTGTATGGATGATCAATATGTGCTACAAAGTCCTGAGTGATGGTCTTGTCAAGCTGAAAGTGCCATCCTGCGTCGACAATGCATTGGTGGAGAAGATGTATCTTCGAGCTCTCTTTGAAGGCTGCATTAGAATCGATGTCGAGTTTAAAACTGGCGAGCCAGTCAACCAGCGGCCAAGCGCGCCTTGGATCTCGTCCTTGCAGGATCATGTGTAGAAAGGTTGTCCAATAGCCAGAATTCTCGGGTGTCAATCCATCCGAAAAGACCTTTCGAATTATTGGAAAGGCAAATTCCCATACAAGTTTTCTCAGCTCAATACTACTATCCATAACAGAGCTGATGAGACCACCAAGGATTTCTGCAGTCGCTCGATGCTGATGTTTGTCGCTGCCGTCCTCAAACACTGCTAGAGTCTCCTCCTTAATATCATCAAATGTTGCGACCGTCAACTCGTCACGAATCATCAGCTCGAAGGCATACAGAAGCATCATCGCGCTGGCCATACGGAACTTGTCTGCAGAAGAATCTCTCGGTTCTTGTTTCAGATACTTAAAACATGTTGAGAACCATTCACGAGTCATCAACTTGCCCATAGCAGTTCTTTTGGCCCATTCGAGCTCATCATATTCAATATCTTGCCTGATGCTCGCTTTGTAGGCTGGCATGGACTTGCCCCATACCAGCCAACCAGGGTAGTCATGGTCGACATAGTATTCTGCTTCAGGTTGTGCAAAATCTGCCAGAAACTTCTCTGTCCAGCCTTCTTCGTCGCTCTTGACCGCAACCTCTATCTTAGCTGGGAAGTGCTGCTTGCCCTGGATGTAATTTGAGTATTCGTGAGAGCATACCGCTCTGACATCAACCATGGTGAAGAGCGCGACCAAAGTTTGAGAATACATGCCACGCAGACCGGGATGAGCGTCCACAGCCCCAACAGTGATTAGGTTGATCATGTTCTCTGAGGCGACGTAATCAAACCGAAGACCAAGCGACATCACGATGGTGGCGGTGCGAGTGGCCTTCTTCCAATGAGACTCCCTTGCAAGAGCTATGAGCTCCTCTGCCAATTCAAATTTCTTTTTTTCAATATTTGTCCGTTTTTTAACGATGAACTTCCTCTTCTTGAGTATTGGCTCTTCAACTGACTCGGCTGGCGCTATAGCTTTTACAATATCCTCATTCAGGATTGCCATTCGCTCAACTGGGCGACCATAATCCATGATTTGAAAGACGCCGCCGCTACATAGTTTCTGGATCGACGGCTTGTCAGCACTCCCCGCTTCGATAAAAGTCCTGATAACGTCCGGTGTGTATTTCCAATGCCGCCCAACGGTCTTTGCCAGACTCCCAAAAAGTAGTGAATACATCCCACCCTTAATACGTGGGAAATCGTTGTTCTTGACTGCTTGTTTGAAGGCTTCCAGCAATCGTGGAATGACAAGTAGTCGGGCACCGAAGATGACTTTAAGGGCAGATTCTCCAGCTGTCTGGGCATTGCGCCGCACTTCCGTATAGAGTGAAACGCTCGACTCCGCCAAGTCGAGAAGTAATAATTCGTCCAAATCTGAACGAGCACGAGGTGCAGCGTTATGTCGAAGACGTTGCACGTGATAAACATTCGCTCGACGAATTAGGATTGGTCTTGGATAATCCTTCCTGACTCCGCTGACTTTGTAGGGCTGCTCATCAGCCTGAAGAAGCCTCGTCACGCGATCAAGAAGATGTGCAGAGCGTTCAATACCAACATCAACAAACCAGGCGCGGTAAGCTGTATACAGGGGGCCAAAACACGACACATCATCCTCTTGCTTCTCTATTAGGAAGCGATGGACATCATGTAGGACTCTGCCCGTTTCCTGCCGGAGGGAATGGATATCAGCGTAGAGAGGGTCCTTGGGATCTAGCAAATATCCTGTTGGGTATTGGAAAGAGGGTTTGATGGAGGTCTCATCTGTGCCATCCAAGGTGGCATCGTGGTCTGTCTCGTGGAGAGGTTCTTCAGGTAGATGACCATTTGCTTGGGACATCGACTTGTCTGCGTCAACTCCAGCGGCCATAGTGGTGAGTCCTTCGGAGACACCTTTCGGATCAAAGAGCACCGAAATACCAGAGAGGACCAATCGAAGCAGGACGAGGTTCCTTGAAACCTCATCAGACCATTCTTTGCCACTACCGTCCCTCTTGATGGGCGAAGTGCCATCGGTCAAAGCTCCCAACTGTTTCAGAGCAGACTTGGTTTGTGCCGCGAACAGTTCAACCGCAAACTCAACTTCTTGCCTGTTAGGTACGTGCCATTTGATGTTCAGCTTGGAAGGATTTTGAAAGCTGCCCCAGTGAGTGGCGGAGATACCCTTCGCAACAGACTCTGGCTCAAACAAGGAATAGTCGTTGGTGTATGTGACTGTCAAGTTCAGCAGCAAGTGATGGATGAAATTTGATATATGCACGGTCGGCATCCCTTTACACTTCTGTTGCATGTAAATGGCAATTTCGAACAGCTCCTGCTTATGTTTTAAAACAGCATCACCAACGTGGACAACACACATGCTAAGCATGCTGACATTCCAAACTAGACCACGATCTCGTGGAAGAACGTCAGCCGCTGCATTTCTTGTTGAGCCTGCTCCATTCTCGTCGATCTCAGTTCTGATGGAGCTGATAAGAACAGGGATGAGCTTTGCTAGAGCTTTCTCAGGATTGACCTTGCACAAGACGTTGCAGATAAAAGCCATGGCGTCCCGGGCTTGGTGAATGACATGGTTTGCAACAAAGTCGACGATTTTATTCAATGCCATGTCATACAGCTCGGAAGACAATGACGAGAGCAAGGGCATGAATGCTGCAGGTAGGGTGTTAACGATGTTCTCCTCCGGAGATGCGCTCCTCAGGCGAGCAGCGTCCGGAAGGTTCTCCAGTAATGTAAACACTCGACCAAGGAAAGAAGTGACAAACTCGCTAAGTCCAGCAGTCGAAGAAGCCAGGATCATTCCCTCTTCCTGCTCGTCCATCGACTGGTAGTTAAGCTGGATATCCGACCCCTCTTGTTCCATTTTCTCCATCTCAGTCGTAATCCACTGCATTGCAAGCATGTTTCCTTGAACGTCATCTCTTCCTTTAGAGAGATCCTCAAATGGAATATTGTAGCATACGGTTGTAAAAAATGACAAGGTGATAAAACTCTTCTCTAGGTCGTTGGCGTCGATGCCAGGAAGTGCAAGACCTAGCAGTGCTGTAATGTGGCAACGATAGCCTTTCGTACGGATCAGAGTCCTAGCAAGGACCTGCAGGGATCTCAGCGACGATGTCGTGCGGTGTACTTCAACCAGACCTTGCATGGAAGGATAGATTCGCTGCAACGCTCCTGGGAGAATCAGATCAGGTTCCAGATAGGCTAGACTTTGTAATGTAGATAGGGAGAAGTTCATTGCCGTTCCGCTCTTGGCATAAATTCCCATAAATATCACTTCCCTCAAGCAGAGAACGAATCGTCGCTTTAGCGCTTCATTCAGTCTCCTCTCGGTAGGTACTTCCATCTCGCCGTTCTTTTCTCGATTCCAACGCATCACGAAGAAGTCTGCCAGATAATACGTGAGTTGGGCTAGAGTTCTCGTCCAAGCGCCAGAATTGGAAGGGTGAAAGAAGGTTTCGATAGCTTGTATGAGACCTTCAAGTAGGGATAGTATCGAAAATTCCTGGTCTAAGCAGGCAGGTGATAACGACATCACAATCCATCGTGCGATATGATGAGCGACTGGATGTTTTCGAGAATCTCGATCTATCATGATTCCTAGACCTGAGGAAAGGTCGACAAGCGCGCTGTATGGAGATGTGGCCTGGCCCACCGGAATCTCTAGCAACCTTAATATTGCTGTGTAAATCAATGTAGTCTGCTCCTTTGTGAATATGCCGAATTCGGAAAATGGTATTTGTTTGGCTGGAAGCGAATCGCGGGCTAATCGAGAGAATAAGTCCAGGAAGTTGACATCAAACGTTCTCGACCTGTTTACCAAGGACCAAAGGTGATAGTACGTTGGCAGGAAATGTTGAGGCAGAAGATTTTCCTTCTCTGATGGCGCAGGGGCAGTCGGAAGGAAGAGATTAATCAATCCTACAGTGACAAAGGCGCTCTCGGTGAAAGAGGTGCTGAAATACGGAAGGATCTCTTTCAGTACCTCCGGTACTTCCTCGGGATCAAAGTACAGTTGAGCGAAAGTGCACAGCTTCACCAAGGTCTTGATATTGCGCTTGAGGTTTGTGGTCTGAACGAGCCCAGACTCGCTGGGCAGGACAAAGACTTTGATCTCTCTGTAAAGTGGCCTCCAGTCCAACACAAGGTCTTTAAGCGGTCGAAGGTAGTGTTTCCGCCTTAGCCTCGCAGTCAGTAAAGGTAAATGAGTGATGTTGGGGACGGCTCTTACTTGGTCAAAAGCATAAACATGCTGGCAAATCTCTCAGATACGGAGGGCTCAATTCCCGGTGCAAGAGCCAACTCGTAGTAGAGCCTCACCAGCTTTATTCTCTGCTCCTTGGTAGGATCGAATTTCAAGGATAGCCAACTTCTCAGCTCCCTAGTCCAGTGTATTGCCCCCGGAGTGAAGTCCCCAGCCTCGACAGCGATGTAAAGGTGTTTCAGTATCTCTGCAAGATCCTGCTGCCGTCTTGGCTCGTCCTCCAAGTCGTAGGGGAGATAGGAGAAGTAGGGGAACGTTCTGGGCCTATTTCGATATTTCTTGTAGCTCATGTCGGGCAAAACACCGTTCGCCTCCTGCGGACTTCCACCTGGCGAAGTCGCCCTCGATATCTCTGCTCCATTGCGATCGTGAAATATCAAAGACGTTCCATCGTCAAACCTAGGCCTCGGAGAATCCATAAGCTATCCGCACCTAGCGCTGAGACCGCTTTGCTCGACAGGATTGGAGAGAGAAAAGGTTGTCGGTTGAAAATAGCGGTAGGGCTACTAAAGAGAGAGGATCGAACTTCGAGTCTTCTGAAGCAAACAATGAGAGACGAATACGGAGGTAGTACTGGTGCCACCGTTCGGAGTATTACAAGCTGCGCGACTGCTTAGCAATCGAAACGAAGTTGTGAAGTTGAATATGTCTATGTTCAAGGGTCTTGAATAGATGTCAGAGGTAGTGTTTTGATCAACACCTCAATAAAGTGGTTTTGCGCCAGTCTGGATGTATTGCAAGCATGCAACAGTTGACCCTCTGCCCAATGATAGCCGCAACGGACTCGGGACTTGGAAGTTTGTGGCGTGTGATTGGCTACGCCTCAAGAGGCTCACGATGGCGATCGGTTGCTCGTGTACAAGAAGATATTTCTGAGATTCTTTGTATGCAGAATATGTGACTATAGTGCCAGAGGATTGTACGATTGTAGACGACTATTTCGAAGTGAGAAGCTCAGCAGGCAAGTGGTGTGCAGGTCTATTATCTCGAAACATGCATTCGCGAAATTCTAGGCAGAATCTGTTGCGCAATGAACCGCTACCGCCTGGCACAAAGAAAACAATATGCTTTGTCATCTACTTAAACAGCGTCATAATCTCCATCTAGACAGCTGTAGTGGAACTGCTGCTGTCGCCGATGTGCTTCTCTCATCACATAGTGATCACTATCTTCTTGTCCTCCCGCCAAATCCTAGGGTCACCCTACTCAGACACCAACCTCGACATCATGATCATGCATATCATCACCTCGGCATTTTGCACTATCTGTGATACTACATGCTTCAGAACTCGTTTTACCAACCGCCCGGTGCAATAAGCCGTGACTGCCTGCAGGAGGTCCCTCGCTAATGGGTCCAATGTCCTAATATTGCTTGGTCTGTGATCGATAGACGTCTTCAAGCTGGTGGAAGGAAAGAGGCATACAGGGTAGCTTGCACCACTGCGTACACTACCATCCATCGCACGACGGTCTGAGGATCGATGGGATGGGATTTCACTCGACCCTTATGTCCTGCGGCAGCTCTGATGCTCGAATATAGCCATATGTACCAAAGAGGATAGGCGGAAGAGAGACGGGTGATGATCTGCACATGGTAGCTGAGCAGAGCCAACAGTGCAAGCATTGCTTGTGGTGTCGCTAAGCGACGTAAGCAGCCCCGTTGGAAATCTGATTCCGTGGAACGTGCGGTGCGGATAGTGCCATCCTGCAAGGCATCCGAATCATGTCTCCACGCCCAGATCGCGGACTTGTAGAGGATGAAGATTGTTGGTGCAGCCAGGAGAAATAATGGTATGTTTGAGACAGTCCAGTATCGAAAAAGCCCCACGTTCCTACATTCGCTGTATTAGCTGCTTGATGTTCCTGGGAGCATAACTTCGTACCAGTAGTGGCGTTGTACCCATGCATAGATGCTAGGCACATATTCATTGCACCATGGCCTCAAATCATCAGGGAGTCCAAGGTTACAATACCTCACATACGCTCTGAACTGCGGGAGTATGGCACCAAGCGCAATTAAGCAGCCACCAATCCCAACGACAATTAACCGTCTGAACCTCTCAACAGATAGATTACCACTGAGAAGATGTCTTGCCGTCACCGTCGCATCATACAAGAAAAGCGCACCACTCAGGAGACCATTACTCCTAACCGTGGTTGCCAGACCAAACACGGCGCCTGCAGCTAGGCAATGGACTTCAGCACTGATTGCTCTCTTTTGATACTGAATCCGCAATGCCTTCAGATATAAGTGAAAGCCCAGAAAGTTAAGAAAAGAGAACAGCGCTTCAGAGCAAGGAGACAGAAGAAAACCCCCAGCTGGATTGATGATGTGCAAGGCTGCCACTGCTCTGGGAAGAGATGATCCGCTTTGAGGCGACTTGGAGAAAACAGTCATGGTTAAACTTGGTAGTAACAAGACAGAAAGAAGATGACAGAGATTTGACAAGGCCACTCCAAAAATTGCTGTCTCAAGGACATTGTCACGAAACCAGTCTGGGAACAGGCCTGTTCCGCCGTTAGTCGAGGTTCCAAATCAGACGGATTTAGAGATACCTCTTTGAAGCCAGCCCACCACAGTTGGAAAGCCAGGCCCAAAGGCCCATTCTTGTTCGAAGACATACCCTCTTCGGGTGATTTGAGTGAAGTAGATAGCATCCCAGCGAACAAATTTCCAGACGAGAGGCACGCTTGTAGCCACCTGCTGAGTCTGTTTTGCAAGTACTACCGATGATCCAGCGTCGACAAGTAATGTGCTTGAGGTGTCATATCCTGGCCCGGGCGCTAGGACGATGATGCTGAAAAGGAGAACTTTCCAGATACAGAAAAGGACCACAAGAAGGCGTATATCCTGCCACTGGATGAAGTTGCGGTGCGGCAAGAGAATTTTCTCTTCTCCATTGACACGTAACATTGAGCTCTAGGATATCAGTGGAATTTTGCAATTGCTGTTGGCAAGGAGTTAACAGCATTAAATATAGCGGAAGCGCGAACGGGGTCTTTAGGTACTACTAGTACTACTCGTAGTAGCTATCTGGGTCTAGGGCGTCTCGGCCCGAAGCTTGGCGCCAAAATTTACGGAAGTTCTCAGATTCCTGCTATGCTACACGCCCCTTTAATAGGGGATAGGACGCCCATTCGCTCATTTAGGGCAGCTACTCTATCTGGCATTGTTGAGATAGCCCTATTAATCTCATCCAGAGTTATTTTATCCCACTCCTCCTGGATAGCCCTGCGCAGAACAGCTTCTTCGAAGATAACCCCCCTGGACTTCAAGCGCTGCTTTATTATTCTCCAGATCGTCTCAATGGGGTTGAAATCAGGCGAATTAGCAGGGTTCATCTCCTATTTGATCCCTAGAAGGTCCTTGAGTGCTTTAACCTTGTTAGGACCCTTGCCCTTGGTACCATGAGGCCCGTCATTATCTTCGATTAGTACGTGATCTTTATCCTAATTAGGAGCGACAATTTCTTTCAAAATAGCTATATAATCACTCTGAATAAGACGTCCTCCTACTCTGGAGCCTGTATAGAAGTGGAGCTGACCCTTAAAATTCCATCTAATAACTGCGTACACATAGATTGACTGATTTTGACGCTTGAGCTTGAATTGGGTCTTTGATAGGGCATTTCGTGCTTTAAGCCCTGGTCGACGATGAATTTGAGCCTGTTGTTGCAAGCAAGTAGCAAAATGAGACTCATCACACTATTGATACTTCTTAAATTGATCTAATTGCCAATACCAGCGCTCAATCCCTATATAATTCGAGCATCAATATGCGTTTGTAAGAGCATTTTTTTTTGCGCGGCCATATAGGTCCCTACGCCAAAATCCTTTATATTTCTTTGAATAGCACGTTCAGAGCCATTAGCTATACCAATAGTCTTTGCCACCTTGAAATGACTAGAAGAAGCGAAGCCAAAATTAGCATCTTCTACTGCCTCAATTGCTTCACACTTATATTGAGCAAGTACTTGCTTTCGACCTCGATTATGGACTTTCTGACTGCGGCGCGCAGTTCCTTCTTTGATGATTCGATAGCCAGTTGTTTCAGATATATTATGTATCTTAAATAGCTCTGTACGAGGTAATTTGCCAGCTGTGTGGCGTGCATCAGCGAGGAGGCGCGCGCGGCGCGGCGTGTCAAGCATCGTTTTAAGCGTTCGTGGGGCCGCAGGAGAAGGAGGATCTATCGAATAAGACTTCCGGCAGACGCGCCGTTTATTTCCCTGTTCAGAACTCATTATTCCTTAAATTTGAGTGAGTATTGGTAGAGAAATAGGGGAATGAAGAAGGGGGGGAGAGGAAGGGGATCTGAGAACTCCCGTAAATTTTGGCGCCAAGCTTCGGCCCTAGGCCCCGGGAAAGAATCCGTGTCGCTCTTGGCACTCCACACCCTCAAATCTTACTACTTTCTTTCTATGCGAATACCATACAAAGTCCTTGGATCTGAACGACCAAGGAGTAAATCCTTCTCTCCTCTCCAGCAACTGCCTCATCCTCTCAGGTATACTACGAATGCATTTATCAATTAATTGGGTAGTAACTTGCATTGCATGTAGATGCAGTGGGGAAATGCCAAGTCGTCGGAGCAGTGATAATCAGTGTCATCTTCGAAGAAGTACGGGAAATTCAAATTGTTGAGACTGTTTTCGGCGCCATATTTGGAAACCGACCCGTAGTCATTATACTGCTGACAGAGCGTAGCAAGATGTTTGATGGCTGCTTGAACAAAGTACCTCGACTTCACAGAGCGAAAAATTTCCTCGCCTGGCCTTGAGGCAAGGCAGCTAAAGAAAAGAAAGGAAAATAGGCATCTCGTATAGTCCGCCGAGATAGTATGTAGTACCCCAGTCAAAATAAGACATCTGGTGGAGAATGTGAGGTGTGACTCTTGCTTCCAGAATTGCTCATTGTTCCCGGTCTGCTGGAAATGCGCGAGGAGAAAGGTTTCAAGGGCGATGCGGAAACGGTACTGAAAAGCTACGGGGCTGCAGAGAACAGCAGGATGCTTGAGAAAGTGCATCACGTACTTTGAAAGTATTTTTTTCAACTTCGGATAGGACGCAAACAGCCTCTGAGTCGGTCTCGTCAGGTGTGTGGACACCATCGGAATCAGAATTCGAGTTCCTGCTCGTGTTTCTGGAGCTATCGTTATCCCTCGAGAGAACGCGATGAGCTGTAGCGACAGGTCTATCGTGCTCAGAGATCCCGCGGATGCAGCTGATGCAGTCGCGGACATACTGCGGACTGAGAGAATAAGTCTTAGCAACGACCGTCTCCATGTACTCCTCAGCCTGGTAATTGAGCATTGAGCAATATAGCACGTCCCAGAGTATGCTGTCTGGGATCGGTGTAGATTCGAGATGGGGCATCTGAGCCAGGTGAAAGGAATATAGTTCAAATACTTATTCTCGCTCATATCCTTTCATGGGAAGATCTCATGTTGACCCATTTCAAGACGGCGTTTGTAGATATTGCTCTCGAGGAGCAATGCTTTCATTTTCCATATTGGATAATCAGAGAATATTGGTACTCCGGAGAAGAATTCTACCAGCCTTCTGAGCAGAGCATCATCCTCGTTCTGGCTGATAACCTCTGTCTTGGTTGTTACGCGAAGAGATGCTGACAGTGCCGCCAAATAATAGGCCTCGCACAATACTGGAGAAGAATGACTGAATTTCGCGATCCAGAGCCGTTTAGCCTTAGAGCATTCATGCTCATGACATGCTAGATAGCTGCGCTTTTTGTGACGCAGCAATCAGCACATCACGCAGAGGGTTTGTCATCTTGCTCGACACAAGAGCGGAGATAGTCAGTACAGCATATGCTGTAACCTCACATGATCCATCAACCCCAATCCATATTCAGTTTGCGTTGATAACGTTGATAGTAATATCTGGATCAGCACTGTCGGGATTTGAGCAGTTACTAGGTCTTCCGGCAGGTCCTTCAGTTTCCCACTACCGTGAACGTCTAGAACGCTGGCAAAGCCTTCGGCTAGTAGCATTAAGGAATATTCCTCTGAATGATTCTGTGCTGAAATCAGCGTTATGCCAATCAATGACCAGTGACTTGCTCACCCACTTATCCATCAATGTTTCTTCTGCCCATAAGTTGCATAAGAAGGTAATAATTCTGGAAATTTGCGAGGTATAGTCATCCACTTCTTCCAAGTGCAGAAGAACTTTGAGCACGTTACAGTTGGCGCTAAAGCTCGGATTCCTTTCCAGTGCATACGTTTTAAAGCATGCCCCATCATCAGATGTCTCGACCAGGCTTGCAGGACTGACATTCCTCCCTATCAGCAGTAAAGATAGAAGAGCTTTGGCTGTGTCATCAGCGTCCGGTGTGAAACTAGCGGCTATAGAGATTACCGAAGGTTTCTGATGACCATCGTTACTTACCAAAGCCGGTACACCCACCTCCTTTGATGAGAGCGCTCTCCAACTCATTAGCAATAATTGCCACTGGCTCTACTCCGAGGTCTTCCACGGTAAGTCCGCTACCTAGCAAGGTGGAAAGTACCTGAAAGGGATGGTGAGAAGGAGTCTGCTTCCGATACGGGCAGTGAAATTACCCAGCTGAGCTCAAAAACCGTGCTTGGGTAAGCACTTGGGAAAAGGCCCGACCCTATGCCTGCACCCTGTCGCATAACAATCTGTAGGTAGCACTCTGCTTCACAGTCCCAAACGCTAGCATTCATCAAGTAGGCGGCTGTAGATGATGGTGATCCTAACATGCTCCCAAGCCGCTTGTGATGTGAAATTCGATCAAAGTCGACCACTCCATCGAGGGCTTCCAGAGCATAAAGTAAGGTGGGCTGCATACGGTTATAAAGCATGCTCGGTTTGAACTTTGCTGGCCGCTTCCTATTCAAGTCCATCAACAAGGGAGGTTTATAAAGACAGATGCCGTAACATTCCAGCTGACTGATAATTGCTGGAACAATAACTTCGAAGCCGACCTGATCAGCCTTCGTCACATCCCAAGTTTGCAGCCTTTTGTCCAGTCACACTATAGCTCTGGAAATGCGGGGAAAGATGTCCGGAGGACTGAGTCCTTGTTTGCAATGGTGCTTTTGCCGGCATAGTGAGGGTAGGGCGGCTAGTATGTTCAATATGCCATCGACTTCGGTCGAGTAATCTTCCCATGCTCCTGTAGGTAGTTGGGTATCTTTGATGGCCCTGAAAGCTTCAGGACACAGCCAGTGACACTCAGACCCGGCTGGCTTGAAGACCAAAGACACCCACGCAGTATCGTAAATGGAGGTAGACATTGTTTTAATGTACCCATCCTTCAAGCAAGCACTGGATAGCTGTGCTACCAGTTTTGCGGCCTGATAACGCAAATCTATCGTGGAAGTGACCATGGTCGTGGTGTAGAATTGCAGAGCATACGGAAATAAGACTCAGTTCGATATGGAAGATATGGAATCAATATGGAAATAGCGAATCCAGTAAAGGTTTCCCAGGCACAGCCACTTACCTATAAAGCGGGGTCCTTCGTCACGGCAGAGCAAACATGCACAGACTATAGATGGTATATCATAATACCATGTTGGATTACCAGAAGAATAGTAGGTAGGAGAGTCTCGTGAAGTAGGTCACTGTGTTTTGCATGAGATTTCACAAGCTTGACATCAGACGGTGAATACCTAATGCTCAGAGGAGCAAATGAATGATGGAATTGAGTAATGAGATTAAACCTATGAATCGAACTTTTAGTCGTTTGGTACGTCAGTCTCATGAAGCAGTCAATCCTGGGTTTATTTTCGTGCAGTTGCTTTTTTATCTCGAATACAGCAAGATCGCACTGAATGCCTTAGAAGCTGACCTACAAAGACTAGGCCTTGATAGCAAACCAACTTTGACGGCTGAGCCCAAGGAGCAAGGCTCCGAGATCGTTGCGACAGGCTTTGATTGCTTGATCAATCCGTGACTCTGCTGCTGTCACAGCAGGGCTGTGGAACTCCAACAAGGCTGACGTCCGCCAAGCCAATTACGGAGGTGCAAAGACATTATCCTTCAATTGCGCCAACCTGTGTTCCGAAAGGATGAAGAAAAGCGCTTGGATGATCGTTAGGAGCCAGAAGTCTACTACGAATCGTTATTACTTATCAACTTTCTTCAAGTCGGGTCGTAGCTTGGTTGCTTCTAGTTCCGAGGGGAGCCAAAACATGGTCTGGCATTTCGCCTTTGAGTACAGAGTATTACCTCATCCTGAGCCCAAGAGTGTTCTCTTTGCAAGCTTATGCGCCATACCAGAGCAAAGAGAAACGTCCTACCGGCCCCGTAATCCAAAGTTATCAACGTTCAAGTGGAGAACGCGGCCATTGTGAAATTGATGAAGAGTCAATTCGTGAAGTGGGTCTAGCAACGCAGAATCCACCCTGTGGGAAAGCCTCAATTTGACCCAGAGAACGTTGCCAAAGTTTTGCGAGAGGTTGGGGCATTCAGTGCCGGTGCTCAATTGGAGTTGGTCAGAATAGAACAAGCCACAGACCCATACACTCTGCCCAAAACTCACCACCCTTGGCGCCCCCCATGATGGGGCAACAAAACTGGGTCTAGGAGCAGCTGTGTCTGATGCAGAACTTGTGGCCCAAGCTTTGGACGAGGGTGCTGATATCAACCTTCCCAATTCTGACGACAATACACCGCTTCAGACCACACTCGCAACTTCGGGCGACTCAGCAATGTTGGCCCCTTTACTGCTGTACAACCAGACGAACATTCAATCCGAAATGAGACTGGGGAAACTCTAACGCATGTCGCCGTCCAATCAGGGTAACCCACCTCCTTCGATGTCATACGCAAGATGCAGAGCTCTGCGGGTCTGTGTTGGGAATGGCGTTACCCCACTGCATATGGCTATTCTTGATTTGGTGACATGTCTCGCTATGGTGAAAAAGTAAAACTGCATATTTGCCTGCAGAGAAATTTACCCTGATACGATACTCGATCAAAGGCAGATCTGCGCTTCATTCGGCTGCATTCGTAAGCCACAATGCACATGCTATGGAACTTGTTCGTCTTGGATGTAATCCATCATTCTTAGCAAAAAAGTCATTGCTCATCGATGGAGTCTGGTTCGCTTGTTCGCCACTATTTGTTGATGTGAAGAAGGGGTATTCATGTCGAGATAATGAACTGAAAACATTCCAGCGACCAGACGCCCCTTGAATGTGCGAAACTGGTCCTTCAGCACAATGTCGCCGAGTTGCTTATTTCCTTTGGGCGGATTGGAGGCGGCTCTGGAAAGATTATGATGGAATCCTTGATTTTGCATACTCTGGTCATAAGTAGTACTCCTGCCTTAATAAGTCAATCCATCGACCTCCTACTGTTCTATTGCCCTTGCACTCCCCCGGGATCTTAACAGATTCAAGCAAATCAAATGGGGGTCATGATTTGGTTTATTTGATTTGATGGATACACTGCCCAGTCAGCGTCACCAGGGTACACTGGCTGGAAATGGAAAAGAGCCAGTAAGGTACCCAGTTAAGGACATGGTGAGCGGCTCACCTATCACGGGTGTTAGCTCTTAAATTAAACTCATCGACTTGTACCGAAGACAAGACAAGTCACACTTCCAACTACATCTTGCAACAGGAGGTTTTAGCTACAGGGCCGTTGAAACGGAATAAGACATTCAGACGATTTAATGACACTCCTTCCTGTCTCCACATATATTCTCATACACCAACCTCACCCGCTATTTCCAATTGTGTTCCTCGAGATACCTTCTGCATTTATCTTGTCTGTATCCTCCTATCGTCATGCACACCAAAGTCGTTTACCATCTGATTACCGTGAGCAACTAGCTCGCGACTTGTTCGTCGGCTCCTCTTTCAAACCTGTCTCGAGGAATTTATCGCGCCCCTTCTTAAGATCCACCGTCTCGACGTGCGCTGTGGCGGTCCCAACTCATCCTAGCACATCCCAAACCGTGCACCATCCGGGCTTAGACCCCACCCTTTGCATCCAGCCTCCAGCTAGGTACTAGTTAGTCCTGCCCGGCACGCTTGCACTCCCCCCCTCTTCCTCCTCCTCCTCCTCCTCCAGCAGTATAGACTAAGCCTCCATAATCAGCTCCTAACTTAGAACTAACTCGTAGAAGGCCAGTAAGCATATCACCCGACAAAGGAGAAAAGCGGGACTTTCTTGCGCTGTTGATTCTGAACTACTAGTATCATCGTAATCTCAATCACGGTCTCTGGTCAGGGGCCGGTAAGCACCAAAGAGGGTTGGGGTGGTAGTATTATTGCTACTGGAGGGACTTTGGGTTGCGGGATATTTCCCATGACTATGATGGTCTTTACATGGCACTAGAGGAATCATGGAGCGTGAAGCGTGCTCAATTGGTATTCTAACTAGTACTAACTAGCTGGCTTAATACCAAGCCGAGTCTTCGTTTCTGCGAAGACCTACGCTTCACCGATTCTGATTTTCTCGACTTCGAAGCCGCCGAAGCAATGACACCCCGTAACTCTGTAAAGAACTCTTGCGTTTGGTTTATTTATCGTACATGTTCTGCGCAACTCCTATGATCTCTGTGTCCAAGGTGAGAACCGTTATGGTATCGTTGTGCGAGAAGCCTGACCAGCCGGGCCGAAGAGGCGTGCCAGCATAGCTGCTGGCTGCCGTGCTTGCTTGCCTCTAGTCATCGATGATAACGCTGTCTTCTATCTCACCTCACTGACAATCCCTTCTTGCTATTGTCTTGCAGGAACTTGCCCAGCCTCTAGATAACTCATCCGGTCGAAACCCGTTTGCGTATCAGTTTCCATACCTGCGTTCCGAAGCGTAGTAGTGGCGAACTTGCTTCTAGGGATATGTGGTAGACTGTGAAATGCCTTTGCATCACCCTTCTCATCCTCACATAGCGTATCGCCTGTTTGACTACTGTCTCTGCGATGTCGGTCTGAGCCAGAGCGGCTTCTATGGGAATAACGGGCTAAGAGGGAGCGGTAGTACGCCCAACGGAAATAATCTTTGCCGGTGAAGAGCGGGCGGAGAAAGGGGATGGATGCGATTACGATGACGAGGTGGGTTTGAATTCTGAGGGAGGTGTTAGTGGCGAGTAATGTTAAGGAAGATGTTGAGAGGGGTTTGGAGAAGAGACTGAAACTTACAGTCCCCATATGTCGGCTATGACGAACTCGTCTGAACAGTATTAGCTATGATGTTTGATGAGATGGGCTGATGCTCAATTGATGTGGGCTTATTTTGAGAGATGATTTACATGTTTTGTCTTCAACAGTGGTGATTCTGCTCAGTTCCGTCACAGTGACTATGGCAGCAATCATGTTGCTATGTGGTAGTTGTTAGTGTCTTATCCTTCAGAAATCGAGGAAGATCGCTCACAATAAACCAAGACCCATAAGGATCATAAGACCGAACTTGGCTTTGCTCTTCAAATGGAGATTTGATATGACGATGGCAGGCATGATAGCAAGGACCAGATCAGCAAAGATGTTGAAGCCTAGTACTGATGTCAGAGGGTGCTTTTGAAAATGGAAGTAATGTTGACCATACCTCCTTGCGCGTAGCCCAGTCTCCTATGAATCCTACGATCCAAACAGCTCCCGGGAAGTGGCCGGTTCCAGTACTTCTGGACAGGATTGCACTGGCCAATACCGACCCCAATGAGAATGATGTTGACCACGAACTGACTGACGATCACGAAGTACAGCAACCAGCGTCGCCACTTGACCGTGCCGATCAACACGATCAAGGACACCGCAAAGGACACCCGCCCAAAGACCAGGGACATGAACGCGAATGGGGTAAGGACAAAAGCCATCTTCATGGCTTCTTTCGCATCTTCTGGTGAAATGTACCAGATGTGCTTGCCGAAACCGTGGCTTACGCAATTGGTAGTCAATGACCCAGTTATGATTCCAAAGAGCTATTGTGCCAGAGGTACCGGTCAACAGACTGTGATCTATCTTTCAAATGGCACTCACCAGTGATAGAATCATGAGATAGTCATCCCAACCCAGCTTTTTCATTTGCCTCAGTCGAGCACAGACTCTTGCGACCACAAAGGGAGTGGAGATGCCAATCAAAATCCATGTGGCCTGGACCAGCATGGGCCCACGAGTCTCTGTGGGAGGAGGTCGCTGCTGTTCTGGAACTGGATTTGGATATGCCATCTTGCTGAAGTAGTAGTAAGAAGGAAGAAGGGTGTGAAAGCCTTGGGAAGTTGAAGTAGGAGAAACAGTTTATACAGCTCTCGGTGAATGCTTCAGAAGAGGATTCATGCTGGCTCTGACAAGTGCTAGACAGAAACAGGGTTCAAAGAGAAGCATTTCAGCTGAGATCTCGATCTCCTTCCCACGGGGCCAGAAGTAGCCCCGAGCTATAAACACACAACGGGGCCCCCAAAGGAAGTATGCGAACACCGCCTATCTCTTTGGGCAATATCTCCATGAGTTCGGCAATTTAAGAAGTAAAAACCAGTGCGAAGAATCTTAGAACAACCATAGCGCCCATTTGATCTGCAGCGGCGGAAAACAGCTCTCTAGCAAGGTTTAATGTAGTAAGCGAGAACTGGAGATGTAATCAGGGCGTTTGACACTAAAGAGTTGCAAGTTACTTAGTACGTTGTTGGTGATGCTCTGGACAGCCAATGTGAGCAGGAATCTGTATGCTACTGTATCGATGATCTGTCAGTGAGACTGTAATCGCCTGTTGATCCACCTAGACAAGCCTCTGAGGTCCCAGCACGTCGAGGACAACCAGGTCGTGTACGTAAGGATCAGTGGGTGTTGGTTCCTTTCTTCAGGCTGAGGCTGCTTCTCGGGAGACTCGAGGGCTGTCAGTGATGATTAATTGGGGGTAATCATAGCATTGGGCTCGGCAGAAGCGCCTGCAGCGACTGCTACGGGCCGCACACTACTCGTTAGACAGAGAGGTGAAACGGATCATCGCCAACTATTGCCTGTTAGGTTTTATCTATGCATCCAGTGGAGGTTAGCAACGGTGCGGAGAGCCGAATGAGGTGAGTGAGGCTGGTTCTGTCCTCCACGCTTGCAAGACCGATGGGGAAATGATCCACAATGTGACCACAGCGATCACGTTCCTGTCACTGTCAGGCTGGGGTGCAGAACAATGAACATCAGATCGCATACCAATTAGTAAGGTAGGAAATGGGGCTGCTTTCGCTGACTCAGATTTCTTCGACGTCATAGTACCTTATTTTAATCCCAGAAATACTACGGTATGAGCTACGGGGCATCAGGCCGAATTTTTGTACTCCCACCTTATGAAAAGGCGAGTACTCGTAAACAACTTACTATGTAACTAGGAATGGACGCTCACGTAATGCCCAGATAGGACTAACTTAAGAGTCCGATCTGCATCTCACTAGTGTTTGACCACTTGTTAACATCAACTCAGGCAGATCAACAAGATAACTAGTAAGTACAGCAGCCTGTGTAGCAAGTCTGATACCAGGATGAGCAGAATGAGCAGAATTTGCAGATCTTGTAAAATTCGTCAGAACATGTGGTATAGTAGTAGAATACAGTAGCGACAGGGATGCTGCCAAGAATACGTATGTAAAGAGTGCGTTTTGTAAGACATTCTGACCTGGGGGAAGAGGAAAGAGGTACAAATATTCGGCCTCATACGGTAGTAGTTGTTGACAAGGTCCAATCAACATCTCACCGCCGCATTACTGAATCGCTCGGTCGCTTGGTCTTGGTTGCGGTTTCGGTTGGTGGCGCCTTGTGAAATCGGATTAATGAGGATCTGCACAATAAGTACAGTACTGAACTCTTCACGGATTGATGCCATTTTCGTTCCTATCCATCAGCCACAAGTGACAGCCCCCACAGCTCTACCTGTACTTCAGTACGTCAAAGGCTGTCGCACCAAAAAGTTCTATTACCAATCCAACTACATGACATGAAATGACGACCCTAGAAAGTAGCCTTACACTAAACATGAGTACGGTCAGTTGTGTTACACAACATCTTTAGCTGCTGAACAACTTAGCCATGGTTCTTGAACTCAATATCCAACCGGGACTCCGATCAACTTAGTGAACTCGTCACTTTTCAGGTGGCCCATCGGAAAAGGAAGGTCACTCTCAAAGGGCTGCGTCTCTCACATCACATTATCCTTTACCATTACTATTGTGCCAACAATTGCTTGGTTGGGAGTTGGTTGGGACTTCAACTGGGAACTAGATCGATATCATGGCGCTGGGCGGCATTATCGTAGCTGGGCTGCTAGTCGCCCTGTTGTTCTATCAAGCCATACATTCTCTCTACCTTGTCTATTTTCACCCTCTAGCTTCATACCCAGGTCCAGGCTTGGCCCGCTTCACAAACTACTGGTAACACTATCCATCATTCCTGTTTCATGTTGAGACATTGCAGCTGACGACAACACAGGCGGCTCAGGTCATTCTTAAAGGGCAATCAACATCTAGTGGATCTGGGACTTCATGCTCGATACGGCAAGTTCGTTCGGGATGGGCCTAATAGCTTGCTTGTATCAGACTTGGATGCTTTCAAGTCCATATATGGTTTCACGGGCAAGCTCAACAAGGGCGATTTCTACGCGGTAACGTCGAATGGAACACCAGAACACCCGAATCTCTTCGCAGCAAGAACAGAGGCACAGCATAGAGCAGTCAGGAAAAGACTTGCCCCGACAGCGGTATGTCTCTCCAAGCTCCTTGACAATTGTGAACATACTGAAATCATTGGCAAGTTTGCGCCAAAGCACCTCGCTCAGTATGAAGCTTCGGTGGCAGACAACGTGTTCACTTTTTCGGAAAGCCTGAAACAACTCGTCAAAGCTTATGGGCATATGCTGAACATAGCACCAATCTGTGAGAGGTTGGTCTTCGATGCTCGTGAGCATTCGCGTCGTCAGACACCCGTCAGGTAGTAAAAGCTAATTGCCCAGTGATTGAGGCCACTTATGGAAGTTCCATGAGTCTACTGCCAGAACAAGACCCAGCTGGTATTATCCAGTCCAAAAAGGTGTTGATCTCTTGTGCCACTTAGGATTCCATTAACATTCCGATCTGACAGAAAGGATTCCCGGTTACGTTCGGCATCAGCCATATTCCGTGGCTCTCTCGACTTGTCTCATTGCCTTCGATAAGTCCTTTCCTCCGAAGGCCCAAGTATGACAAGCATGGCAGCCCCAAAGGGTTATCTGCTGCCGGTGTGGTACGTCATGGCCAACGTCGTTGTTCTCCGGGTGGCAAAATTTGGGCTGACCCGACAATCGAGCGTTCCAGTGGACTCGCAAGATTATGGCTGATGCAGCGAATGGCGAGGCCCATTTGAATCCATGTATTTTGAAGAACCTGCTTGAAATAGCCCCGAGCGATAACCGCAGAATGAGATTGGAAGCCATCCGTTACGAGTGTTTCAGTAAGTCTCGAATTGGTCACAATTATTGCTGATTGCTGACTCAGTACCACTCGAGACGTCATTTTCGCTGGTACAGGTTCCACCGCAGCAGCCCTTATAGCAGTATTGTATGAGATCGGTCGTCATCCAGAATGGCAGTCCAGACTACGTTCGGACTTGGAGCGACTTCCACCTACAGAGTATCTCTCCACAGTTCACTTGTCCCAATCGGAAAGTCTGCAAGCAGTCATGAAGGAATCCTTAAGGCTTCATCCTCCATTCGTGGGTCCTTTTGAACGTGTTATCGTGCCCCAGCAGGAAGATACTGTTGCAAACGTGAAGCCTTTGCCAGCCGGCACACGAATCTGGTCCAGTTTGTTCGTGATGTGCCGATCAGAGCAGGTATTTGGGGACAAGATTAACGAATTCCGACCTGAACGTTGGATGGAGCGTGAGCCAGATATGCTCAAGGGCATGGATGACATGTTCTGCGTGTTTGGCAGAGGAAGCCGAAGATGCATAGGGCAAGATCTGGCATGGATGACCCTACAGAAAACTGTGGCCGCGGTAAGCAGAGTCTTTACCCCTCGGTGAGTAATGGGAGGGTAGGCTGACAAGACAATAGGTGGTGCGAACATGGGATTTGCAGTGTGGAGAGGAAGCCCTAAAAGGCAAAGCGCACCTTGAGATGGAGTACGACGAGTTACGGGTTACCCTCGCACCCATAGCATAGGGAGATTGGTTGAATCCTCAGTTTGAGCGGAGAGCGAGGACTGGTTGGCGACAAGTGGGTCTTCGACCTTGTGGAACAACCATTATCCTACCTTAGGCGCCGTTTTGCAAGCTGGGAAAGGGAACATTTCTCAGTCGGTCATCATTCTCTACAAATCACATGCGGTGTCAGAATTCATTGCAAATCCTAAATACAGCCAAAACCGAGCAATTACATCCCATACGTGCTGAACTATTGCTATCGTCGAATCAAGAATGACCTGACAGAGTCTCTCTGTTTCATGATGCCCTTTAAGAGAAGTAGGAGGATTTTCTCTATGCTGGACTGTTGGTTACAACTGCTTGATATGAGAGTTGGGCAGATCAACCTCGTCCGGTTAAATCTCGGCAGCGCAACTCAAGACCCGTTGTGGATCTGCTTCGAGAAGGAGGAGGCGAAATACGACTGAGCCCCAGGAGCGCTGAGAAGAATTGAGCCTAACCAGGCATCAAGCCTCTTACTGGCACACATGGTGCTGATACTGTACGTAGTAGCTTGACTCGACTTAGTTATGCACAGTGGATTTTCAAGAGTCCGAGGCTCCGGCCGCGCCATCCTTCGGCCCACGGAAATCCCATACATCCGAGAGCCGAGTCAACCAACGACACGGATCGCATTCAGCTTCGTGATCGCATCTTTTGCCTTTTTCGTATTGCTTGTGTCATCATATCTGCCAACAGGATCCCGAAGGATGTGGTACGCATGGAGCGAGTCCCTTTTAAGAGTCCCAATAGAATTAAGGCCGTCCTAGAGACTGATCAATCCCATGTACATGGGCTGACAGTAACTGTGCCCAAAGATGCCTCGGGAACTGGCTACCTTTCGTTCTCTGCTGCCTGATCTGAAAATAATCTTCCTATATCATTTTGCTCCTACATGATACCTGCCAAACTCATGGTGGGAATACTAGTAGTGCCTTCCGCCTTGAGCGGTTGTGTTGCACTTCCTAATCCCCTGACTCTGAGCTAATGTGAACCACGTTTCTTTCAGGCGGCACTGACTATCCTATATCCCCATTTTGGATAAAAGACATATTCCAGAAGACATCAGGCAGCATGCTATTGCATTCACTGGCCAACGTCTGCCTCTCTACTGGACAGATTGACAGCTCAGATCCACAGATACTCTCGTACAGCCTCTCGAATATGACGAGCGGCACCCTTTTCGAAGCACGTAGCTGGCCAATAGCTCTACCATCCCTCTTCCGGCGAGAACCAAGTCTACCGAATATCGCAGATAGCTCGGCGCCCGATTTTTCGAATGACAGCCATACCCCTAATATCAGCCCTCCCCCACTCGAGGTTCACCCAACCGTAGCATTGCAAGGTGGTTTGAGTGAAAGAAAAGCAACGCCAAGGACTAAATTCGTTCTTGCTCATCCTCCTCCTACGAAACGATCGAAGCAAAGACTGAACATCCGGCCACGCATGATATTTCAGCTTCAGCGTGTCTCGGACAGCTCACGAGCTTTGCCAGCCTTCGATGTTATCTCCTTAGCAGCCTGCAACTCTCGTTTCACCCGGAGCATTCCCAGAAAGATGACCGGGGAAAGGTGCCTAAGCATGGACGATTTGGTTCTACTTCGTAGCGAAATGTACGGTCACAATTCAATAGTAGAGGGTGATATAACGGACGAATCTGAAGATGAAATAACGAGGAGACATCCTGACTTGCTTGGAGCAATCGCGTATGCAAGAAAAGCGAAGAACGGTTCTACCAACCATGACGAGATATATCTAGAAAATGGCCTGGTTTGGGAGGCTATTTGCTTGAAGGTTGGGGTTTATGAATTCTCCGCGAAGAATCACGACAGCTACAAGCTACGATGGGTGTTGCGAAAAGCTAGAAGACCACATTCGAAGGAAAACACTTCCACAGAAAATGCCAACAAACCTTCTAGCTCTCGCTTCACGTTTAGTATCATAAATCCAAACACAAGAATACATCCAGTGATTGCGACCTTGACTGCAGATAACAAGCTCGATATACTCAATAGATTCCTGACCGCTGGAAGCCCAGCGATCCGATCAGCGCTGTCATCCAATTCACAGTCTCCGGTGCACTCGGACTTTTCGTCTGAAACGTCTTATTTCGACCGCCCAGCCAATAGGGAAGCATTGTACACAGAGACCGATGAGGCCCTGCAAATCCTAATTATTCTAACAGGTATATGGGTCATATCCAAGCAAGGATGGTCCGAGGGCTTGTCGAAGAGTCCGGACCTGATCGACAAATCACGACCAGAAAGTGGCGACAGGTCGCCTTCATCTGTGGTCTCGAGCACAGAGACTATTTTCAAGGGATCTTCACAACATGGAGTTGCCCCGTTCCGCTATCAGCGGTCTTCCACATCTCCCTCACCGCGGCGAGCAGGCAAGCAACCTGCTTTGTCTGACAGGGCCAACTCTATGGGAGCTTTGGGTGTCGGAACACCAACAGCCAGTATGCCTCCAACTGTCAACGGAGGCGTGTTGCTTCCATCTGCACATCATTCCTACCAGCCCAACGGTAAACGATGTAAACCCACGCTAGGTATGGACACTCATGGGCAGACGCCCGGTTTCGTATCGGGGGGCCTCGGTGATGCCACCGATGCGCAGAAGACTTTGTCGTCAATGGAGATCAATGCCACACTTCAGGATGGTGCTAAGGCACTGCCGTTAGTGGTAGATGAAAACGTGCTTGGATGTGGGTCGGAGGAAACGGAGGCACCATATCAGGCATATCAGGATGGAGAAAAGGATGAAGAGAAGGATGGACTGAAAAAGAGGCCGAACAAATTAGTAAGGTTTCGCGGTGCCTGTAGATCTCTTGTCGATCCCTGTATAAGATTCTTTTGACCGGGCCATTCATAGTAAATATCGCTTTCAGCGATCGCATTTTGATGGCCACATTTGTGGAAAGTTCTTCATTTGATCCTAGGATGAACTTGCCACAGAAACTACTAGTAGTACAGTGCTCCGTAGTCCTACTACTATTACAGTACGGAGTAAGTAGTAACTGAAGTAGTATGAGACAAGAAGACGCCAAGCCGCTGTAATGCCAAGACAACTTGACTGACGCGCCGTCCGTGGTTAGTACCAGGTTAAGGACGCGTCGTCCCTTTTCAATAAAAATTTTCGACTTGGAAGTGCACGGTCCAAAGAATCTCAGGGAAGATGTCTCGAAGATGAACCGGCCTTAATACATAAGCCACTAGGTCCCTGGTTACTCTCCCTTTCAGCTTCCAGCAAGTCAGGGTCAGATAACCCAGTAAAAACTCAATATCAAATTGCTGCATCAGTGTCCCACTCATGACCACATTATCTACCCAGAAACACGCCCTACCAGCGAATCATATTCATGGCACAGCAGCCTCCAGACCAAGACAATCAAGACTATACAAGCCTGACAGAAGCCATAATCCCTTCGAACATTTACTTGAATTCGTGGAGCTCGGCGGCTCTGCCAGTGACTCCAGGCATTCAAGACTTCGCATCTGGCTCTGATATAAATTTCTCAGCTTTTGGTAGCATGCTCCCTTTACAGAACGCTACAGAGACTGCAGTACTACCAACAGGCCTCACTACTTCCAATCACACTGCCTTTGATGCCAACGCAGGCCTTCAACTTGTCCCTGCCACGCACGACCATGATAGAGGAGTTGGTAATGCTTTGATTGATGGAGCTCATACTGACATGCTCTAGATGGAAATGATACGAGCGTCTGCGGACCTGCAACCCCAGTCAACTGCACCCTCGTCACACCTCGGGGTATTAGAAAGCAAAGCACGCGCTACTTTTACAAATGACCCACTTGCAAACTTGAAAATGCGGGCGAAGGAGAGTGTAATGGCGAAGCGCACTCGAAGCATTCGATCCGCTTCCAATGACAGCAAAGCGGAGCTCGCAGGTGTCGTCGAGCCAGACTTGACGCACAATGGGGAATTTAGCAATACCGTTCGGCCGGAGGAACTTGGTTCCAAAAGCCGTGGCCCTACTGTTACGAATCGCGCCCCGTCTCTGCCTCCCAGCGGCTCTTTGCTCATATCCCCGAGAGTCTCAGCAAAAGCAACCAGTGCCGAGCTTGAAGATCTCCTTGCCGAAGGGAGAGCTGCTGCATCATTATCGAAGACTACAATTGCAGAGAACCTTTTCACGACGGAACAGCATGGGCTGAATGGCCAACAGCATCAACCTAGGGAGCCAGAAACATCAGGTGTGCGCGAAAGTCGAGAGAATAGCGTACGCCATGATGAAACAGCTACTAACCTCCAAGCTACGCTGAAACCCGATCACTTTCCCCCGTACCAGATGGACGAAATCAATGCGTGGCTTGCTATGACAGGTTACTACGATAAACCTTATCGAAAGAAAGTACTGACCCGGCGCCGGCGTCTTCAGGCGATTGAGGAAGAAAGATTGAAGCTACTTGAGGAAGAAAAAGAGGATCAGCGACTTCGCGGTCCATTCTCCAGTATCACGTCTTTTCATGCACCCCAACGGTCCACCTCGCCCGTTGCCACGATGTCTCCATCAATGTTGACGGTAAAGCAGGACGTAGGTCTTCGAATCAAAGATTCCGCTCTCAAGAAAACTACCGCGCAGGAGCTGACCACTTCAAACGATGAGACACCCGTCAAGCGGCGCATCGAAGAAGACACGAAAGACAGCGAAGTGCTGCACCAATCGAAGGTGGCGAGGACCGAAGGGCGTCGCAGGACACCACCCCGCTCCCAGCGTGCTTCTCCTGAAAGACGACCTAAACGGTCTGCATCTCCAGAGGTTACCAAGAATCATTCAGCGACGTCACCACGCAAACAATCACCGCACTCCAAGGATGAATATGATCGTTGGCTGCCAGATAGAGAAGTGAATCTCCGTGGCCTAAAAGATCGAGCATTAGAGGAGAATGGTTGGCGGAATGAACTTCGTGGACGCCACGATCAACGCCGTGACTCAGGATTTGGCACATCGCATGCTTCGAAGCCAGATTTGCAGGACGGCAGGGTACGTTTCTTCTTGCTGAAAAGCTGGAACTATGAAAACATAGCGACTGCACAAAGGGAAGGCACCTGGGCAACGCAAACCAAAAATGAGGATACCTTTGTCGAAGCCTTCAAGACATGCCGTCATGTTATATTCTTCTTCTCTGCTAATCATAGCAAGGCATTTCAAGGATATGCCCGTATGCAAGGCCTGCCAGGTGAAAAAGGCGTGCCGCAACCATCGTGGGTTAAGAACCTGCATTGGCCTACAACAGCTCCCTTCAGGATCAAGTGGATAGTCAAAGAGGAGACACCATACCGGGCTGTGGGAAATCTAAAGAACCCGCTCAACGAAAATCTAGCTGTTTTCGTGGGCAGAGATGGCCAGGAAATTCCGGAGAAAATTGGGCTCCAAATGAGTGAAATCATTGATGATGACACTGCCTATCGAGCTGAGTTCAGGCGCTGAGTTCTCTGGAATGGCGCAGCGAGAAGCGTTGTATGCCTGTAGCTACCATAGCAAATGACCTTGAGCAGTAACCAGCCAATCATACAACGTGAGCCATCTTATTTGAAGAGCTACAACGTGAGCCATCTTATTTGAAGAGCTACAACTTAACATATGCAGGGCTCTATAAACTGTCTTTTGGTTGGCAGCGTGATTTGCTCCCATTCTTGCTACAAAGTTATTAATTGGTGCTCATTAATCCTAGTGGCTCTGTTGAAGAAGTCCATACTACTGGTTCCTATTGGGTTAGAATGGATCGCTGGTAGAGCCATTTCTCCCCTTCAGAAGAGGGCAGACTGTGAAGCAAGGGCCCAGACCGCACTCATGTCGAAGGCTCCCCTACCTGGCTCCCACTCCGTCTAGTATTACCGACCCTGACCCTGCTAGAGATCTTCGATATTCACAATAAGCATTGCAGATCGGTGTAACGTTGTTGAACCCCGCAAAATGAAGGAAGAACAGGAAAGCGCAGGCTAGAAATACCTGGTGGCAATGATGTGCTGCAGCATTTGCATGCAACGGAATGATACGGTACCGAGGCCTTGGTCGTGTGATCTTGGATTGTATGATAGCACGGTACCGCTCTGTATGCCTCTACAGGTCCTCGGTACCGTTTGTTGCTTGCTTTCATTGGCTTGTTCGCTCTATCTGGGTAGAGACACACTTTGCTGTGTAAGGAGTATCGAGGTTGAGTCACGACTGGAGCATTATTTATAAGCCCGCGTCCGTAGATCCGTGGAAAATGATTTTGATATCGCCAGGGCTGACAGACGTTATCCTAGCCGAAGGATCTCTTCTTCAAGGTTGTGTCAGCCATCTTCTAGACCTTGTCGGTGCGACCACCAAGACCCTTACATCGAGGGGGTTACTTAGCACTTCTGTGCCTGCATGAGGAAACGCTGTACGGCATGCGGTATTTTCCCCAGAGTAAGAAGATCCGCTTCTTCTTGCCCCTTCAATCACCACTACCGTCCACATGATCGGAGAGAGCACCGTCACGATGCAATGCCTCATCGCATCTTCCATGTGGTCGTCCTTGTCCCCAGGCCCGAAGGCCTTGTTGACCCCAACGGCTGATCCGATTGGAGAGAGATTGCAGGATCGCTTCGGTTCCAGACACGTTCTCCATTGCTTCGTAGCAGCATAAAGAAGCTGCGTTCTGCTCCGATCACTTACCACTTTGATCACGATAACAGCTTTCGAGTCCAGTCTGCAATTATGGGTTCACAAGGTGAGCCAATTCTCCACCATCTCCCCATTTGCTGGCTAACCACACCTCCTCCTCCGCAACCTTCTCTCAACCTTCTCGCAACCAACGATGTCTATCCATGCCTTGTCGTTCCTTCCTTCCTGACCTGCGCGAGTTTGTTGGCTTGATAACTGCAAAAGCTTACGTTAGACCAGGAGACAAGTACAATTTGGCGCTTTCCAAGAACAGAGAATGGGCCTCCAGGATTGCTTCCGAGAAGCCTGACCTTTGCGCAACTCTTGCCAAAGGCCAATCTCCCGAGATACTATGGCTTGGATGTTCCGATTCAAGATGCCCTGAGACCACTATTCTCGACATGGAGCCAGGTGACGTGTTCGTGCACCGGAACATCGCCAATATAGTCCATCCTACAGATTTGAGCATCAACGCCGTTATCGACTACGCCGTGGATCACCTCAAGGTCAAGCACGTGGTGCTCTGTGGACACACCAGCTGCGGTGGTGTTGCCGCCGCTCTGGGAAACACTAGGCTTGGGCTGATCGATAAGTGGCTTATGCCGCTAAGAACTTTGAGGAAGGACAATATCAAATTGCTGGAGTCGCTACCGGACAAGGAGGCAGCGCTTAAGCTCGTCGAGTTGAATGTCCAGAACGGTGTCAAGGCTCTAAAGGAGAACCACACCATCCTTGACGCTATCGGAGATAGAGGTCTTCAGGTTCATGGTGTCATCTACGATATTGCAAAAGGAGAGCTCCATGAGGTGGACATCGAGGAAGATGAGGAAACCTCTACAATCAGGCAGAAGGCCTTCAAGGTATCGGCTGCGACCAAGTAGACTCTGCAGTAAATCCGGAGAAGGCATGCGGGGCTTTGTTTGTGGTATATATGTGCAAAGGCCTTGATTTTTTGCCTGTGGAAGAGAATAGGACTAGGTGATGTTGGCTTCTCTTATAGCGGAAGATGATTGTCTGACTGATACATTCTTTCTTCGATTTTGAATACGCTGCTCTCCCTATCTGCAAACTATTGTCAAGCTCTTCTCTTGTCTTTCTGCTCCTGTCAAATGATGTGCGAGACGCAGTTTGGATGACTTCCTTATTCTCATTTTATCCACAATGATTTCGTTGCTCATTCTTCGTGAAAACTGGCACCATCCAGCACATCGTTTCAGTCAACATTTTCGATTTTTCATAGACTCAACTGCATACCTGTTCAGCTCCGGATATTCCACAACATCCTTCTCCAATTCCGTCCTGCTTACGTGCTATCATCTGAAAACAGCCATACTGACTGGCATATTGACGCCCAAGTCGAGAGCAAAGAGTCCGCCAGTCGTCCTGTTTGTTTTCGAGATCCGAATGTACTTCGCTGCCTATGCTGTGACGAGACATTCTTGGAGAATCTGTACCCCTGCAAGTACCAAAGTCCAGGGAACCATACGTGCAACGAGAATCGGACCATTGATGGATAGCCCTACGGCGTTCCCTTGATTACGATCTGCCAGTGTCCGCCATGAACCTTCATCAAGTGCTCCAGGATGGTCGGTCTGACATATATGTCGGAGCATTGGGCAGTATCAGTGTTTGTCGTGGTGGATGAGAGAGAGAAATGGTGAGAGGGTAATGTTCAGGTACATCCATGACATCTCGACAATCTACAGCACTCGGTACGCGGGAAGTCTCTCCTGAAGGCACATACTGATAGATTACAGTTTATACCAAGGCTATGTCTGCCTCGGCGCTGCTCTAAAGCAACCAGTATCAATTATCCTGCAACGATGTAATAATGCGTTAACGCTGCAGCATAACGATACGACCAAACGTCTGTAAGGCTTAGAACGCTGCGTCCTGAAGTTATTGCCCCAAGCAGCATGTGTACTGGCACAGTCTTAGCTTTTACAGGCGGACTCGGTCTGAGCGGGCGAAGAACTCGCCAACTTACCTTGCCCTCGGTCATTCACAATTCGTGACGGGATAATGCAACAATAGGGACCAATCAGCCTGCTCTGCTCATCTGATCCTCTCTTCTCTTCACTGACATCCTTCTCTTTCAGTCAATTATAATAGACCTCACTGTAAGTCAACCTTACCGTACTCCAACAAACTTTCTTGATACCACCATTGTGCTTTTCAGCTTACCTTTCTTCCACTCGCTTGACAAGATCAGCAGGTCTCAAAGCAATCAGTATGGATCAAGCTCCAGGGCTCTTCGATCGGTCTGTAAATACGACACCATCTCGTCGTCGTCGCTTGAACTTTGTTCCTCAACCTGAAGATCGGCTACCGACCACCACCACCACTCCCCAGCCTAACGACCGTACAACAGCTTCGGCTCGAGCCAGAAGATCGGCACCCATGGTCTTTGATCCCGAGATAGCTACTCCAAACTGGGAGATATATCGAGATCCATCAGCCGAGTCCCTCGAAGTAGTGGCTACTCAGCCGGACACGACGGAGCCCACGACAAGTGCTGCGATATTGGCACCCACCTCCGCATCCCCTCAAGCAGCACCCAATGGCCAACAAGCAACACATGATCATGATGCAGACACATCATCGACTAGCTCCGACCCCTCAACCCGCCCCCAACACCAGATCGGCCAAGCAGGCGACGAAGCATCCCGTCATACACTAGACCGTATGCTTCGGACCGTGAATGCGATTTTCGGTGAGGAGAGGAGACGTCAGCGTCGATTTCTACGCCGGCAACGACGACAAGCTCAAGATGGCAATGGCACTGATGCTCACGCTCAGTATGTGAGGCCAACCGATGCGGAGATGGTTGCGAGAATGCAGGCGAGATACGCAGAGTTGACTTTGCTGGATGAAGGGGACGGCAACCAGAGAAGTGTGCAAGAGCTTGAAGTAGAGCACGGATCTGAGCGGCAGCCAGAGCTGGAGCAAAATGTCAATCCCGGGCAGGTGGAAGAATCAAGCCAAGAGCAAGCATATGGACACGACCATGATCACAGACGAGAAGATGTAGCAGGCCAACCGCAAGGACAAGACTTTGGTATCGTACCTGAAGAAATGACGGGCAGAGAAGAAGTACCAATCCCACATCAAGATTATCACGACGTGCCAGTGGACACCCAACAGGTTATTCAGCCACCAGTTCAGCGTACCTCCGGACCTCACGTCAGAGCTCCTACAACTGCAGAACTAATCTCGGATTCGCCGCCAACACCAGGATCAGCCTATGTCCCACGAGCAGCGCCCACCCCTCGAACAGGATTGAGTTTCGCAGAGAGAGCGAGAGCGCGAGGAATGAATTTCGATATGGACGCCGACATAGCCATGGACACAGACGTAGAGCTGTACCCACAGGCGAGGAAGAGAGCCAGACGCATCGCACCAGATCCCGTAGACGACGACGAGGGAATGGATGTGAATATGCAGAACCTCGGCCTTGGCACCGTTGGCCAAGCCGAAATGCCCCCAGAAGATGATCTGAATACGCGTGTTGCCTTGCTATCAGAGAGAATGCAAGCTACGCGCGATATTGCGACCGCTACTGCTGCTACACTGGGTGATACTCTTGCTGCTGCTAACGCCCTCGCTGCTGACATCCCGGCTGATGTTTCGATGCAAGAGCCGATGATTCCTGATCCCCATCAGGCAGTAGATGCAGAGCCGACAGCTGACGAGTCTCCGCCGGCGGTGGACAAGGAAGCGCGGAAGCCCAAGCAGGAGGAGCGAAAGCAAGGGCGGCGGAAAATCAAAAAGCCCGTCAATCGTGAGGCTAGGGGTCTGCAGCGCATCTGAGTCTAAAGACCCGAACCGAGCGAGCGTTGTGGGGGGCTGCTCCAACCAAGTCGCCTGGATTGGGCAGATGGATTGGTCTTCTTCAGCTTGAGTTTGGGCGTCGGAGCTGGTGGGCACGTGTATATCGAACAACTGAACTACTGCTGCTGCTTGCTGGGTTTGTTTTATGCACCGCACCGCACCGGCACTGGAAGTCGCTGGCGAGAGCTGCTATCTTGCTCATCCTGGACAAGAATTCCCCACCACTTTTTTTCTTTCTTGCATGAGATTTTTTTTCTTCTTCTTCTGGATGGGGGTTGGTTGAGCTGTGCACCTTCCTGGTGGAGGTGAAGGTCGAGCTCGAGCTCGAGCTCGTGTTGATGACGGTCGATCGGCAGATCGTGACATGACCAGACGACGGGACGATGAGATGAGCAGACGACGAGACGAAGCTCAGCAGCATTTCTCTTTCTTTAAAGCCCTGGAGTTGGAGGACTACGAGTCACGAAGGCATGCTTACCATAACTTGCTTGCCAGCCATCCAGCGAGTCAGCGACATAGCTAACTATTCGCTAAATCAAGCCGTCCGAATGCAAGTCCTTTGCTGCTTCTCCCTGAATGTTCTTCATCCCTCCCTGCTTCCTCCCCATAGCACCGGTCCGCTTCCCCATCCGTGATGAAACATATATCATTATCCTAGGATCTTCAACCGAGTCAGATGAGAACACAACAATATCTTACCAAGTAGCATTGAACAGGAACACCGCATTGCAGAGATTATTGTGGGTCGCTGCGAGCTTGATAAGAATCCTACCTTCTCCCTCCTCCGTCTTCTTCTTCTTCTTCTTCTTCCTCCTCCTCCTCCTCCTCCTCCTCCGCTTAGCCGTTTGGCGTGTACAAGTTTTCCGCGATGCTGCACACCTGATACAATATCATTCAGATTTTGTAAGGATGCATACGGTGAAGAAGGCTCATCTCGTCTCACATCCATACCCAAAAATAGTTCTTTGCTTCTATTTCTATGTTTTCCTCTCCAAGACAACAGGGCAGGTTCTGCCCTTTCCATCAGATGAACCCCTTCAGGATCCCTTCTAGGGAAGGTGGGGGAAGATTTCATCTCTCCTGCGCGGCCGCAGGTATTCTTCCTGCAGTTAGGGGTTTGTGAGCATCAGTACCCTCGTAGGAGGGTTTGATGTGCGATGGGGCTTTGGGCGGAGATATGAATGCCTCGTTTTTTGTTTCCTGCAGTGGTGGATGGATGGGGGGCTTGGCATGAATGCCTTAGGAGGGAGGAGAGGGAAGGAAGAAGGGGATTTCTGGATATCGGTGACGGCCTCTATTGGGATTGTTTGGTGGTGCCCGAAATGTCTGGGTATTGGGCTCTCTTTCGACTGCGAGGAGGTCGAGAATGAGGGAGAGGTTAACTAGATCAGATCATGGATCGATCGCGTGGCTATTCAGTAAGCTCGCCTGCAATCACGAGTCAAATCTGCACTTAAGTGCTAGAGACTCGGTTCAGTCATGCACCCAAGCTCCGCGGTGGATTTAGAGCTCTGTTACAGGGCTGGTTGATGATCGAGGCGAAGAAGACGTAAGGAAACATGCGGTGTGCTTACTCACAGCTCTGATACGTTTCAGCTGTCGTCATTTCTACTCTGATTATTTCTGTATACAGCAAGCAGTCATGGTGATGTAGGATACCATGCGCGAGCTCTGGCCCTTGCCGCCTCGAGAGTCAATATCACAGCCTTTGTAGCTATGCTCCGGATCAGCAAAGAATGCAGGATAGCCAGCATGGGCCCGTAAGGCGCCAAGGTCATCTTCAGCGGATGCATCAGCATAGAGCACGAGGCTACTTGTGTCAGACGTTCAGGCCAAGGCGAACGCCATTTTCGTACCTTCATCGGATAACTACAGTGTGATTTGTAGTCGAGGGACGACTGGATTGGAGCCCGAAGAGTGGCAACGTGAGGCGGTGAAGCAGGATCCGCAATTACATACCCTTCACTGGTCGGCATCGCAGACTCGAGGAATCCAGCAACACCACAGTCAGACGAAAGAAGATCTAACGCCGTCGTCAATCTAGTTGGAGGCGGAGGTCTCACCGCAGGCCTAAGCACGCGTTGTTTGGACGAATCCACACGAAGTGTCCGCGCGGGGCATAGCCTTAAGAAGCTGAAGACCGTCGAAAGGGACTGAGGCTGGTGTATGTGCTCTGGCTGTGAATTTCCTTACTACTGGTGAAGGGCTCCGTACGACTGTTGACTTTAACAAGGGCTGCAATGCGGCTAGTGTTGGAGCGGAAAGGGGGTTGATTGAGCCGAGTGGGCTGTAGGGTTAATGAATTATATGTTTGACGAGTATTTTGGAAGATTTGTTGAAACAAACTGAAGAGGGAAATGGCATTGTGAAATCATCCTTGTTGGAGACAGTACGACTATAGGCGATAGGTACCTTGTTCGGTTGATGTTGAAGAGCCCTTGTTGTTATGATGATGATATGATGTGCCAGATACAGGCTAATATATGGTCGTTTTGAGGCAACGGGTCTCTTTGTCCATCAGTAGGACACCAAATAAGTTCTGAGCTTCCGAAATACTGCTCCTGTCCATGGAGTAGATAGCGAACACCATGGAAATCGTCATCGATATTCGGACCTGAACAGGGGGACGTCAATACCAATGAAAGCGACGTCCATGTCTTTCTACAAGAGAAAATGGCACCTCTTATAGATTCTTCATTCTTCCTGACTACATGTATGAAGGTTTCTGTTGTCGGTCTCAACATTCCCAACTCAGCGGATGAGAAGGGCTCAAGCACATCCAAGGCGCCTCCGTCCAAAGGGGGTTTCGTCGCCTATTATAATTGATAGACTTCCTGGTTCTGTATGAGACGAATGACTGACACAGACACAGAGAGAGAGAGAAGGGGGGGGGGGCAATATTGATTATACCCAGAAAGGCGGCAGATCAGTGAAAAAGGACTTTACATGATCTCGAGAACGTGATGAATTTACGCCCACAGGAACAGAGGTTCGTCCTTCACAAAAATAGGCTAATCAAATCCCAGAGGAGTGAATCCGCGAGGTAAGTGTTTATTGGCTAAGCAACACCTATAAGCCTCTGACCCTCTCTCTCTCTCTCTCTCTATCCTGCACTCCAGACATGTCGATACTGCAGTGCAAGCACGAATCTATCAGGCTATGGTTTGAAATATGGAAACTAGATTGGACCACGAAACTCTATTCTTTGTAGAGCTCGTGGGGAAAGGGTGGTGGAAGTACACCTACGACTGGACAAAGATCTCTCTGCTGCCCTGATTCTTGATTTCGAGTTGCAAGCTCAGATCTGTAAGTCTACTATCTACACTGCCTTCAGGAAGGCACAATACCACAGGCAGGTTATGGAAGTCCGTAGAGTTAGGATTAACAGTGAACTGATTTGAATTGAACTGTCTTGAAGCACACAATTCTGTTCCTGCTGCAATCACGATGAGACGATTGCCAATTCCTGCAGAGCTCTCAAGGAGGCCTCATTCTGTTCAAAGGAACCGGACTGAAACTGCTCTACCATTAGAAGTCTTCATGCTCCTACAACTTCTCCACCATCGATATCTCCATGCTGTGGCTCCCAAGCGGCTTCTGTTTCTCCGTAGCAGTCATGAGCCGAGCCAACTGAGTTCTCTCATGCTGTCCTAAGAAGTCGCACTTGTCATTTTCCACGATCACCCTAGCTACACCACGAAATCCCGCAAGGATAGCCACAAGATCAAACCGACCTTTCGTCATCTTAACTTTGTCGTCGTCACTCAGATTTTTGCGAGGAAGGAGGTCATTCCAAGAATAGAAGCGGATGATACACTTCCATAGTTGGTGGTTAGATTTCAGGAGCTCGAACACTTTGCACCATCGTTGCTCTTCGCAAATGTCGGATTTTTTTCGATACTCCGTTGATAAGAAGAAACCACTGCTGAGGTTGAAGATCGCGTGGTGGACTTGACGCATGTTGGCCGTACCAATCTTCTCGAAGAACCAGAGGCAGCTTCTGGCGTCGTTGAAGAGGAAGTAGTGACTGCACCAGAAATATGGCGAGCCAAGAGTCCTCAAGTCTTTGTTGACTCCAAGAAGGGCGAGGTTGACGTTTGGTCTTTCTCGATGCCAGATGGCAGGAACAGGATATCTGCTCATTACATCCAGTTCTTTGAGAGTGAAGACTGGGTCGTCTGGTCTGTACCCGTGGCAATAGAAAGGACAGATGACTTCTGAGTCTTGGACAAGATGCATCTTCAATACTATGGCCTGAACCTCGGTCGAAAGAAGAAGGAAAAAGAAGAACTCTGTTAGTTTTTCCGAACTTCCCTTCTTACCCGTCTTAGCCTCCTTAGCCACCTTAGCCCGTACCTCTGCCAATGCTTTTGGGTCGACCACCGGATACTTTGCCTTATCTTCGGCTGGAGGGGTTGATTCTGGAGCGGGCGCCAGCTTCAACTCTTTCTTGAATGTATTGTAAAACGTCTGTACATCCTCCTCATTGCGAAGGTTCTGCCTAGAGATGACCGTGTGTTAGAAATGACGGGTATCAAGGTTCCGGGATCCCTACAGATATTTGCGGAGTGCTTCATCTGGGTTCTCATTCAATCCTAGTATGGCCTTGAGCGAAGCGATCTCGTGATCATCCGTAGAGTCATTCTCATCGCAGCCTCGATTGACCCTTTTCGGTGGTGGTGCTTCGGTGAGCGTTTCGGCGGTAGGGCTGAACAATCTCTTTCTGTTATTGCTTCTTCCCTTGTCTCGAACCGGGCCTGTTGCTTCTTGCGCTTCGTCCATCGTGATGAAGGTAAGTTAATTGTGGTACGAATATCGGGAGTCGTAGAAAAGTTATTTGGGGATGGTGTGAATCAAAAACCCCTGAACTGTGCAGCTGTGAAGGTCATAAGGGAAAATCAGCTAATTAGCGCGGCTGTGTTGTTACCTTTGTAGGTAAATTCCCGGCTTTCACAAGCCCTCAACTCCCACCGCGAATAGTAACCAAGCCAGCTAATCTAAACTTCCAATAGGGCTCGTGATAATCACCTTCACAAGCCTTTGAACGTCTGCAACTTGAGTGGAATTGCTCCTCTTGATGAGCTGTGAGCGCGAGGCGTGTCAATTTGGCCCAGAACAATGGTCAGGCTCGATGGGTTCTGAAAGCACGAGCTACACTTCCCCCTCGATGAAGATCTTCCTTGATCTTCTCGTCTGCGGCAACCAGCTTTGGGACCATCGAAATGACTTTGTCCAAGAGATTCCGAGGTATGGCAACTACTCCTTCGAGTGGATCACAAAAGATAATATCTCCCTATCGAAAGGGTCAATGACGTTGAATACGCTGTACACGGTCGCGGCACACACTGGTGATATCTTGACACCACCGATTGTCACGTCAATGTTCCGAGCAAAGACTTTTGATTCCGCTCCAGCACCCACTGTTGACTTGCCGCAAGCCCAGACCTAAACACAACGAGAGCAGTTTTAGCTTCTGATCGTTGTAAGACAAAGAGGAGTTGAAATGCTGTCTAGAAAAACCTTGACAGGAGGACTCGACACCACTGAAGCCTTTCTCGCCTGTTGGGTGATGCCGATGCATATCCCTCTTGGCTCCCTCAGATAGAGCGGATAGAGCGGCGAACAGAACGAAATATCGAGCATATCAAACAGAAAGAAACAGACAGGGTAGAGAGCATTGCACAGGCAGACCTGGCTAGGCATGCTGGGCGCATGTCCAACCAATACCGGTGCAGATGCTTTCGGTTTCCATATTCTGTTGATGGTTCCTGGAGCACTCACCGGAAGGCCACAGTTATTCAACTCCTCCAAGTCTCTAACCCTGCCCCCAACCACACAACCCATTGCACCCCTGGTCTTCATACGTAAGGCCATGATGCCTCCAATGGCGGCGCACGATTGTCCCTCAGGCTGCTCAATCACCATCACAGTGCCCTCGTCAGTAAGATCGACCCAATGCTGTCCCTTGGGGATGGCGTTAGGACCTGATTCTGGCAGTGGGCTTGTGATGGAGTTTCTGGCGACAAGCTTAAGTGTAGAAGCGGGTCCGATGACTTTAGGGCGTCCCTTACAGGAGCCCAAATGCTGTGGGAAGGGTGCATATGGTACTGATCCAGCAATCAACGTTCTGCGAGAAGAGGCGGTTGAGGACAAGCTCACCTATGTCAGCCAGATACCCTGCATGAAGTATCTCTCCAGAGTCTGGTTGTTGCAACTTGAGCAGGGCATCAGAGACCTGAAAGCCTCGGAACGTCAATTCGCGGCTCTATGGCCTGACGAACAATGCTCGAACTCACATCACAGGCAGAGTACGAGCTTAGGACGCTGAAGTGATTCGCACCTCGCGGCGAAGAAGGCTCCATACGGTCCACTTCTGCTCAGCTGAGCCTTGAAAGTATGTCCTTGGAGTTCTGCAAAATGGTTTTCAGGAAGACTTAAGCGGCATCAAAGCAGATGGTGACGAATGAGGCAGCACACAAAGAAATGCAGGTCCGTCCACGCATATGAACCTCTTCATGCTCGGATAACCATCACCAAGACACCTTCCTTATGTATGAACGCTTCTTGCTAAGGCGGTGGGGAAATGGAATCACAAGAGATTTCTCAGTGTCTCAGCATGAAGATAGCGATAGCTGGGCCAAATGTTTATTGACCTGCTGCCACGATAGCCGCAGATAAGCGATAAGCGCACGGATGTCTCGGATGTTGGATGTGGGTTGGCCAAGGCACGCTAATGAAGTCCTAACGAATGTCCTAACGGCATTGGGATGGATGGTGGATGGTGGATGGTGGATGGTGGATGGTGGATGGTGGATGGTGGATGGTGGATGGTGGATGGTGGATGGTGGATGGTGGATGGTGGATGGTGGATGGTGGATGGTGGATGGTGGATGGTGGATGGTGGATGGTGGATGGTGGATGGTGGATGGTGGATGGTGGATGGTGGATGGTGGATGGTGGATGGTGGATGGTGGATGGTGGATGGTGGATGGTGGATGGTGGATGGTGGATGGTGGATGGTGGATGGTGGATGGTGGATGGTGGATGGTGGATGGTGGATGGTGGATGGTGGATGGTGGATGGTGGATGGTGGATGGTGGATGGTGGATGGTGGATGGTGGATGGTGGATGATGCATAAGGCATCGGAAGACTTTTACAACTACTACCCTGCTGTCGCCTCCATGTTGCTCTCCAGCTCCATATCTGCGCTGTATGTGGTCACTAGTCTGTGGCTTCTGTGATCCCAGGAGGTGCCCTGTTGTTGCCCTTACGGGAAAGTTCAATCGACTACAGCCAAAACGATGTCTACATTGTCACAGCGTCCGACATACACAAGATCGCAGCTATCACAATGGTTGAGCCTGATCAACCAGACACAACCATCATTATCACTAGAGCATCTTGAAGAACTCATCAAGCAGGATCCGCTTGAGACATTGCATATGATTCAATTATGGCAGCTAGCTACTGTGCCGTTCGGTAATCTTGTATTACATTACTCACAACACCGTACCGTCTCGCTGGACTCTGAGACTCTGTTCCACAAGATCGTGAATAGAAGAATGGGAGGGTATTGTATGGAGAACAATACCTTCATGGCAACAGTGTTGCGATCGCTGGGATATGTTCTATACACGGCAGGTGCCAGAGTCGGAAATGTTCTTGATGACGGGTATAAAGGCCCTCAGGGCTACGGTGGCTGGAACCATATGCTCAACGTGGTCACTGTCCATGACCAAAAGTATCTGGTTGATGTGGGCTTTGGCTCATCAGGAGCTGTTAAGCCTATTCATCTCAAAGATGGTGAAATAGTGCAAAGTGTCCCGCCAGCTAGACAAAGGTTGGTGTACGCGCATTGCGCAATTGACGAATGCTAGCCAGGAAATGTGGGTTTTTGAGGTCCAGAATAGCCCAAAGAGCTCATGGATACCGCAATATTGCTTTCCCGAAGTTGAGTTTCTACCAGAAGACTTTAGAGTCATGAATTATTTCACGAGCCAAAGCCGAACTAGTTGGTTCACACAACGGCTCGTAATGACAAAACTGATACTGGACAACGAGCGGAAGAAACCTGTTGGCAATTTGATATTGTCGGGCAATGAGCTGAAGCACAGACTTCACGGACACTCAGAGATGCTGGTGATTTGCGAGACGGAGGCTGAGCGGGTCAGCATGTTGGAGAAGTATTTCGATGTGAAGCTCGAACCTGAAGAGATCAGAGGAGTACAAGGGTTGTCTTCTGAAATAAAATGACCAGGGGACGGCTTATGATACTGCTGAGGCCTACCACCTTTCGTAATAGGATCGAACATTGCAAAGTAAATTTGGTCTTGCGAATAGAAGTTGATACGCCTCATACTGACCAAGGAGATATGTACACTTGAAAAAGAGTTCTGCAGAGGTTCAAATGATCCTTTTCTCCATCTATAAAGCTTTAGTGACGGTCGACTTCTCAACAGGGATCTGCATACCCTCCAAGGATTGTTGACTTCAAAACCAACAGGAGCTACAGGATTGTCTGTCTGCTCTCGCCATATGCCTGTAAGTCTGAAATCTCTATCCATCACTACCGGTCTTATTATCAGTGGATGAGCCCAAGGTGAATGGTTGGAGGTTGGCTGACTCTGTCGGTCCCAAGCATCAAGAGTTCGCCTTGGGGCTTTCTTGTTGTTGGAGTAGTATCGTACCGTCGACAGGCCAGCTCCAGTGACGCCGAACATCTACACAATAGCTTGTCAGCAGAGCTCATCGCACCAAAACCCACTTGTGGTGACAAACAGCTAGCATGATCCCGTACGGGAGGAGTGCCTCAAACGGTACACCCATCTTGGGTATTGCCCGTTGTCAGAAGAAAGAGAGTATGTTCAGGGGATAGATTTGGTGAAGCAGCTCGCTGGAGACACCACTGAGTGGTGAATTCTGTTTTGTGGATGGTTGTGTTCAGCAATTGATATCCCGCAGGCGGAGAGTCGGCACCGCTAAGCCCTTTCGGGAATCAACTTTCTGACCTCTGTGACAGGTAGACAGGTAAATACACTTTTGATGTGGACGCGCCCTTTGCCAAAGATTCTATTGGAGCAGATTATATCAATACCTCCATGCGCTGCTCTTCATCTCAGGAAACTCTAACCCTTCGTGCATCCGTACACTATCTCAATCACCACCTGCAATGCGCTCTCCTTCCTGTGCCCTTCGTATAGCCTTATTAACTGAGGTCTAACTCTTGCCCTTGACCCAGTGCTGCTTGTATCCCGTTACCAGCTGCCGAATAACTCAAGACAGTACACGGTCGCCTCTGCTAATGGTGCTGAGGGTTGTAGGGTTTCTGATGTATCCCTTGAGCCAGGCAACTGTGGGCTGTCACAAGCCTTCTTGAACCGCACTCTGTTACTGGCCGACCAACACATACAACTCCTGCCGAGATACCGCCGGTTCTGAAGCATGGCCGCCTTCATGACCATCGAAGAATACCACGAGGAGCAGATACGCGAGGATCACCAGGAAAGTGACAAGGAGGAAGACGATGCCATTAGCGAGGATAGCACGGATGACCAAGAGGATAACATTCCATTTGTCGAAGCAAATCCTCCTGAGGTCGAGGCTGATGGGCTGTCAGATGTAGAGGCTACAAGTACTCGCTTTGACGATGACAGCAATGGTGAATCTGGCGAGAGTGAGACAGAAGCAGTTGGAGCAGTCAAGGTCAATCCCAATGCTGCGGCAGCTAGCACGAACGGGGTCTCAGAGGACGAGCAAAAATTGAACGATGAGAGCGATTCAGAAGAAGACATTGAGATAAGAGTCAGAAGCTCCGAAGCATCAGGGACAGATTCTGAAAGTAGCGAATCGGAGATGGAAGAATTTCAAGCTTCTGGAAGCAACGAAGACGAAGACGGAAGACCTGCAGACAGTCAGAACAACTGCATCTTCTGTGAACAAGGCGAGGAAGATGACCCTAGCGAAGATTTTGAGCCATACCTTTCATGTCTTGTCTGCGGAGAGCATTCGCACTATCAGTGTGCACGAGAAAATAATGCGCTTGGACAAGAAAGGGACAATGAAGGGTGGCTGTGTCCTTCTTGCGCTGAGATAGAGCAAACACCGGAGTCTCCAGAAGAGAAGTTTTCTCGACCTCGAAGCTCTGCCCCACGCCTTGTTCGTGATCTACTACCTGTTACACGAGGTGTACAGAAGAGAGACTCACATTCAATATTCGCCCAACCTCTGATTTCAGAAGGAGAAGACATGGATGGATTCCGCAAACTACGTAAGAGAAAGTCCCCGACCAACGAACTTCCAGGTAGCGCAGAGAAGAAACGACGAAAAGCTACGCCCCGTCCTCTTTCGGAGGCTGTCTCGAATAAACAAGAAGATGACGATGAGATGGATGAGCTCACCACGTCGCCATTGAAAGGGCCGTCTGGGTCGACTCGGCGTGCCAGTCAGAAGAACGTACCACCTATCAGAGTCATTCAGCACCGGCCTCTGAACAAACCACCGGCCAAGTTCATCCTGGCCTTCCACCTCGAGCCATCCAAATTAGCAAGAATATTTGGTAGAAAAGCGAAGCCGAAACGAGTCCGCGATCGGAAGAGACCACCACGAATCCAGCCTCCACCCTCTTCAGCCTTTCAATCTCCCCCACACAAGTTTCCCGCCTTGCCTACCAATAACCTTATCTTTCCCTCCATCCTTCACGAACGCGACCACGAAGTCAATTCTAAACCATACGGGGGCATTCTCAGTGAAGCCGAAGCGGATACTTCTCGAACTCTTCCGAGCTTGAGAGATCGTGAGATTTTCGAAGCTGCCAGAAAAGAAGCAGAAGAGGAACGGAGAAAGGCCTCCTTAGCCGCAGAAACCGACACCACAAACCCTGAATTTGCAAACAACCCACCAACCACCGCTCGTTCCACTCGCACAGTCTCCGGCCCACCGAGTAAGATCAAATGCATCCAGTTTGGCCGCTTCATCATCGATACCTTCTATGCAGCTCCCTACCCTGAAGAATACTCTCACGAATCCCGCCTCTTCATCTGCGAATTCTGCCTTAAATACCTCCCCTCTGAACCAGTCGCCTACCGCCATAAACTCAAATGCCCAGCCAAACACCCGCCAGGAGACGAGATTTACCGCGACGGTAGCATCTCCATTTGGGAAGTTGACGGTCGCAAGAAGACAGAGTATTGCCAATGCCTCTGCCTAATGGCAAAGATGTTCCTTGGTTCCAAGACTCTCTACTACGATGTCGAGCCCTTCCTCTTCTACATTCTGACCGAATACGATGATCTAGGCTACCATTTTGTCGGCTATTTCAGCAAAGAAAAGCGACCCCAATCCCTCAACAACGTCTCCTGCATCCTCGTGATGCCCATCCACCAACGAAAAGGCTACGCTACCTTCCTGATTGACTTCTCTTACCTCCTCACGCGCATCGAGGGCAAAGAGGGCTCCCCGGAAAAGCCGCTCTCAGACATGGGCTTGACGGCATACCGATCGTATTGGGACCTCACCATCTCACATCACCTTCTCGATCTGGCCTCCGGATCTAAATCTACACCCTCCTTCTCAGCACGCACCCTTATGTCTAGAACCGGCATGACAGCCGACGATGTAATCCACAGCCTCGAACGCCTCTATGCATTTGTCCGTGACCCCGTCACGAAAACCTATGCGATCCGTTTCGACAGAAAATTGTACGAGCAGATTATCAGCGAGAATGAGGCCAAAGGGTACAGGAAATTGAGGCCGGAGAAACTGGTCTGGACGCCGTATGTGATGGGGAGGAGTGATCACGCGGCTCTGGATGGGAAGCACATGCATACTATGGCGCCAAGAGAGGGGAGTGCTGAGGCAGAGGAAGGGGAAGCAAGGGCAGATACGAATGGAGATGAACAAGCCGATGAGGTGAATGACACAAGGAATGAGCAGGAGCAGGACGACGATGCTGAACCGGACGCCACGAAGTCATCCAGAAAGCTTAAGGGCAAAGGCAAGAATAAAGGTAAAGGTAGATTCACATCTCAAAGTCAGTCTGCAGGATTGTTCGAAAACCCTAGTACAAACGGTGCACCGATCAATGAACTCGGCCACCCGGCGCCCGCTCCACCATCCACCTCAATGCTCTCAGCAACCGTTTCAACAGAGATCACACAGGCGAACACCAACCGCATCAACGGCACTACCGAACCAGTTCCCGCCGAAACCCGCAACGGCCCGCATTCTGACGCTCCCTCTTCATCATCAACAGTACCCACAACCACAAAACCGGCCTCCGAAAGATCAACCGAAGAGGTCTTGACAGGCTACGCCCTCGCCTATCGCACCCACAAAATTCCCCCCTCCCGCTTCGAGATCGACCCACCCATCCCTTCTGCTATGCTTGCTTTTGCCCGTGGCCGCAGCAAGAAGAGAGCGTTCGGCTCCGCTTTTGGTAGCAGCGCTAGCGCAAGGAGGCAGTCAAACACTGCTACTATGAATGGGAGTGGTGCTGCAGGTGGCACTGGCGCCGATGGGGTGAGCACGCCCAGCGTGGGTATGATGAATCCTCCTGCTAGTGCGCGTGTGAGGAGTTCGCCGAGACATGCTCAGCAGGTGAATGGGAATGGAAACACGAATGGCATTGGGATTGAAGGGAGAGTCGGTCAAGTGACGCCTTTGGGTCGGTTGTCTAGGATCAGGTCGCATGGAACCCCCATTCGAAGGAGTGCTCGAGCTAGAGATAGAGATGGAAAGACGGCGATTGATTTGACATTGGACGGTGCAGAGAAGAAAGAAGATGACGTGGAAAAGGACGATGAGGATAGTGAGAGTGGCAGTGGGAGCGAAAGTGGGAGTGGCAGTGGAAGTGAGACAAGTGATGTGGTCGAGGAGAATGTAGACGTTGAAGCAAGTGAAGGGGGCGAGGACGATCAAGACGCGGAGAGTGAGGACGCAGAGGGCAGTGGTGTGGATGACTGATCTGATCAATTTCCTGTTACACGGTTCCGGATATGGAGCTGATGAGAGCGCCATGAGTTGCGGAATACTAGCGTGCTCGTGTTTGTTGACCAAGGCCAGACTTGAGACTTGGAACTTGCGCCATGGTTCGTAGAAAGGGACGGATCGGGGCGTTGGGATCGAGGAACCAGGAGCAGATCGGAACCAAGGGGCAATCCGAGATATCCAGGTTAGACAAAGCCTGGGCTAGTCATGGATCACCAAGATACCCATTTTGTTGAGATAGAAATTTCATTGCAAACGTGGCGCGTACTTGCGCCTGCGGGACCCCACGACTGCGAATTAGCTGTGGCCTCTGCATGCGAGTCAGCTGGCAGATGAGCGCCACCACATGTGCATTCCAGAAATCCATGTGGGCACAAGGATTGATTCACGTGGCAAACAGTTGCGTTCGGCGGTTCCGGAATGGGCCCACCTCCCGTCTTGCTCTATAGTACATCGCCGGCGAGAGGGTTGATTGGCATTGAAATATGCGGCAGAGAATCGGCATGGCTTCTAACCGGGGACATCAGAGCAAACGCCCTTGTCTCGCGATACGAACCAAGTACCGCCTAAAGCTGCACTTGATGAGTGCCTGGCCCATTCATTGTACACCCCTCGAGAATACAATCGTGCAGTCTGAGAAATCAATGTTGCATTGCAAAAGCCCTTCAACGTTACATCCAAGTAATATCCACTTCAGCCATCATCAGCTTCATGGCTGTCACTATTTGGGTTCTTTTCCATCAGGCTCATCTGGGCGAGGCCTGTTTCTATTCTTTGAGTCGCTAACTTGTGGTGTGAAGAGTGTAGACAGCTTTCTGCTAGTGGTGACTGTCCATCGTCTAACCAAAGTCCGTTGCTGTCAGACCTCAAAGCATTTTTTTTTTGAGGAGTTTGTATAACATGACAAATACCAAGTCTCATGGCGTCTGGTGTCATTGATTAGGATCAGCATTGTTGCAAAAATTCGACAGCATGTAGTGGAGGTGTGAGCCTCGGCCGCAGTTGGTGTGGACGCATAGTATCGCTGTGCCGGGCCTGCTCCTATAGAAGTAGTTGATTCTTGGTCCTTGGTGTAGTTCAGTGATATATGAAGAAAGTGGCGTCGCCGCTTGTATTGACAGGACCGAGATCAATGCGCTTGTTTTAGGTTGCCTATGTTCAACAGTTAGCTATTGGACACGACGTGCAGTAGACGGCCTCGCGGACGAGTTTCATGCACCATCAATCTCGGAGCTTGACAGACACGTATGATGTTGTAGGGTGATGAAAGCATGGAATACCGTCGATAAAAAGGTCTAGACGCCAGGGAAGGGGCGATAAGCTTGGCGAGAACGAGGCGGCAACCCCAGAACAAGCAACCATCGGTCTCCAAGTGACCGTTTCAAGATCGCGTGGTACGGGGTGATCAGAAATGGAATAACCACGGCGGAAGCATGCAGGAAAGCCGCGTGGAAGCCCAGTTGAGGGTGGGGGGAGCTCCAAGCGAGCTGACGCTTTCCTCTCAAAAGGCATATGCAGGGTACAGCCATGTGGATGTTAGTGCTAAATGTAGATGGGGAAAAAGTGTGGTCAGTGACAGCTTCGGCTAGCAAATGTGACACGTCCAACATTGGACATCCCGCACGGATGACAGAAGCGTGGCAACAAGGGTTTTGATGTTCGATCCGGAGCGGGACAGCCACGAAATCTCTGAGCCGGCTGGAATTGGCTGAAAAGGAAATCAGAGTACGGGAAGCGTACATGCGTTTGCGGCTCGAAGAGAGCCGAGGCTCGACTGTAACCCGTGGAATGCTATATGCAGCCCAATTCCCAGACAGAAGTCACAGCGAGGCGGTGCTTGTGGCAGCAAAAGATTTTTCTCGCGTCCATAGAACCGAGCCACACATACTACGTAAGCCCAGGTGAGTTTGCTTGATGAGATATGGCGAGCAAGCACAATCAGCACATAGAGTCCAGGATTTCGAGAATAGATTATATGCCTCACAGCGGCATTCGAGCCGTCCCAGTGTGAGCCAAACAAAGTCATCTCAACAAGGTTCGAATCAGGGAATTCAGATGCTTTCGGACGAGAGAAGACGTCTGACGGCCACAGAACAACCGGCACCAGTCGTAAGCAATCCCAACCATTTCCAGGGTGCGTTTTGCCTGTCGGGAGTGACTGGAAACAAGATTGGAGCAGATGCAAGCGCACTCGAGTGGCGTGCATGATGGCTTGGGATGCTAGATGGGCCCCTGCACACCTGGCACACCTGGCTGGCTTGAAGCAAACAGAGAAGCATAATTAGCCTATTCTCTGCGGCCATTCTCGTCTCTTTCCTGCTTTGGTCCAGCTCATGTTCCCAGAACGGGCCAGTCGACCACCACCATGGCCAAATCGAGACAGCTCTCTGCGTTGTATGACTTTGCTCAAACTTAAGACACGAGACCGGTAGAAGATGTGGTGTCTGTAGTTGTGTGTAGCAGCCTCGTGCCCCCTGCAGACTTCAAGTTGCCAGCAGCCATTCCAGCTCGACTAACACCACCTGCAAGTCAAGGGTAGGGTCATGAACAATTGCGGACGTGGAGGGTCCTCCGGTCCCTGCCTTCAAGACGCCATACCCGTATCGCCTATTCTGGGCTTGATCGATCGGTTACGATGGTCTGCATTGGTCATGCTTCAAGTCACCAATCTGGCATCCGTCGTCTCCAATGCCCATACACACCATCGCCGCTGGATGACAATGTTCCTCTTTGTACGGGCCCGCACCTTGGAGTTTGGCGGAAGGCTAATGCGGCGACGGGCTGCCACCTGCACCTAACCTTGGGATTACTGTAGCCCGCACATGGCTTATGGTCGCACGAACGCGAGAAAATCCCCCGAGGTGACTGCTGCAAGGCTGCTCCAGAACTGGGTTCTTGGTAAGTATCGAGTCTGCATCGCAACCATGACACGATACCTTCACCTTCCCTGACAACCTGCTCCCTAACTCGACCCGCTGACAGCATCATCGATTCATCGGGTTGTGGAGATGTCAGCAGCGAGGTCACATCCACCACGGGACAAATGCACACCCCTTGAAGAGCCCTGAATCCTCCACGCCATTGCCCTGATTGGTGATTGCAGGTACAGCTAGGTACTCCTCGTCCCTCGTCCACCACCACCATATGCCGCCAAGGCCCACGGTCCGGATGTATGAGTCCCCCAACCCAAATTCATTGATTGCCTGTAGATATCCGCTCGATCGAACGTCACTCCTCGATGGTCCAGAACTCTGTTCTGCTCAATTTCCGAATGCGTAGAGGCTGTGCGCAATGATTGTAGCTGGCATGCATCTGGTGTTGCACAGTATTGGTCGATATTGCTGCCACCCTGAAACAAGCAAACTTTCCATAACAGCACAACCACTCGCCTTCGATATTTGCTCAGCACCAGTCGAGGTTGCTAAAACTTTGTTTACTCTCTCGCAGTTCCAGTTCCTCTGGGCTGCCTTACAGCAGCATGCGGATTGCCATTCCAAGGACTGCACGACATTGGAATTCTACTCGGTCGATGCGCTCTTCTTCAGCGGGAACACCATAACTTCTACGATCCTGGATACTACAATCACCAACAGATACACCCGTGGAAAGAAGCTAGCTATCAGATACTCCTAATCAGCTATTCCATCTTTGAGTTGCCTGCAGTGCAGTTCGTTGTGTCGCCGACCTAGGTGGCTCAGAAAGCACGCAGCCACAACTCTGGTGCGCCTGTTTGTCCATTCAAACTGGGAGACCAGGCCAAACGAACCGGGGTTTCGGGCGTCTAAGTCCTCAAGCAAGGATCGATCTTGTTTACTAGTGTATTACTGGAGTAGACCATAAACTCTTCACAAGTCCTCCTGACGAGTCCTTCTGACGAGTCTTGCCTGCCAGCCTCGACAAGCCATCCTCCTACCTGACTGAATTGATGTCATTCCACCCTTCCTGAAGCCGTCATCTTGGTCCTATCATTTTTCAAAGAGGTCGGGATCGGTCGCTCTAGTGGGGGCGACTCCGGATCATCGCATCCAGGTGGAGCTATCTAGCTGCTCATAGGTGGGGAATTGCGTGCATGAACGGCACCGGCTCCCTTGACTGGCGAAGCTTAAGACTAGCTTGAGGTCTCGTTTGCTGGTATATCAAGTCACAACACCGGGTCAAAGCTGGCTATCCGCGAGTATTGCCAGAGTAAGGTTCATTTGGCAAAGGGGAGATCAGCCCGGAATACATTCGCCAACAGCCGAAACCATCTGGAGGAGTATCAAGGAGGACATTCCATTGGGAACACCCCATTTCTCGTAAAGGGCAGGCGCAATCCAGGACCCGGCGTAGCCTCACACGTCTTCATATCCCCAGATCCTGCCTATCTACGGCCAGCAAGCAGCCCATCTGTATTTCCCCAAGGCGCAGGCCTCATATCCCAATAACTACAGGCCCATCGGCAGCGCATATCCTTCCAGTAACTTCGGTTTCCAAAGGTACCCACAGACTCCTCTCACATGCTTGTTGAGACCAGATCCCCGGGACCAAGCGCTCATTCGAACGCTTCCGAGTCGCACCCACTCTGGGAACCATCGCTGAACCTGTGGGAAGAAACACAAACATAAGTCGGGCGTTGCCCGATGCTGCACAAGCCGAACCGAACTACACAGCACAACAATACCCCACTCGAGTGGCTTTATCTTCAGCTGGCTTTGTGTCTGCATCCTACAACCACATCTGCATCACTACCTGCAGGGTCTCACTCGCATCCATAACCAATACTTCTGTTACAATCCTTGGCCACCCTTGTCCTGCGGTTCGTTGTTTCAACGACTGTCAAGAGCGTGTTGGTCGGATCCGTGGTATCAACACTGCGGGTCAAGCCCCGTGCAGAAGCAACCCTCCGGAAGCGTAGCACAAGAAGCCCACTCGTGCCAGTCAGCAGATAGTTCGAGAATTCCATTGATGGACGAGAACTCTCTGGCACGCCTCGTTGCCGCTCGATCTTCACTTACAAGGTCCGTTGTGTGCGACAGTTCTTCATCTCGGAGCCATGGCTCATGGACGTAACTCACTGACGGCCACCTCACCGAATAGCTCTGCATACAACCTGAGGACCACTCAAGAACCTCAGCAAGCGAAGGTCTATCTACAGAGAGATAAAGGCATGAAAGCTCCTCGAAAACCTCTTCTGGGAGAACCCAGAACTGACGTACAATTTCATCTGTTCAGATCGAAAGCCACTTGAACCCCCACCCGTGATAGAAATCCTTCTTGACGACAATGACCCATATAAGTGAGTGATGATAATACAGGCTCACGGCCGAGGCCATGGACTAATCTCATACAGAAATTTCCTTTCGAGCCCATACTATTTTATGTGTGCAACGCTTCATGATACCAACAAGGCGGAAACTTCGCCTCATTCGCGCAATGCCGACCTCGCTGGTACACTTGTATCATCCCTTCATCGAGTCAAGGATACCGAAAACAATGGTGAGTGCTCTAAATTGAATCTACAATTCGATCCTGATTAATGGCCAGATGTCGGATATTTCGTCTTTCAGGACCTTTCCGTTCGAAAGGAGGGCGATTTCCGTCTGAAGTTCAGCCTGTTTGAGCTGCAGCGGTTCGTCAGTTCCTATTGATTTTCCCAATTGGTATGCTGACGAGCTCCAGCGGCGGAGACGGTATGACAGCATCATACATCAAGTCGACATTATCAAAACCATTTAAAGGTCAGATCGAGTGTCCTCCCAACCGCATCATGCAAACTCGGCTGATTCAGATCTTAGTGTACTCGAGTGCCAAATGTCCACCGCCTCTTCCCTCAACCTTCCTCACCAAGCATTTGCAGGAGCAAGGCATCAAGTTGAGAACCAAGAAGACACAGAATTCGCAGTAAGCATCCTTTTGTGTATGAGAATTATTTTACCCTTCTTTTGACGGATATTACAGTGGACGACGAGCCCGTCGACCAGAAGAGTGGTCAAGCGAGCTTCCACAACAAGCAAATAACGCCCCCGTCCTCAACCGCCTACCCATCCCACGGTCGATGACAGACTCTTATCAAAACCGATTTCCTTCTACGCACGGACAGAACCACTTTCGTCGGGATTCAGGCGGCGGTTATCAAGTGCCACTAGACACGAACTTTGCTTATGGCGAAGGCTCTTACGCTCAGACTTCTTATGGGTCAGATTCATTGCCGTATCGACATTTCGATCGCAGGCAAGACCCAGCTCCGAAAAGGCACAAGAGAAATCCTTCCTTTCCCGATATTGACACGCGTTACGTGCTTGGGTCCCACAAAAGTACCTCTCATGGTAACGAAGAGGAGCCCACCACACCGCACTCCGCTAGCACATCCTTCAACGACAATTACTTCTCGCAATACGTTACTCAGGGTAGATCAAATGATTCGCCATCCTCAAGAACGCTTATGAGCCAGCCACGGAGGCAATACTCATCTGCAGAATCCAATCATTACCCTACGCCAGATAGCTCAAGAAGTTATCAAGGGCACGCTGCCAATCGTCTCTCGGTGGGTTCTGAGCTGGCAATGGGATATGGCGGGTCCACTGAGCCCGGTAGACACCATTATCCCTCCTCTGCAGAGACACAAGGCTCCATACCTGCGCCAGCAGCCATGCACCCACCCGTCCAGGGGCCCAGTAGGCCGTCTCCCACGAGTGATTCCCGGTATTGGCAGGGTTCTTTTGAGAACTCGACCTCTTATGGAGCCTATCACAGTCGCAATCCTTCCATTAATGCACTTCCCACCGGCCATCTACTCCCAGCACCTACGAGCCTGCAATCCAGATCATCCATGGAAAATTCTCTACATCATTTTTGAACCTGATTTTTAGTATAACTGTGCCGTTGAGGCATTGTTAAGGAGTTGTAAAGAGCCTTGATGAGATAGGCGGCATTGGACGGTCAGCGCGTTGGAGTAGATAAACGACAGGGCAGAGGCTTAAAGCAGGCAACAACGAGTGAAGAGAGTGTGCTCCAAAAAACATGTGCATATGAGGAGTTTCAGCTACGAGGTACATATCCAGCCAACACAGGCTACGGACAACCAACGCCAGGAGCAGGGCTTGATATTGATTGCGCGTCTCTCGGGAGAAACTCAGAAATCTGTGCGTTGGACAGGTCCAGCAAATAAGCTGCCTGTTGCAATTTCCATGTACGCGAAAAAAGCAAGTGTTTGATGACTCTGTGCCTTCCTTGTTCTCCTCTAAGTAGAGAAAACACCACCACCACCACCACCACCACCGCTACCACTGCCACTGCCACTGCCACTGCCCCACAGCTGTATTCCATCCTTTCCATCCTTTGGCTTCTATTCCCCCTTCTGTGATCTATCTATGCTGACATCTCTATCAACATGGGTTCATGCCAGCCTTGCATCGAGGATATTCGCGTCGAGGGAACCTGGAGTGGCGATCTGTCAGATCCTGTCAACCTCACAATCTCGATCGAGCTTGTTACGAAGAGCAGATCGCACTTGTCCCTCATTCGAAACAATCATCCCGCTGTGTTGTCTACCACGGTTATAGCCATCTCGAAAATCCCACAGAATGAGGACAAACTATCGCCATTCAGGCCCTCAGGCCCTCACCATCCTCTTCGGCAAGAGCCCTCCCCCCTTCCAGAGGCACCAGAAATTCCCCTCTTTTCACAAACGGCATCCTTATACGAAGCAGCCAGTAGTCATGATAGTGTCTTGTCTCCTCCTCCACCGTCAACCTCTAGGGAATTGACGATTCGCAAGCGCTTGAGTCTTCTACCGAAACCAACTTCTCCACCAAAGCAGAACCCTCCACTCCGACAAAAGCCGAGCAGAAAACTTGACAGTAGTCCTTACTCTGTACGAAAACACCCTGTCTCGCTCGACAAGCGACCACCCTGGCGGCCTGGTGGAGCCGATGATACTATGTCACGAGGTAGGAAACAAATTGGTACCGACGTGGCGAAGAGAAGGGTCTCTCGATCAACGGGAACAATGCAAGCGAGTCGTGGACGAACACGCCACAGACAGTCTTCATTACCAGGTCAAATGCTAGGAACGCAACAAGAGTCGCAAAGTTTGCAAGCAGAAGAAAGTCAAAATTGGCCAAAGACACTTCCAAGAGGTAAAGCGACGATGATTCCTCTGCCTGCTAAATGTCAGCACCGAGATACCACGGTCAAAGTTACTCGATATGCTGAAGCGCAAAATGCAAGCGAAAGACTAGAAAAGTGGCTTGAGGATAGACGGAACGACTGGGCTGCTGAAATTTGCACGGCCAGCGAGTTGGTCTCGGAAGGTGGCATTCCGGAGGTGTTCGATGCGCCAGATGCTACGTTGTCTCTAAGTCCCACTCCTTCGTCGCGTGCAGCTCTTCCCTGGACATCCCTTCAAGGCATACGCGGCGGGGGCTCCATCAGTAAAAAGTCCTGCTCATTGGGTCAAGACACCCCGATTGCAACCTTGGTAGAAGACAATGGCATTCTGTTCGCCTTCTTTCAAGATTGCAGCGCTGGCGAGTCTAAGACAGCCAGACTTTGCATCGAAATTCATGCTTGCATAATGCTCGAAGCCCAACCTTCAGGCTGTCATTCACTTTCTATCCCGGGTCTTCCCCTGCAGGGCGGCCACGCACAGGGTACTTTCTCCCTCAAAATCAAGGGACCAGCAACGCTAGGAAACGACGATTTCAAAGCGTATGAGAAGGTTGCTTATGTCGACAAGGACTTCTCCACGCATCCGCTACAGCATGATCAAATGTCTCTGACCTTCTCTCTTGCCACGCCATTTACTGTCAACGTTCTTTGTTTCGAAGCTTGTCGGGTACTGGAACCTTCAAACTTTGAGGTGGATAGTAATGTTTATACTCGATTCGACTGGGAGAATTTCGAGGATGATGGTATTACAGCGGAGCATTCGATGCTCTGTTCGCTACGGCTGCACCCATTTCTTATGTGGGCAGAAAATGTACAATTCAAGCTGTACCTGGTTGGTGGTCCTTCCGGCACTCTTGACACATGCTTGACACCTGGGAACCGTCGTATTCATCTGAACGGGGAACGCTGTGATTCTGAGCATGAGCTAGAGATTCTGATGACCTGTCCAGTGGCAGACCTGCAAAAGACGTTCATAATCTCCTGGAAGCAGTCTTTGGGCGTTGCTCCATTCGAAATGTGGCTACCCAGAATCTCTGGTCTTTACAGCAAGAAGCTCGAGGACCTCTTTGACCTGCCGTATGAAGACGGCATTTCCATCAATCCAAGGCCCTGCCAAAAGTCGAGGCTGTATTCGATGGTGGCACAGGAGGAGTTTCTCAAGTCATCTGGTGACATATACTTCTTCCCAGAAAACCAGCACAATCCGCGAACCATTCGTCAGAGTCTGATTGAGAAGTCGGGTCAATTCTATGACGAGCTGACGGCTGAGTACGATGAATCAACGCCAGCAACGCCTACAGATGAAGACTTCAAGGCGCCTTTGAAGCATTCGATCATCACTTTACAGCCTGTCAAGAGGCCACGAACATCCACATCAGACTTTCTTCTGAACACCCGCGCGGATGCTGGTAACCGCCCGAATGTTAGAAAGCGGTCAAAGAAGTTCACAGAAACAGGGGGTGCTGCCGAGGATGTGGTGGAGCCGATAAATACCGTACAACCGAAAGCATCTGGCGCAGGAGCAAGTTCGTTCCTGATTCGCAGTGCTGTTTTCATGGTTAATATGCTACGAGGGTTCTTTAGCCATCTTGCCGCCCCTGTGAGGTTGCTCAAGATTATGCTCCTGACATGGCTTTGTCTCCGGGCGTTCAACCACGACAGCGTTGCGCAGTTTGAGAACTCGGTCGTCGCGCAGGCGAAAGAAGCCTGGGATAGCTGGGACTTCGAGCCAGTGGAGCTGCGTGGTGACTTCACAGGATGGAAGCACCTGCTGGCCAAAATCAACCACGGCGCAGCAAGTGTCATCCATGATGGTCGTCTTGGCGCTCAGAATGCAATAGATGTGGCAGTAGAAGAGTCGGATGGGGCGGTTGAAGATGCTCCAATGGTGGATGACGAGGTGCCAGCGGGGGCTATCGACGAGGGACAGCCGTCTGCAGTTGGGAAGGAGGAAGAAGTGAACGGCCAGGGCCAAGAAGCAGAGAAGGAGCATGGTTTGACATTACTGGACCGCATCGACCTTGCGCTCGGCTGGAAGCCTCCTCAAGCTCAAGGGACTGCATGAGCAGGGGAATGGCAATACAGATTGGCCCAGTTGGGGTTCCGGAGGACTCATTGCTCCCCGTTGTTCCCGAGACGGGGCTTAATTTGCTCAAGCTAGCTAGCATCAAGACACCCCAGTTGCATGTAGTAGTACTTAACCCCATTCGAACCTACCCAAAGCATAATCCCATCATCCTCGCTGTTGATTCCCATTCTCCTTCTTTCTTCTTCTCCACTACAACTATAAACACCAACCCGCCACCGCGACCGAACAACCCCTGCAGCTGCCAGCTGCCAGCTGGCGACGAGTAGAAATCGAAACAGAAACAGAAATAGAACTTCAGTGGACCAAGTAGTCAGGGCCCTACATTGCAAGGTCGTCAGATTTAACCCTGAACCTCCTCGAGTCAACCGATCGGACTCCTGACATCTGACGTTCTTACATAGTTAGTCGGCTTTTTTTAATCCATGTCCCTACTGTTGTTGGGTTCATGCATTGTGTGTATCCATGGCAGCCGCTGGCGTGTTG